ACTCGAAGCAGACTACTGAGTAGATGGCGCTCGCTGTAAGACAAATAGGGTTGGCGCCTTGCCCGTTTTTGGTCAATGGGCCGCGCCTGCGAAGTAGGTTGTTCCTGGCATTGGCGAGGGCACGAAACAATGGGCTGGAAAACCACCATTCTTGTCGAGACTATGTCGCTTGCACGACCTCGATGTCTCTCGACCATCGATATATGATGCCGTGAACATGTGGCGTGCGGTGTGCGGTAGCAGTTGGTGTCGGTAGCCTTACCTCCAATGTCCCAATGTCGGATGATTGCTGCTTTCATATTAATACGTTAGCAAATGGCGGCCGTCTCTCCAGGGCCGGCCGGCTGCTAGGCACAGACTCTTCTGGCCTTTGGCCCAGCACCATTGTGGCTTGCAGGTGTTGACAAGGACGACAGAGTCCTTTGAGAAAATGCGACGTGGCATTTTATGTGAACCTTGAGGCATCATGTTCTTCTGCCCCCAATGCTCCCAACAGACCAAGTCCTGTTTGTCAATCTGTCAACTGGTTTGGCCCCCGGAATGAATCTTGTTACCCCGGCCCAGTTGGCTAAGAAAGTGCGATGTTCCCTCTTCCGTTGCCCCCTCTTTTTGACATGTCTGGATTTCAAAACAATTTCTCTTCAATTTGATGCATCTCTATCTGGTCGCCTGTCCGTACCGACGGCGCCTTGATCTCGGAACTGAGTGCTGCCTTTTCATAGGCCAAGTTTTGGCCTGCAGCCCGTAGGTGCAGATGCATGTCGCACCGCTATATCAACCCCATAGCAAAGCCCAATTTTTTCTTGTTTTCTGGGAGGTCCTGGATTTGATGGGGAAAAGGGGCCTGTATTTCACTTTTCAGCTTACTTGGGATGCTCGCCTGGCTGAATGCATTGGGAGCTGAAGGCTTCTGTACGCCACATATGGAGGGCAGACGCCCACCCCGATTGTCGGGACGCTGGCCACTGTGACTCTTGCCAGTGTGGTATCCATGCCAGTGCCAGTGGAAAACGTCGCGTTTTTGTTAGTAATTTGATACAAAAGATACGTCGCGTTTGGGGCGCGTTGCCTGGCTGTACAAGTTGTTGCTTCGTAGCTTTTATCTTGATCTGTCTGAGCATCTCCTTGCAGGGAGGGACCTCGCCGTCTGTGTAAGTTGTGATGGGTCGACAACGACACGAGGAGGCTGCTAAAATTCTGGAGCCATAGAAACGTACTCGGGGTGTTTCGCAATTCGTCGGAGCAAGTGTGTTTCCTTTCCCTTTGAAAATAACAGGACTTGTTGACGAATGCCGCTGATGTTGTGTTTGCTGCAAAATACCTTTTGTCTTCCTGTCGCCTTCAGAGTATGTGTATACATTGGGGTGCTTTCGTGGAAATGGTGCCAGAAACCCGCCCACAAAGTGTACATGCCAAGCATAGCAGACTCCCTCGCTCCCTTGCAACGGGAAGCAATTTACCCACTCTGCTGGTTGACCCTGGTCGTATGATCCTCCAGAGCGGCAGGATGAAAGAAAGTGCAGCTGGAATCAAAAGCATCGGGGGACAGCTTTGGAAGCGGGCATGAATAGCAGACTTGCATGAGAGCGACGGCATGAGCAGATCAAAACCTCCGATGTACTGCTGGGTGCTGGAAAGGTGCTGCAGAGTTATACGACGTATCTTATCAATGCTCATACATCTTCGGGAGAGATTCCTGGTACGGAGCTACATACTTTTGCAACTGCCCAGGTCTCTGAGATTTCTGCAGGACCCGGAACTGTTGGTGAGATTGCCGCTATTTTCTCCCGTGTGAGATATTTTGGGCGGAGTATCTTGCGAGTTAATGTCTCTCGAGGTCGGGAATTCGCTAGATGGGGCCGCGCCGATATGAAAAAGAAGTAATCATATGAAAATACTTGCACCCATCTCGTCGATACTGGCTTTCACCGAGGAGGTCCGAGCGGCGACACGTTAGGGCAGTAATTTGTATGCCGGCAAGTGATTAAGCCCAACGCGCAACTCGCCTCTGTTGCTTCTTGCAATAAGTAGCTTGCGGCTGTACCTGATGTCCTTGCGTAACATTTCGCCTGCATGCTAGAAGGCAAATGTTTTACTGTTGTGGCCCGAGGGTCTCAATGGCAGCGACTGGTAACATATGGACACTGGTTGATCGTAGTAAGCCGACTGGAACTGCCATGCAGCCTGCAAGAAGTCTCCGCCAACGATGAGACTATCTGGTTCCCTTTTCTGGCGCCAGTTATCCTTCGACAGAATTATGCCTTAATCGTTAAGAGAGCAGTCCGTATACTGTTTACCGTTCCACGGGTCCGTTGAATTCTTTCTTCAACGATTTGGCGTTGAGCTGGCGAAACAGGTCTCAAGCTAGTTGGCCAGAAGTAAAGAGTCAAAGGGACGGAAAGACGGAAGAAAGCGGCGCACCGTTTCGAACCCACCGCGGCTCATAAAGGGCACGGGCTAGACTTGTTTTGGCTTGGCCCTGGATCTGGTTGGCTGTCCTTTTGCTGCTTTTTGTGATGAGCGTTGTGATGCGACCCGCTCTCATCCCATTCACGCCCATCACGCGCTAGCCTGGCTCGCCTCGGAGCCTGCATCAAGCGCGACGCCGTTATTTTCGCGAGTCCAAACTTTGCGCGAAGAGGATGCGCTGTTTAGGTCGTGACAGGTGCATTGGAAGAGCAGACGTCCCTAATCTTTCGTCATGTGGGTTTTGGTGTCGATCGGCTGTGCCCGAAGACGACGGATGGCAAACGGTTGCGCGCGACAAAAGTACTACCAACAACCACACCGCTAGCTCTAGGCTCTCATATTCCTGTTCAACGACGTTGCGCGACCTGCCCATCATGGAGAATATCACGAGCGTTTAGTGCCGTCTAAAATGCGCCAACGTCACTGAAGAGCACGTCTGGTGATGTGTCTAGGGCATCGTCGTGATTGTCGTGATTGTCGAGTCGTTGCTTTTTCGGTTGTCGAATCGGCGCGGAGCACACTGTCTCTCGGTGATATTCCTCAATGATCAGCATCGTTTCTTTCCATATTCACTGTCAGAGTCCAACGCTGGAGAGTAGCGATGGCTCGCGAGTGGGGTGAATGCACTCGATGTCCCGCTTCTGCCATCCGGATAGAAGCTTGTGAGTTTGTGCTCACTGTTTTGCGCATTCACACTGTTTCAGCGCTGTCACCCGCCTGTTCTTGTAACCCGTAATTTTGCAAACCAGTAAGTCGTGTGGATGCTGAGCCTGATCTCCATGCGATGTCAGGGCGTCGCAAGCACTTTATGGAGTAGATGGACTGGGTCAAGCCATGACGTGCGCGATATTGGCCAGACCAGAAGCACTGAGGCTGGCTGGCGGCGTCGTAGCTGCGGCTCCATTGGGCCTTTGGCTCGTTGGCTGTGTTGGTCGTGTTATTCGCAGAAAAATGAAGCCTATCCCCCGTCCAGCAACGGGCCCGACACGGCCTGGTCAAAGCTACGGCCAGTCTTGTGTCACCCACCGTGGCTTCTGCCCTGGGATGATTTTGAGTGTATTACGACGTATGGAGTAAGAAGTATGCCACCAGGAACACCCTGGTCTGCTTCTTTCGTCACACTGCACCCGGTTAGCTCTCTCGCCCATATTTTGCAGGGAAGCGGCTGGGCGATAAATGACCTCGCTTTCCCAGCGGTCTCGCTGCGAACCTGTCCCATCCGAAGTCCCCCTTGTAAGTACCAATCTGTAATCAATAGTCCTGTCCCAGTCGCAGACAGACCCCTGTAGCGCACCTTTCAATGCTTCCCAATGAGCCAATTTACCAGGGGCTTGGTATTTCGGCAAAAAGTCACCTTATTTCCAGCTTCCCCTTTTCTCTCATGCGTACCGTTACTGGCGACAATCCTTCCGCTGTTAGCCTGATGCTCGCACCAGTTGGTGCCCAGTGTTTGGTCTTGCGTTCGTCTTTGCCTCATTCGCTTTTTCGTGTCGGGTGGTCTTTCGAGTGCATGTCCAGCTGTTGGCAGTTTTGTTGTTGACGTTATTATTGGACAATGCGGCCCTTCGACCAACCCCCGTCACCTTCTCTTTCTCATATTGACGCGTTCTTTCCTTCTCTTCGCTCTCGAGTCGCACCTTCACTGCTTTCCGAGGCAATGCCAACCAAGATTGCAGCTGCCTTGTTTATGGTTTCCGTGACGGGCAAGAACCCGTTCTTTGTTCAAGGCAGGCGCGACCAAGTTCCGGTGGATAAGGCATTCCGTTTTCCGGACACGTATCCGTGTGCAAGAAGAAGAGAAGGGCAGAGCTGTAATAATTTAAAGGCTTTGCACTATGTATTATTGTGAACGGCATGTGTTTCCCACCTCGTCTCTCCAATGCGACTACGGCGCGTTCACTGCACACAGAGCAATTACGACATATCAAATAACCTGTGTCTGTTTAGCATTGCGACTTAGTGTTGCTGTTCCTTCCGCGCACCCACCACATGAGCCTTCGACTCCACCCAACGCCCCTTCCTACTTCCCAGTGCACCACGCTCTTTCCTTATTGCCTATGCTATGCAGCTTCCGTCGAGAGGCGCACTGCCCATCCGCCATCTTCCGTGCAAAGAGCAGCAATTCCTGGTCGCTGTTCTGTAGACCAGCGCTCCTTTTCTGTATGCTCACACATACGACCACACATTTACCTAGCATCAGAACAAAGTACACTTTTTGTTGACTCCTTTCTCTACTATTTTCCTATGCTTTTTCCTCCCGTCCTTTTTCGACAGCTATAATCGAGCACGAGGCTGCCCTTACGTCCAGATAAGACGCCGCGTGCCAACTGTTTTGGCCTCAACCCCACGATCGACACATTCCATTGTACCACCGGCCCCAAATCGCTTTTGAAGAGCTACTGTGGCAGACCAGCACCATACTGCCGCCTCTCCGTGCGGGCTGCCTTGTGCAGCAGATGAACAAGCCGATATAGCAGTAGCAATATCACCAGCGGTGCCAGGAGCGGGCGTTGCTGCTGCCACCGTCGACAATGGAGGCTTCGTTCGAGCTCCCCATCCAGTCACCCACCGGTGAGCGGATAGTCATAGACCGGACAGTATCAGCATACCCGCCATTACGGCCACCTTCGCCGCCGGAAGCACCATCACTGTCACAGCTACGAGCGGCGCATTCTCGCTCCTCACCGTCACCAAAGCGACTACCCGGTTCCTCGAGCGCGCGAGCGAAAGCGGCGGCTGGCAGATTGCATGGCGCACGAGAAGGCGAGGCCGGGTCGGTCACATATAGCGGTGGTTCGCTGCGTGAGCTGAAGCTCCGCCGTATGACGCAACCCCGCGAGAGCGACAGAGCGGGTACACGCCTTACCGTCACCCGGCCAAAGAAACGATCCTCGCCAACCGCGATACCAAAGTCTCTTCTGCCCGCCACCGAGCGCAAGAGCCAAGAGGAGAACAAGATCGACCGGCTATCTAAGAAAGACCCCGTGGACGGAGGTGACAAGTGGGATATTGCACCTGATGGGTCGTCTGCTGGTCGAGAGGGCCGGCAATTCACCGTGGCCAATGTGGGTAACAATGGCCGCATATATTTGAGGTGAGTGGTCAAGGAGTTTATAAAGACGCAGCAGGCCGGGAAACCGAGGGGAGGAATGAACAGATGAACGAGTACTTTGGCGAGCACGAGGTCGCCCATATCCTTGCATGTCTCATGTTTTGGGTTTCTTCTGGGCTTCATGAACTTGGCTGACTGACGGACATTACTACAGGCCGACAGTGCGACCCGTACACCTGCGATCGCCCCAGCCGAATTTCGTGTTTCCCATGACGCCACCTGGTACAGCAGGTCTCGATATCCTCATGCAAGACCAGGACAAGCGTAGCGACCGACTGCACAGACCACAGCAGGAGATGCAACAGAATCAGAAAGAGCAAAGGCACGAGATTCAGCGGCAGCCATTGCGGTTAGAGACGACAAGCAAACTTTTCGGTAGCGATTGGACACCGGACCAACCCTCTTCGCCCACGGCACTTCCCGTGCAGGGGCCTCTCCTATTTAACTCCAACAACTCGTCGCGCAGTGTGGTTCCACGGCCCAGCACAGCCGGTGCGGTAGCAGTGCGGCCAGGAGGCAGGCACCGCAGGGCCATATCCGACTCGACGGTCCAGGATACAAGTATTGCGCGCGAGTCTGAACCAGGTGGCTTCAAGATCGTCATTACGCAGCCGGCAGACGATAAACAACGTGCAAAAACCTTGGAGGACCTGGCCCCAACGAATCCGAACGCCTCGGTGCCTCACCTCGAAATCGCCATACCTACGTGGAAACTAGGTTCTCCTCGGTTTACGCTTCGCGGTACGCCTGTTCTTCGCGGTTCGTCGTATGCCCCGACCGACGAGCCCTATTCGAGCCGGCCATCATATTTCAGCCCAGCTTTTGATCACTCTCACTCATTGCTGGAAGAGGACTCGTTAGTTTCTCCGCGGCAAGACATTTTTGAGAGGCAGAAAGGCAAAGCACAAGGCCTTCCGTCGCCCCTTGGTTCACCGCGCTTCCTTATAGACGAGCAACCCGTGGGGCTGCGTCCAGCCTACCATTCCAACTATGCGATGTCTGTTCCGGAAATGTTCGACTCTCTTACTTTCAAGCCGGCGTGCGACGACCGCACCATTGTCCGCTTCTCACCGGTGACAAATACGATTACTGCTGCAACACCTCCTCGTCTTGTTGCGGAAATCACCTCTCCCAAGTTCATGGACTATGACCTCGTTTCTGACTTTTTCCTTACTTACCGTGCTTTCCTCGATGCACGGGACCTTCTTCGGATGCTCGTCGCCCGTTTGCGTTGGGCTGTTGAGAGATCAGACGAAGCCGGCATGGTTGTTCGCGTCCGCACCTTCGTCGCTCTACGCCACTGGATCCTTAACTATTTTATGGACGACTTCGTGCTCGACTACGAACTGCGTGTCCTATTTTGCGAGCTTCTCAACGGCTTCGTGAAGGAACTTTCCCAGGACGCAAGTGGACGCAAGGTTCAGCTCAAGATTCTGACGGAACTGAAAAAATGCTGGCGGCGCTCCTGTGCCCAGTATTGGGACGGCCCCGATTTTGATGACTCTCTTGGACCCGAAGTACCAATCTCCCAAGGCGGTATTGCTGGTCACCGCAATCCCACCCTCGACCCCAGCTTCTGGGAGCAGGTTGCTATTGGTGCTTTACCAGATGAGGAAGATGAGGAGGACGGTTCCAACTTTCTCACACACTTCCAATCCCCCGAATCTATGGTCCAACCAGAGCCGGGTAGCAGTTTCCGAGCAACAGGGGGCCAAGCTGCCCATATCGACTCCGTTGTGCTTGGTGACCGCCCAGCAACTCCGCAAAACCGGGAATCGACGAATGATTTCAGTGCTCGGAGGCAAGCCTCCCCGGCGAGCATCACGAGCTTAGATATTGTCTCTTGCTCATTCCCAACAAAGAACATGCGTCTCCTCCAGGCTGGTATAGGGCAGCCGCTTGGTGCACATCCTGCGGAACCGTCGTTAGTGTACAGTGCGAGCGGTCTTGTTGCAACAACTCCTCGCGCACTTGTCGGTAAACGTGTTCGGCCCAGCGACGGCCAGAAGTCGTCTGGCCACATACAACAACACAAGAGAAACAATAGCCTCACAGATTCTCTGCGTGAACAATCGACTATGGACAAGTTGCTGCAGAAGAACAATGAGATCTTGATGACTCTCCCTTACGCTGGTAGCCTTGTTCGTGGTGCCATATTTCCTCCAGGCCAGCCGTACGTTGAAGTCCTTCCACCAGGAACCAGTGGTGGTGTTGGTCGCCAAACAACACTCTTTCAGCCATTTGCTCTAGAACCGCCAGACTCGCAAAAGCTGAAGGCATCGGCAATGTCAAGCCCGGGCATGCGTAAGCTACTCGGCAGCGTTCGGCGGGCGTTGAGCACAAGAGGCCAGGCCATCCCTTCGACCCAGGGAAACTTTATCAACATGGCGCCGATTGGGCCCCGTGGCGCGACGACAAATCGACTCCCTGGCACTGCTATTGTCCCGCAAGCTCGGCCGAGAATTAACGGCTTCCGTCCTCCTATTCGAATCGACCTCCTCGGTGCTAAAATCACCGAAGATTTTAAGGTGGCGGTTCGAGAAGATGCCTCCCTGGATGCTGCCGCTGCGCAACCTGGCGGCGATGCTTCTAATGAAGCTCGAGCCGTTCCCGATACTCATGAACAGCGGCAACCAGAACCGAAAGTAGCAGCCTCGGCCTACTCTGACGGTCTCTTCCTTGGCTGGACTCCCGGCGGAGTTGACAATCTGGTACGGCCTATCAGTGACACGGGTATCACTACCGGAAGCAAGTCTATTGTTATCGTTGATGGCACTCTTCCTTTAGAATTTCCGGTCATGACAGGCGCACTGGTTCAACCCAACAGCAACAATGCATCGGTCGAATTGTTTGGTGAATCCTTTTTGTCGGTGGCAGCCGACCCGACGCCCCCGACAACACCACCTGGACAGCCAGTGGGAACCCCCCGCCCCTCGTCTTTCGCCCTTGGCGAACAAGTCGTTCGGTCGTCGCTTTCTATGGATCCACTGCCCCCGTTTGTTCCGGACATGGATACACTGGGACACAGTTCCACTGTCGGGCCGTCCGGTCCCTTGGTTGAAGACACTAGCGCTCGCCCCCCGTTTGGTGTTTATGTGCTGCAACACGAACCTGACGACAGTATCATCGTTCCGCAGCGGCCCGGTGAGGATGGCGTATATGAGGCCTCGAGCGAAGTGCAGGTTGATGTCGTGATGAACAAGAACCCGGCGACAAACAGTTTCGGCCTGCCAAGCTCACCGCCAATTCGTCGGCCACAGCCAAGCTGGATTCAAGGACACTCGAGACATCGCTCTAACCGATCATACAAGTCACACAAATCCAGCCGTTCATACCGGCACGGCCGGTTAGCATCCTACGCGAGTGGCACTGCACCGCCTACGGGTATCCTCAGTTTCGACGCCAGCACTTACACCGACGCGTCTGTTGACGACGCCTCTGAGACCCAGGCGCCGCAGCCTCCTCGCGTTTTACGGAGACGGCCTGGCGGTGATCTGCGGGCTGTCACCACTGTGGGCGATTTGGACCAAGGACCGATTCGGCGCTCACGGTCGGTTGGCTCCCTAACCACATACTCGGAATCGATTCGCAGCTCCTTTGTGCACAGTCAGGCGCGGGAGTCCGGTGGGTTTGTAGATGTGATTTCGGTTGATTTTTCACGCGACAAAGAGGAGACGTTTTCCGTTGGCATGATGACCGACAAGAAGAAGCTCAAGAAACGGATGTCCATGGTCAGCACTTACTCATCGAAGCCTGTTATGCGTCCTTCATTCGAAGCGGAGGCACAGAAGCTAGCTCAAATCCCAGATGATGTGGATGACGACGGTGGCGTGGAGTCGGCTCTCTTGAAGCTTGAGGGAAAATTTGAGCGCAAGTCAAAGAAACTCTCCTTCTCCGAGCCTCCATCCAAGGTGTTCTTACCCACTACGTTGACCAAGGGCACCGCTGCACCTCCACTGAGCGGTTTCTTGGCCCCGCAAGTTGCCTCAGACAGCAGCCGCCTGACAGCAGAAGAAAAGACCGACCACCGACATAGACAAATCGTCCACAGCGACCTCGCTCCTTCTCACCAGTCTCTGCTCTCCAAGTCTGCTCAGCAGAGCACTGTGGCTGCCACGGAACTGGATGCAATCGAAAGTGAATATGGGAGAGGGACAGACGATCCAAGAAGCAGCTCAATGGCCACCTCTTCGCATGTTCCAGCGTTTTCTCCGCCACCCGCGTTTCGCCCTGCCGCAGTGCCCCGCATGGTCGAAGATGTACAGTCTTTCTTGTCCGAATCCGGCGAGTCGTACTCGTCCATACCTTTGCTTGACCGTGGCCTTACCGACGACGGGAGGAGTAAAGGCGCTCCCACCGAAGAATGGGCCAACCAGTCCATCTTTGAAGAAGCCAATGAAAGCAGCGTCCAGACCCCCACGGGCCGCAGCAGCGGCCACCTTGTTCACCAAGACTCCTATGATGTTGTCGAAAAGACGGAAAGCATTGAGAAGATCCCTCCTGGAGAAACAATGCCACAAAGCCCCCGCCAAGGAACGGACGTCTCCTTCCTAGAGGACGAGAGCGACCATGCCAGTGACCTTTCTTCCGAACTATCTGTTGAATTCCCTGACGAAACTGACGAGCTTGGTATTTACGGCCCCAGCACCACACAGGGCCCTGTGCGTTCGAACACTGTCGTTTCGCGCATGCCTGCCCACCCAATTGGCGACCCGCAGATAGAACCATCGCAGACTCCGTCGATTCCGTTCCAGGAGCAGCATCCTGGCAAGCTTGTGGAAGACATCCATATCCACGACGGCCACCCACCGTCGCCGCCCATTACGCTTGTCCAGGCCCTGCAGATGTCACCCGATACCGCCAAGATCCCCGAGCTTCACGATTTCCAGGTCTGGGAGGACAAGCCTCTTCCGCCAACGCCGAGCCCTGACGGAGCAGCGCCTGAGACACTGCGTTCGAAGAAGCAAGCGGAGGAGGCCGAGGTCCTAAGTTCCATGGGCCTGCGGTCCGTCTTCGAACCGTCCCCAGCACAGGTGACAGCCAAGGCTGAGGCAGCCCGTGCCTTCTCGGTTCACCTGCCGTTCATCCTTGCATTCGAATCGGAGATCCTTGCACAGCAGTTCACGCTGATTGAAAAGGATGCGCTTCACGAGATTGACTGGAAGGAGCTGATTGAGATGCGGTGGAAGAACGCCGAGAATGGCAATTCTCGATCCTGGGTGGATTTCCTGCGCAACTCGGACGCCCGTGGCGTCGAGGTCGTTATTGCCCGCTTCAACATCATGGTCAAGTGGGCCATCTCTGAGGTGATCCTGACACAGGATTTGGAGGAGCGTGCTCGCTGCCTCATCAAATTCATCCACATTGCAGCACACTGCCGGCGGTACCGAAACTACGCAACGATGAGCCAAATCACGATTGCACTGACGAGCAACGAGGTTGGCCGACTTGCGAGGACGTGGGCCATGATACCACCGAGCGACGCCCGTACGCTGCGCGACCTGGAGGCACTGGTCTCGCCGACGCGCAATTTTTATGGTCTGCGCGCCGAGATGGAGGCCGTTGGGATCGACAATGCGGATGCGGGCTGCATCCCGTTTGTGGGCATTTACACGCACGACCTGCTCTTCAACGCCCAACGGCCCTCTGAGATCGCCAGCTCGCCCACAACACCCCCCCTTGTCAACTTTGAGCGGTGCCGGTTTGCGGCTAGCATTGTCAAGACGGTGCTGCGGCTCGTCGAGGCGAGCGCTCTCTACAACTTCCAGCCGATCGAGGGCATCACGGAACGTTGCCTTTGGATGAGCGCACTAAGCGACGACGACATCCGCAAATACTCTGACGCTCTGGAGTAGGACGGCGTCTTGCCTGTATCCTACATGCAACCCTCCCATATCTCTTCAATATTTCTCGCTATCGTCTTTTATTCACGGTGTGCATGTTTACTCACCACATGCACTGCCGTACCTTCATTTTCTCGTTTCATCGCGGCCTCTGCTTCTCTTCCCACTGGCCGTTTGCTCTTTGTTTTATTTAATTGTTTATCATTGTCCTTTTTACTTGCACCCTATACCCCTGCATAGCAAAGCACCGGCATGCAAGTGTCTCTTGTTTTACGACGGAAACGATTTTACTTTTCTATTTACTGCTATTTATTTCGAGCATGTTCTACAGCTTTATATACCGGTACGCTCAGGGCGTTGTATGTGCGTCTCTTTTTGTGTCTTTCAGCTTCTGTATTGTTCTTGTTTGTCACGCTCTTGGCAAATGGGCCAAAGCAACGGTGCATGGAAACAAGGAACATGGAGCACGGGACAGGATCTGGAACACTGGGACACGGAGGATGTTTCTCAAAGGGCAGAATATCCTGGTATATGGGATGGAATTGATAGATTACCACGTGCGAGCATACTACATTTAGTTTCATGGAAGCGAACAAATCAACTCAAACGAACACGAAACAGAACTTGCAGTACAATGACAACACATATTCATATGACAGAGAAAGGTATCGTGTTTCTTCCCACGTAGCACACTCTCTCCCAAGAGCATCATCTCGCTGCTGCTGCGCTTCTCACTCTGCCCAGGGCAGGTTGATGTCGACCGGTAGCAGGTCCTTGGCCAGCGTCGCCAGCGGGGCCGGCCACTGCGCCGTCGTGGCAATGGCCGTCTGCAGCGCTGCCGCGGTCTCGGCACTCAGCCCTTCGCGCCGGTCGCTGTAAAAGTCGATGCCCTCTTTGGTGAAGAGCGTCGGCGCAAACCACGTTACCACCCACCGCTCTACCTCGCCCGGCGCGCCGCCGGCCACCGGTCGCTCGCCCCAGCCCAGAATCTCCCAGTGGCTCGTGACGAAAAACAGCCAGCTCTTGCCGCGCCAGTCAAACGTGCCGTCGGTCCCCATAAGGTTGGTGCCCTCCACCGACTTGATCTTTTTCGGCCCTGTGCCCTTGTTTGACTCGTACTCGACGCGGTCCTCGTTGCGCGGGCGGCCGCTGGCGTCGTCGGGCAGCAGGCGGTAGCTGATGCGGACGTTCTGGGCGGAGCGCCACATGCTGAGGGTGGAGTGGGTGACGGACCAGGTGCGGACGAGCCACTCGGCCGGGGGTGCCTTGAACGCAGAGGGAGCAGCGGGAGACGACGATGTGATGTACTTGGACGGCGTCCGCAGGATAATGGCGGCTGCCGCAGGTGTCGCTGGCGTAGACCCAGGGGCAGCCGCCGGTCCTGCATGTGGTGTTGTGGCCGGCGCTGAAGTTGAAGTCGGCTCTGTTGAAGCCATGGCTGTGATGGAAGTGTGATACGGTGCGTGGTGCGTAGATGCGATGATGGCAACGATGTGGACGCCAGCTAGTTTGTAAGCTAGTTTGCAGCTTCAGGGCGAACGATGCTTACGACCTGGAAAGGGGTGGCAAGGCAATAAACGACTTCGATATAGGATAGTAGGCAAAAGCAAAATGATCGGACAATCGACGCAATTTGCAGCCGCCCGTTAACGCTGTGTTCTTGGAAACTGACGTCGGTCGCCCTTTCGCGCAATGGCTACATACGAATGTACCTGCCACGCTCTTCAAACACAGGCACGGAAGGCGCACGATCCGGGAAGGCGGACGCTGCAGATCGGGCCCACTTTTAGTGAGTCGCCCGAACAGCTGTATTATGTGAAAGGCAGTTGCCGAGCTTCCTTATATAAATGATCTATCAATTGACAGCTTCAACGCTAAGTGAAGTCAAGTGTATACATCATGAAGTATAGCAGCATTGATGGGGAGTTATACCATACCAATCGTACGCAGCAAATATCTCTCCCAAGCCGCTTTCAATCCCTAACCAGAAATGCCTTCTAATTTTAAACAAACAGGAAAACAAGACAATACAATAGAATCCAAGATAATAGCAAAGGTCCAACGACAAAATGGTGCATGTCACCGTGCTGGGCACAGCGTCTGGGAGGTCATGTTCCGTTTCAGATGCCACTCGGAGAGCTTCTTAATGGCCACCGGATCGATGTCGCGGTTCGTCTTGATAAAAATGGTCTCGTAGGGGTGGACGTTGAAGCCAAAGTAGGCATCGTTGAACAGAACATCATTGCTGTTCGTGGCATTGCAGTACGCCTCGAGGCTTGTCTCCTGGTGGATCGCGGCCATCATGACGTCGACGGCGTAGCCGGCGTTCTGGATCAGCGTCGTCAGGCCAACCTCGGAGTGGACGGCAGAGCGGTGGTTATTGTAACAGCCGGTGAGGCCGACAGGGTCGTCGGCGCCGCCGAACTTGTCGGCCACGCCTGAGGTTGCATGGTCCGGGTCGAGCAAGATGGACATGCCCGTGTCGTCGGTGGCGAAGATCATGGACTGGACGTGCGGACGCGGATGGCAGTTGGCCGTGAGGCCGACAAACTTGACGGTGTCGGTGATCTTATTGAGGTAAAGGTCGGTCCAGCAGCCGCCGGACCAATAGGGGACAAAGGGCCCGCGCAGGCTGGAGTTGATACTCATAAACTTGGTGTAGCTCTTCCACAGGTTGTTGGTCCGCAGCGCTTCGCCTACGGCGCCCATGTCGTAGCAGGTGTTGTTGCGGCGGACGACGCGGATGTTGTCCCAGTCGGGCAAGAGGTTGGCGGCGTCGGTCTCGCCGTTGAAGATGAAGACAAAGTCGGCGGCGCGGTGCAGCCCGATCTGTATAAAGTACGCGAGGTTCTCGCGGCCAAACGCAGACTCAGCGTACACATAGGTGATGAGGGTGTCGTGAGGTCGTGATGGCGTCTGCAGTTCTGGTACGTCTGTGTCGGATACATGCCCCTGTGTCGATGTCTGTGGATGGTTTTGTGTTTGTGGTCCGCCGTGTGCGAGACGGTCGAACGCGCCCCTGTTCTTCTCAACCCGCCGTCCGGCCAAGGTGTCGATGTTATTAAGGGCACTGAAGGAAACCACCCAGACGGCCATGATCACCAGCACCGCCTTGAGCACACGAGAGTTGACCAAACGGCCCGTGTTTTCGGTGGCCGTCGTCATGGACGCCTTGAGGGCCGCGAATTTGAAAATCATTGTGGATGACAATGAGCACCAAAGGGTGAACCGATAACCTGAAAGGGCACAAAAGAGAGCGAAGAGGGGGATGCAGGGCTCCGGCAGATCATAGTCGGGGAGAAACTGTCCACGAAAAGCACGCAAGTGGTTGCATGGTGAATTCAAATACGAACTACGGGTCACAGCACTGGAACAAGTCTCGGATCAGTGGGAATCCTTCGAGTATTTTTCTATTTTGTTGTATATTCATAAGGCATAAGGGGGTCTGCGGAACATAAGATGGACGAGACCGCTTACACACCGCGTAGGAGACCACTGCCTGGTCTGACAGTAGCTGCCATGCAATTATAGAAAGGAACAGCAGGGACTGAGTAACCCTGACGAAGTATTAAGCTCTGCTTTTTACATATTTACACTCTTAGCACCGGCACGTATTCTGTCTTTTATATCAAGCGACGTTTCAATAGTTTTCTTAGGCGCCAACACGCAAAGGGATATCAGAATTCCAGATGTAATTTTGTGTGAAGAATACAGTTGTTCCCAGAGCGCTGAACAAAGCGAAACTGTTTTAAAAGTCCAATGGACCGGCTCGCTAAAGATCAATTTGGGCGATGTAGTTACCTCGTTAAAGAATGTGATACGGAGACGAATGGAACGTTAAAAATACATTACGTAGAGCACAGCGGCATCAGAAATCAATCTCGCCGCCGGCCACTGTGGGTTAAAAAGGTCAGCATTGTCATTCTGTGAGTATTGATAAAAGACCGCTCTGTGCCGTGATCTGCAAAAACCCAGAACGCGCCGGAGTGAAGGATGCCCTGTACAGAGGTTGTTGTATTGGCTAGTAAAACGCCTTACAGCTTCCCACTGAAAGATGGAATAGCCACGGTATTACACTCTTTCTGTCTTTATTCTTATGGCCCTCTCGTTTCTTCGTTTGATTACTGCTTTCTCACCCACGTTCACGATTCTTGTCAGTAGCCGTCAAGTAAACGCTGCCAAGGAATATACTGCATGGTCACATGGCTAGCACTCCCGACCTCCAGAGGGTAGATAAATAGATAAATAGTTGATGGGACTAACTTGGGTTTTTAGCGAGACGGCGTCAATGGTACAAAGCACGACATACGTCAAAGAACTGTGGCTACGCTGTCCGGCGTATTGGTATTTTCGCATCGCCAAAGGTACAAAGAGATGGGCAACGACACCCCCCCCCCCCCCCCCACCACAAAGTGGCTTGATTCGCGAGTCACCTCCAAAGCTTGGCAGGGAGGAAAGGAAATAGACGCTTGTTTTGTAGACACACAACTGTAGTCGTCACAGGAATAATATAATGCGACTTTTGAAACAGGGTCGCACACGTCGCTTCAGAGGATGCCATAAAAGCAAAGAGCTACGAGCTGAGTCCTGGATCTGCTCCAGTATGTGGATTCCCATTTCAAACAACCTGTTGGCGGTGCTGCCGACTGAGTCTTGTTGTCAATTTGTCGCGAATCCCTCCAATCCTGCAGGATCGTTTTTTTTTCTTTTTCATTTTTGTGCCCCTATTTCAGCTCTTGTCTTGCCCTTGGTAGGATCGAGGTGCTGACAGCAACAGTGGTCGGTGCTGATGGTCTTGGCCAAAAGTGGCGGATGCGTCGAGACGAAAGCTTCGTACTTCGTATTGGGCAAGGAAGAGTAATTACGATGTAGAATAAGGAACAAAACAAGTTTGGTCTAGACCACAGCCTTCGTTTAAGGTGGGTCGCCGTTTGGAACAAGTTTGTAGCGTCCGTTGGTCAAGTTCCGAGAGCGCCATCTTAACGTCTAGCGGAACGATCGACATACACATCGACGTGCTGCTTTTTGTTACATTACAGGCTTAAAACCCTGAATGGAAAATCGCGTCACCAATGGCACAAGGTGGCGGGTCGGCACTCTTTTGTCATTTCGCGTAGATGCTTAAATACAATGCATCACAATGACAGCCAATATCTTGGGAGTAGAGTTTGCGGGTTCTTCCATCAGACAATTAAGGAGAGGTAGGTAAGATACGACTGGGCAGAGTTGTGCGACTAGCAATCGTCGTTTCAGGGAAGGGTCTATCACTTGTTTCCCAGCGACTCGGGCAGACCTCGTCACATCCCTTACCTGCCTTCGGACATTCCAGAAAAATAGCAGCGCAACGACCGAGAATGGCATGAAGCACGGGACAAATTTTGAGGGAATAAATTGTTTCTACACTTTGAGCCACCGTGGTACCTTTGAATGTAGCGAGCGACCAAGGCAGCATTGCCGCAAAGCAAACTCAGTGTGCCCCAGAGATTGTGCCCGGTCTTCCAAATAGCCTATCAGCGAAGCACGTTCTTTCACTGCAGAAAGAATGTGTACAGTTGTCTCGCAGTTGATCTACTATTGCCCGATGTCAGAGCACGCAAGACACTGTGAAGCAGGCCAAAGGGTACTTTTGCAACTTGCTAAGCGAGGTTGATTACTTGTGTCTGGCCTCCGCTCCAGCTGGCCACCCCTTTTTGCAATGCCCCTGCTCGTTGCCGCTTTTGTATCTCCGAGACTCACAAAAGTTTGCTTTTCGCTTCTCCAGTAACCGTTGATCAGATTTAGCTTCTGATCTCCAGCTGTGGTCTTTGGCACGTCAAATACGATGTAGGTTGAAATCGGGTCCCAGAACCACCGGGGAGTCTTGGCAAGGCTGGGCTCGCGTTCTAAAAGACGCAAAGATGAAAGCACAAATATGCAGGGACGTCCAGGGAGACGGGCTCGAGGGCGTGCGGAGAGACTATGACGTCCAACGTGCACTGCATAAATTTTATTGCAACACAAATATTCGTATCAACGTTCACCATCATCCACCACACATTGTTCCTTCCTCCATAGAGTCAACTCCTCACACTCCTCCTTCCTCTCGATCAACAAGGCTTCGAGCAGCACTATTCGCAGAGACAAAAAAGAATGAAGGATCAGGGACTCAATCCCTGGGCCTCCCGCAGGGCTACACACGGCGCATTGGGATTACAAGCGAGGCCGAAGCGATCGTGGCTGAAGCCCCAATAAATACGGATCACGAGTCATAACACGTGATTACTACACGTGACGTCCAAGTCAGGAGGTCCAGGAAAGAAGTGAAGCTTTTATGGATTTAGCGAGAATTCCACAGCCGTGTAAGACTCAATAATCATCACCAATTGGCCATGACTTGTATTCGACATAATCGCGTAAAAGGTAGCGTAAATCGCGCCAAGAACATTTAAGTGGCACATACACTTATCGCGTTATGTATCTATGCAGAATATGCCACTCACTGTAGGAGCTACGACGCGGCCAATGGCAACTGTCCTTCAATGGAGTTGCTGCATCATGAAGCTTCCCAGGCAGCAAGACCCCAATGCCAAGCACAGTTTGTCGTACAAACCAGTTTCAAACAGTTCTGGTCATCGCTCTTCTTGTGTCGTAATGCACACCAAATTGTGAGTGAAGAAGCCCACTTTTCTCTCTAACAAGTGCTTTTACAGCGGAAAATTAGCGTGTTGGATGCTACGTAGTCCCTGCCTCCCCGCAAAATGACCTGCCAAAAATTAGCTATAAAAAAAAAAAACGGCGAGCATGCGCATCGCATCGCGAACGACAATAAAGGCAAATTAGTAATTGCGCCTCTTCAAGCCGCGACATCGCACCTTCCTACGCCGACCTCCTGCTGCGCCTAAGTCGTCTCCTTCCTTCTTGTTTCGACCAGCTGCCGCACAACGTCGCCTCCTTCCTCACACGCCGCCTCGCTCAATTTGCGTCCGGCAGGAGCTACCCGCCGCTCCCCGATCGCGACTTCACATTCGCTCCACTTTGCCGACGCGAGGGAACGTCCTACATATCTTCCTCACCTTCTTCCTTATTCCTCTCTACGCTTCCCTTCCTCTCAACCATCTTTCTAAACTTCTACCGAGTACAAAGACAGCATGGCATCCGAACAAGAAAACGACGTTGATGTCGACGAGCTCGACTCGGCTGCCGTCGTTGCCGCCATGGGATTTTCCAGCTTTGGCGCACAAGTCCCGCCAAATAAGAAGCGGCGGTTCAATCCCCAGGCCGACGCCGTCGTCGGCACACCACGCGACGGCCGCCCACCCGCGCGTCTACCGCCGCAGTCGTCAGGCACTGGTGCCAACGCGACAAGGTTGCCCCCACGACCAGCAAAGACAGTTGCGCCTTCGCCAGCCATGACAACGTCAAGTAGCCTTCCCCTCGACCCACCCCAGGCCGGTGGCGCAAAAGCGTCCATGAAACTGCCGCCGCCAACGAACGTCATCAACACTGACGAGATTGACCTCGACGATGCGGAGGAAGACGGGCAGGAGGACCAGGACGACACAAACGGCGGCGTCGACCTCAAGACCGACACATACGCAGACGGAGAAGAGCCGGGCCCACAATACCTTGACACCTCAAGACCTATTGGTGAGGTGCGAGATCATCTCGGAGAGCCAGACGGGCTTGCCGGGGATGCTGAAGTAGATCCGGCCACGCTCCAAGCCCGGATTGACGCCGTTGTGGCTGCCGGTAATGCCGCCTATGGAGTGCCACCTGCTGCAGCCGCTGCAGCAGGCAATCCGCAGCTGGACGGCGCGGCCCACTCGACTGGCCCTCACCACCATGGACGCATACGCCTCCGTAATCGGCACGGGTTCAACCTAGACCTAGTACCCGGTGCTGGCTCGCAGTTCAGTGCTCGAGATGCCGCCGGCAACGAGGATGCCGACTTGCGAATGGACGATGGCTCGCTCCGATTTGGTTCGACGGACAGCCGTGGTGAGTGGCAAGGTCGCGGACAAGGGCAAGGGCAGGGCGGTCGAGGACCTGGTCACGGTCACGGTCACGGCCACGGCCACGGTCACCAGCGGGACTGGTGGACCGGCTACTATGACCCCACCAGCAACGAGAACCCCTGGGCCCGCATTGAGGACAAATTGGGACTTCCGCCATGCGGCGGCAATTGGCTCAGACGGGGCCATGCCCGTGCTCGACAAACATAATGTCGACTGGATTATGGCAGCCCGCCATGCCCACCAGTATCCCCCTCCTCCGGCAAGACGCGCTCAATTTTATACCCAGCCATCCAAAGCGATCCTAGGGAATTAAACAATCAGGCTGATTGAATCGAACCACTTGTTAGTGCAATCTCGGCTCTTACCCCTTGGTTCTCCAACATTACATCAATCTTTATTCTGCCAGATTTTCTCCTTCCCTATCCAACTCAACGAAGTCAAATCCCTCACTGCCTAACGTTTGGCCTGTCCCCTTGTCATCTGGCGTACTGCAATCAAGCACGCTGCCCGATCGACCACCTACCACTTCCTGCATGTTGCACCGCCTCTGTGTTTTCGTTTTAGCGATTTCGTTTGGCTTCCCCTGAGGTGTAACCACTGCACAAAGCCTCTGTCCGTTACCATTCGCACACTCTACAATATCCTAATCTCTTCCCTGCCCAATCCTGCCCCTTGCCACTGGACCTATTAATGGTCGTGCCTGTGTCTCTGACACCCAATCGCCAACCAGCATCTTCGAATCCCATTTGAAGAAACCCACATCACGTGATATCAGTTGTGTCAGGGGTAAAAAGAAAACAAACCCGAAAAGGCGGATAAGGCGATGGGCACACGTGGGGTGGTACAGAAAGCGTTGTTGGGAGCACACGCAACGTCAAATCCAAGGCAGCGGTGCCCGACCCGGATGGGTCGAGGAAAGGAATAAATAAAAACACGCATTGAGATGCACGACCGAAGTGGAATGCGAGAGGGCTAATGGGACCAGCTGGTAAAGGAGAAAGAGAAAGAGATGAAAAGAATGAATAAAAGACATTAAAGTCGCAATGTTCCTCTGGTCTATGTCAGGGAGGGGAAGGGCAGAGGAGAGCTAGGGCGGCATTAATTGGGGGTGATGCAGTGGAGGTGGGAGGTGGGAGGCGACATCTCCAGCTGCATCGACACTCACACCACCTCCTACATCACGCATATCAATATACCCACGCATCTGCGACCACTCACACACACGCATGCACACGCACAAAAGCCACACAGAGATGATGTGGCACATCTACCCCTTCTACAGGTTTACAGATATTACCTACGCACACCTACAGAGCCTTGTTACAGAAACAATTCATTTCTCTGGTGTCATTCTCATAACTAGCAAATCACAGAAGCACACTCGAAAGGAGACATACAGTACAAAGCCCACTACACTGTCCCCCCAGAAACCGCCATCCCATGATACACTGCCAGTCTGCCCTTCCCAGAGCCAATGAGAAAGTCAGCTCGCCCACAAAACCGTCATCCATAGCACGGCCACCAAGCAAGCAAGATCGCTGTCTTCTGGCTCGTGGTCTACTCCCTCTCCTGGTCCGAGCCAGCGTCCCCCGGAATGGTATGGCGTCCTCGTCACCACCGTCTCCCACGGGCTATCAGAAATGCTATATAGAGATGGGCTCATAAGGTCGCCGCCACCGTTTCCATGTCGCTGTGCCAATCCTTCCCGTCTTCCGTTTTCTCGGCCAGTCACCGTTTTGTCAGTCACCCCTCCTCGCTGCTGGCCAGATCCCCCGATCTCAAGTGCAGACGCCTATGTGCCAATACCTGCCAGTGCCCGCTTTATAAGCGCGCTCGCTCACACCCCCCAATGCACTCGGTCGCTCGCTGGCTGCTCTGAATTTTCCCAGTGGCCATTGGCAGCCCCAAAAGCACACTCCCCCTCCCTCGTCGCTTCTCCAAGCCGCCTGCTACACAGCACGCCTTCCATGCTCTCCCGGCTGTCCCTTGCAGCATGCGAGACCTCGAGAGAGAATGGAGGGGGCGTGTAAGAGCGATGGACGCTTCCCCAGCGGGCTACTGCAGCCCTGGCGCTTGCCGAACGGGTGCTCCCACCCACCCAACCTCCCAGAAAGGGCTTTGTACAGTACTTCTCGTCGATTCTCCTGTCAATATCCGTCTCATTCTGCCCAATCATAACTCGTAACGTCGTGAACGGCCAACCCCGCGCAGAAAAAATGCGCAGGTTGGAAAACTGCCAAAGAGTAAGAGAATAATAAATCAGTAGCAAAAATGCAACGCCGGCCAAAAACAAGTTTCCAAAATCCCGCCAAATGCAATAAACATGGCCACCACAGCTCTTCATCGGCTGCTCGTGTGAAAAACGATATATCCGCCGATTTTATTCGATCGACCCCAACTTTTTGTTCTGCAGCAGGTGTCATCGTCGCTGTTCGAACCTCGTCGCACGTTGCTGGAAACGCAAGGATCCGAAAACAGAAATAGATAGTGGCGGGGAAGCGGCTCGAGGCGCAAAAAGATGGTGGTGGGGTGTATACAAGATGCTGCCCCTGGTCGCTTGAAAGGCAAATGAGAAAGGGGTGCGTAATGTAATAGAGAAACGACATGCGAGAAATAAGGTTTCCGGGTGAAATGCCGGAGGAAATCGAATGAACGCTAAATGCAAGGGGGGGCGGGTTCAGGCGCCTCCCGTTGAACCGGTGCGGCTCCATGCATTTAGTAGTCCGGGGAAGGGTACCGCTCACGAGCCTTCTTATACTCCTTGGGGTACTTCTTCGCCGCCTTCGAGTTCAAGGTCCTGTAATTTTCGACTCGTCAGCTTCAAACTCGCAATCTTTCGGTTTCTTTCACCGCCATCTAATGCAGTATGATGATTTCGCTTTTGCCTACTCTCAGCTCGCTAAGTTTGGTACAAGCTGGAGTGAAGCCTAAGGCAAAATTGCCAAATTCGGCAAATCACCGGCTCGACGACGGCCGCCGAGCCAGTTTTCAACATGAGGGCTAAAATCACCCAACGGAAATTTTGTGCGCCTCCAACGGCAACCCAGAAAACACTCGACTGAAAACTTACGTCAATTTCTTCTGCGACCACTCTAAATCTGAGCGTACTTCGCGCGCATCGCGCATGCCGTCGGCGAACCGAGTGCGAACTTTGGAAAGACGAGCCTGCGCCTTCGCCTGAAGCTCCATGAGCTCACGGTGCTTGTCATTCAAGCGACCAGATCTGGAAATTTATGTTAGCTACAAGGTTCGTCGCTTTGTCACTTTTCAGTGCGGCGCTTTCCTGTGTTTCTTGCGGGTGGGCAACTGCACTCACGCTTGCGCCTGCATCGCTACGTTCTTGTCAAGCGGAATGGGGTTGAACGTGTCGTTAAAACGTTCTTGCATGTAGTCATTGAAATCCACACCGCTTGCGGACATGGAGCTGTCATAATCGCCCTGCATGCTGCCAGCGTAGCTTGCGGTAGTGGAATAGCCGGGCTGGACGCCGTATGAGGCGCTTCCAGAGGCGGAGCTCACGTTCTCTGACTCGGGCGGAGACACCGAGTAGACACTGTTCCCGCTATGGTAGCCATGATAGTAGCCAGCATACTCATCCTTGCCGGGGACGGGCATGGGAAGTGTGTTGGTGTACATATGGGAGCTGTAAGAAGACATGATGTCGGAGAGAGCTGGAGATATAGAACACAAATGTGGTTCGTTCTTGCGGGATGTAGAAGAAGAACGTGTGAGACTGAAAATGTAATGTCTGAGAGCGTTGGAAAGACGAAGAAATGAGCTAAGAAGTAAAGGTGATGTGAAGATGGTGTTGAGGACGATGAGGAGGAGAAAGAGGGAAAGAAAAAAAGAAGAAGAGAAGGAAAGGAGAAAACAGATCTCAACTCGGGAGAGAAGAGACATATTTATACTTTTTCGAGCCATCTTGATCGGCTTCGTGTCGGCTTCTTTCGAGGAGAAGAGGATAAGAGAGAAGGACTCGATTTGTTAAGGATGAGAAGAAAGGCGTGACCCCGCTTGGCTTCAAAGGCAAGTAGAGGCCGAGAAACGGAACCGGAGAGAAGTACCTGAGATATAAAGGTCAGAGGCAGAGTAGGGTGGGGGCACGCAAAAGGCGGCGAGGCAAGACAAGGGGCGGTTGTGGAAGTGAAAACAAAACGGAGAAAGAGCAAAGGCAAAAAGGTGTGAGGAAGGGATAGTTGTATGATAAGAGTGAGGGGAGGGTGGCGGGGGCAGAGAATGACATGTCCGTATAAACACTCTGTGTGCATACGTGTACGCTACTTACAACGTATGTACGTTTTCTGTGAACAGGGCGTATTAATGCTGAAATGTTGACATGCAACTTAGAGGGCACAGGAACAGCCTAAGTCCAGAAGTGTGGCGATCGACAAGATAATCCAGCTGATATGTTGAGAGATAAAGGGTGCGTAGCTTGTCCTAGGATATCGCTCGGACCAGAAAAATGTAAAGGGAAGAAGGCGCAAGCGAAGAAGAAGGAGAATGTAAAAGAAAAAAAAAAAAAAAAAAAAAAAAATAAGAAGACTGAAGGTTCACAAAGAGGGGTTGGAACGCTTGCAAGGATGTGCCGAGACCAAGACAAACAAAATATAAAAGGCAATATTGGTGGATATGAGGTGCGATAGCAGCCGTTGGAAGGACGCTGCCAACGGTAAGGGGGTATGTAAGAATTCAGAGACAAGAGGCGAAAAATGAGAGGGTGTTGAGACAACGCATGGGCCCCTAGTGGATGGGAGTGTACATAAAGACTGAAGGGAAAATTGGAATTGAATGTGACGAGCCTGCAAACACGAATTGCAGATTGTAAAGGGGGTGAAATATTTTTTAAAAAGAAAATAAGGCGATAATGAGGTTGGTGGCCAACCAGGGGAAGGTGTATGTAGGTGAGAAAGCCGACAAAGGGCGGCTAAGACAGCAAAGGACTAGGAAATAAAAACATATGGGCTTGCAAGTACCAAAATCTCTAACAAAAGTAAAAAGAAGCCAACATCATAATAAGGAAAACGTTGAGCGAGACATATGTTTTGTTGGCCGTTGATCCGGCAGGTGTGTGTTAAAGTGGATATCAAGCGAACATGAGGGTGGGAAAGCTGATCATGCGGCACAAAAAACTTGACAAGCCAAAAACAAGCCATGGCAATGGAGGAAGCGGGGACAAGAGGGACTCCGAGACAAAAGACGAAAAAAGGAAATGAAGAAGGGGGCGTGGACGTAGAATGATGTCAGTGACGACAAGCCAAGATAGGAACCAAAGAGTACCAAGCACGAAAAGCAAATGGTGGTCTGGAAAGGAAAGTATCAAACTAGCAAGGATGCTCGGAGACCCAGAGGCAACAAAGGGCATGTGCGGAGGCGATGGCAAATAATAGAAAAGAAGCACAACCAACGCGGCGATGCATTGGTTGTCGGCATGATGGCTGGCGGAGGTATGTCAATGGCTGTATTTTGGCATGGAAGGAAAGGTGGGCAGACCATCGAAATAGGCTAACAGTGACTGGCCATGGAGAGACTAGACGGGATGGAGGAATTGAAGACGAGGATAAGAAGCACCAAGTTTTCAATGAAGGCGAGGCAAGAAGACTGTGCGCATGCGGCTAGAATATCTATGTTTGCCCAAACGATCACTGGCAATACATAGATATTCACGTCATAAACCGAGACGATATATGATATGAGCAGAGGCCTCAGGATGAGGCAAAGGGGTAATAAGGTAACCCGGAGCATTGGGCCGTATAAAAGTGGTAAAGTAGATGAGGATAATGGGGGCAAGTTATTGTAAATCAGATATACCTAAAACGGTGAGGAGCCAGCGAGATTTGCTTGCAATGGAAAGGAGGAACATGTCAGAATCCAAGGTCCAGACTGGGACCGCAAGAGACCAAAACGGTGAACGTCAAACGGAGGCAGAACCTGGCTTAGCCACATACATGGTGGGAGATGACAGTGGCGAAACACGGGCAACGGATGTGCAACGACAGAAAGGAAATCCGCCGCTGGGCGAGGGTTCGAAAACGAGCCAGACGAGGAAAGACGGCAACAAGTACAGTACATCGGTTGCGAAGACTTCTGGGGTGAGACATCTGCAGGCGGCCATCCCGTCTTGGAATAGGGTGCGAGAAGGTGTGGGAGCAGGTCGAAAGGGAGGGGGTGTGAAAGAAAAGGCGAAGAGCAGAAGGCAGAAGAGCAGGGTGGAAAAAAGAGGAGACAACCAAACAAGCGCGCCGGTGCAGAAAAGTCACTGTCGGATCTGGCATGTTGTTCCGTGTGCACAGCGTGCGAGACTGGGACCGGGCGGCGGAGTTGACGGCTTATGGATAGGGGTGTGCGTATTGCGGCCTGTTTTACGCCGTGTGGACCGGCATCATTCAGTTACCTTAAGCGTTTGCAATGAAGAGTTTTCGGTTGATGTTTTTGTCAGGGGAAGTGTTGGTTTTTGGATTGGTGCGATGGTGATCATGTCTCCTTTTCGTGGTTAGTCCTTGCCATTTCCAGAGCGTTACGCCGTGGTTCTTTCCTTTCTTGTGCTGAAGTTTCTCGGATGCCGTACACGGCAGGAGCATAATGGCTGGGGATACGAAAGGGCGATACGCAGACTAGAGGCGGAGGAAGGAACAAACAAGTTCAACCTGTCTGTCCGTTCATCAGGCAGGAGTGCAGGTGTCGGGCGTGGTTTCCTCCTTGGTCTGCAGTTACCACCCCTCCCTCCTTTATCATCTCGCGCCTTCCCATTCGTCTTTTTTGGCTGCTTCAACAGCATGTCGTCGTTACCTGTTCTTCTGCCACCACCCGTCTGCTCATGCCCTGCAAGGATGCGTTGGCAGAAAGGGAACGACGCAATGCCGGTCATTGGCAAAAGGGAAGATAGAACGGGACCCGGCCGGGATGTGCAAATCCGGATCTGTGCAAGAATTTAAAATATACGAGATGAGTGCCGGTGCATGTGTCTCGCGTCTAGGGGAGCAAGAGCGCAGAGCACATGAAGCAGGTGCAAAATAAAGCGTGCATGTTGTTTTCGGTGAAGAAACAGAAAGTGTACCGAGCATCGGGATTAAGAAGTGGTCAAAATGCTCCTTCCTGTTCTCTCAGTCGATTTTCTCCTGCATGGAAAGAACTCATATGACAACCACTCTCAGAAAGGAACAACAGGACAAGGAAAGAGCAGTGCCTTCCCACACACGCGCCCGGCCTCCCGTGTGACAAGAACAGATGGACGATGAGCCTACGAGGGGGTGGAGCGTGGAGGGGCTTTCCTCATTCAACTGGCGAGAAGACGATATCATTGGCTATAATGTGATGGCCGCATAAGAGGGTCGAGAACAAAACCAAACAGTGCTACCAGGTCAGAGAGCGAGGTGGTGGAAGAACGGACAGTGAAGGCAGAAAGAACGGCGCCCCGGATATAGCATTTCTTGGGTTGTTATTGGACAGAATGGAAAAGACGGAATCAGGTCTGCATTTTCTCCATGGCTCTCTGAATTTCTCCTCTTCTGGTGTGGCTAGTTTTTCCATCTCAGCCGAATTTATCGATGTCTGTTTTTCTGTGGAACTGTAGCATTACTACGCCTCGTACTTTTCTTCTGTCATGTTCTGTGCCTCGATCCAAGTAGGCAATGTCAAGCAACTATCCCACGGAGCAAGACGAGCACGAAGAGGGCGAGCAAGGCGTTCATGGAGGGGGCGTGTGGGTAGATTGGATCGAAGACGGTAAATGGGAGCAGGAATAGCACGACGAGAATCAACCAAATAAAATAAAGAATGGAGAGGTGCCAGAGCAGAAAATAGGCAAACAACGATCGTTGACGGAGCAGATCTTCTCCAACACGGCGTTCTCTCTCAGGCAGATCCCAGAACGAGGCACGTTTGAATTCTTCAGGCGAAAATGCGCGCAAAAGGGGCTTTCCATACAAGGGTCTCACGATACACTTTGATGGGGGATTGAATCAAAAAATACAGGTTGAAAAGGAATCATAAAAAGACAGCGACGAAGGAAGTCCGGGCAGAGGAGTGAGAATGAAGCCAAAGCAACCGGGTCTCCGAGCTAAGGCACGACAAGTAGGCTAGAGAGGACTAAAATATGCAAAGCGTAGGCAGGAGGGCCGGTAACAGGATGCGTTGCGTATTACTTGGTGGTGGTTAAGGTGATTGCAAATGCGGCGGGAGGTTTGTGGGCAGGAAGAAGAATTTTACTTTAATTTTTTGGTTAAAAAATTGAAACAATACATAAGACGTGCAGGCAGAATTATACAGGACAAAATGGGTTGTCCGCCTGTGGGGAAGGACAACGGCTTGACGTTGTGGCCCTGCGTATAGATACGATCGAGTTACCTGTGCAGTCCGCCATGTGAAACCACTTTAAATTTACGTTGTGCGAATCTACAATAAAGGATCACTGGGCAAGTCAAGCTGCAGGACATATTTCATGCCTTTACAAAAAAAAAAAATGCACAGGAAAATGGGAGAGTAAGGGTAAAACAAAAGCAACAAAGAAACGTCGGATCGTATCGCCAGATTTATTTGTGTGCCCTACCGAAAAATTGAAGGACACAGGGCCCAATATGTGCCTTTTTTCTTTCTCTTAAAACCTAAGTACTTGGCTGGTCGTCCCCAAAAACTCGGCAGTGGTCGAACCAAATAAACGGAGGACTGATTCTGCAAGCAAGTTAGATTGACAAAGCGTCTGTTCTGGTATGAGTTGACGAAACTGCACGCCACAGATGATTTACCTCTCGCTCGAATTTATTGTTACCCCCCTCCTTCTGTGTCCCCTCATCCTGCAGGTCTCCCCTCCCACCCATGACCCGACCCGGTCAGTGCCCATTGGCCGATTTCAAAGACCCAGCACAGTCAGACGTGGAAAAATAATTTGAAAAAAAAAAAAAAAAAAAATACAGAGCGAAAAAAAAAACCTCAGGAAAGGCACAGAACACGGTACAGAAAACGCTGGGGGCTGCCTCCTGGGAAGAGGACCAAATACGCCGTAGGTTGTGGATAGCGCCGCTCACGAGCGTCAATGGCGATGATGTGCATAAACGCTCGCGGGAGAGAAGATGAAGAGAATGGGATATGTACACGACGTATTGGGGCTGAACGTATGTGCCGCAATTCGTGACATCCCTGTGCGACATCACATGTCCTATTGCATTCTCTGTAGAAACAGCTGGGTGGTTGTGAAGGCCTGAGGAAACCTCATGACAAACACCACATGCGAAGCCAAATCCTGAAGGGAAGGCTAGAATCTGGAATGAGCCGCGACGGAGCGAAGACGACGTGAGGTATTGAGACCGTCGCAGAGCGGTAGAAGAACTCTGAGTCCGCATGTCGTGTACAGTAGATCCGGCTCAGTTGCGTTATTTTCTGCAGGTGACGGGGCCATCGATAACAAGCAGGAAGCCGGGGGCGAGGCTAATATGAGGCACGTCGATACGGAGCGTGGAGGATGTGAATACGGGAGAACATGATGGTTCGGCGCCTAGTATGTTTCCCTAGAAGGAGAAGCATGCAATCTTGCTCAACATGTGCCCGAAGTGGTTTGGTGGCCCGGTAGTAAGTATAAAGAGGATTTCTATTCATGAGGTGAGTTGAATCACAAAGCTAGGAATGACGACATAGGAAATAAATGCGCTGCTATAGGGAAGGTACAATAAGTAGGTAATGGAATATGGGCCTTCGCCTCTTCGCCTCGTTTAAAAGAAAGGTTCCCAAAAAGCACATCCCGTGAAAGAAAGCCCGTGAATCTATTCTGAAAATGGGAAACAGGGAGGCTGAGCAAAGGCGTGCAATGTAAAGACAAGAAAAAGAGTCCAACGGGAATGAATCATAACACCTGCGCGATAAACTATTTTGATCGGCGTAGTAAAGGGATGCTGGAAATTATAGAGACAAGAATCAAAATACGTAGACAAACAGGAGGTAAGGAGGCAGATTGAAAGGGCAGGTGTCGATGAATTATTGATAAAACACAAGAAGTAAAACGCCAACGAAGAGGGAGAATCGAGCAGGTGAATCTTAGAATACTCGATGGGTCTCTGAGAAACGACGGATGCCATCTTTAACCAAACACCTTCAGGAAAGCCCAGATGCCCAGGCCGCTCAGCACAGGAATCGTCAGGTTGTCGTCCCAACCGAAGATATCCACCACCTCGCTGGCCGATGCAACAAAGCCCGACCACAGGCTCACCACGCCGAGCGCCAGGGCGCCCGAGATGGTCGTTTTGGCGGACTCGTCCCAGCCGAGATATGAAACGGCCGAGGAAGGCAGGCTGAGGGTACCCTTGAACATAAAGTCGTCGTCGCCGGGCATTGGCCCAATTGTCTGGGAGAACCAGCCCCAGAACCACGCGGAGGTGGCCACACCGACCAGGAACGCGGCCGTCGAGCCGGCAAGCGACTTGCCGCGACGCAGTCGTGGCGTGTAGCGGCCATACATGCGGCCGAATGTGCTGGCTGCCGTGTCACACCAGCTCAGTAACAAGACGCTTATAACGCCGACATCCTTGGGCAGGGTGTACAGCACGGTCCAAGCACCAAGAAGGTAAAAGATGACACCGTTGTATCCGTCGAACTCGCTCTCGCGCATCAGGGCGCCCAGTAGTCGCACATACAGCCGGTTGAACGGTGCGTAACGGTGCCGAAGCAGATCGACGCTAGCAATGGGAATCAGCGCACCCATCAGGTAGGGGCACACCGAGCGAGTCTGCGTGCCCGACGCATAAAGCCACATAACCAGAAAGCCGATGGACACGTGGAGTAGCTTCCGTGGCACCTCATGCTTGTGCACAAACGACCGCCAGTGCCGGTGGATGGGGATCAGACCAAGCGGGCTAGGACTCCGGCTGAATTCACGCCACCAGTTGCCAGTAGTCGGAACGCCATTCAGTGGCGGCGGCCGCAGGTGGCCGTTTTTTGGGGTTTCCGACGACTTGCCGTTTGTCAATGATACTGTCTTACTGCTCTTCGACGATGAGCCGCTTCCACTTGCAGATGCGCCCTTCTTAGAGCTGTTTCCACCGTTGACAGGAGTGAGCTCACCCAACCTTCGAGTGATGATTGGGCTGCGGCTCCGTGTCCGAGCACGACGGTGTTCGGATCCACTGCTGTCGCTGCTCTCCGCTGCAGCGGTTTTGCTGCCTCGGCCAGCTCCTCTTCTCTCTCCTTCTGCCGTCTTATCGCCGGAATTTGTCTCGTCTTCATCATACGACTCTTCCTCGACAGGTTGAGGAGTCGACAGTCTTTTCCTAGCAGACCGTGTCATCGGTCCATTGTACGAGGCGTCGCCTTCAAGTTCCTGTGAGCCTTGCCGTTCAGATGGCGTGGGGCTTGGGGAGATAACACGCGGCGTTGCCGGGATGCTCCGCCGCCGGCGTTGTGAGGTTGCAGACGACATGCCGACGTATGGAAAGGGTGGCAGGACAGGAGTCGTTATGACGCCGCTAAGAAACCGGTGGGGATCGAAAAATTGCAGGTACAGCCAGAAGGACCGGGCGTGCACAAGAGACGAAGACGTAGACGATGCTGACGAGCAGGAGGACGAGGAAGAGGAGCGGGGAGGTGTCTTTTTGGAGGCCCGATAAGACGATTCGGACTGCGGGGCGGCGGAGTTCGCTGCGATCAGCGCAGGCCGGGACGTCTGGAAGAGGTCGGTGATAAACTGAACTAACGGATCCACGATTGCGAAGCAGAGTGCGGCTGAGTCGGGCTCGGCCGCCGAGTAGGTGAGGGTAGGGTAAGAGCGGAGAGGTGACGGATTCGTCGGGTGAAGTATTGTGACTTCGGATATGCAACAAAAGGGGGCTCGCGTGCTTCGAGACGGCACGCGGATAGGTCGCTTCTGCTGGATTCCGCGAGATAAGAAAGGTAGACCGCCTTCTTATACGCTTCCCAGCATTGGCAGAGGCTATGGCAGTGGAGAAACGAGCCGGTTCAGTTTGACTTGGTGGTCGGTTGGCCGATGAGGCTGTCTTCCTTTTGGCTTGTGATCGCCTCTGAAGGGAAAGGAAACTGAGAGGAGACTGCCACGAAGCAGACAAGTTAATGCAAGAAACCGACTATAATATAAGAAATACAGGTGTTAGATAGGATATTGACCCGGCGATTGTGTGCCGTTGGTCATGGGGGAAGATTGTGGCCTTGGTGTGGTGTTGATGTCGCGTGGCGAGTGGGAGCGTGACATGACGCCAAATACAACCAACATAGGAGGGAACGAAAATTTAGGCGGCGCGCAGCGTGGCTGCACTTTTGCGCTGACATGGGGGGTGATTGGCACCTTCTCGAAAAGATTTGCGGTCGCTTCGGAAGGAACCTAAGGTCATTGATTGGTCCTCATAAATTGATGCCCCATAATAAGGATACAGTGTACAACCCTTAACTTTAGAGCTATTCTCCACAGGAACACTGTGACATGCACTGTATGCCTTGTGCTTCTCGAAAACTCGCGATAAGATAACCCCAAAAAAAGTTTAGACGTCAAACTTTCTAACTGGAGGTGTGCTCGTTATTGCGCCGGCGGAAGGGGCAACTGCTTTGTTTACTTGATACCCGGTCACTCTTTCCTGGATTAGGCCGGTTACTCTTTCCTTCTCCACATCTCAACGACAAAACGAAGACAAACGGCTGCAGCGAATATTCGGAAGGCGCAAACCGCTCGCGCCTTAAGAGCCACAACTCCCTCACTCATTCCGACCATCGCGACCGGCGCTGCCTCCGAAACTACCACATTTTCTCTTGCGTCGCACCAACGACCGCCGTCACGCACTGGCCTACGATGGCGCCAGTGAAAAAACGGAGTACGCGGTCATGGGACGCCATGGGCCTGCCCGAGTGGTGCCTCGAGGCCGTGTCCAGCATGGGTTTCACCGAGCCCACACCAGCCCAGGCGGCTGCAATCCCACTCTTTCTGGGCAACTCTGATATTGTCGTGGAGGCGCCAACAGGAAGTGGAAAGAGTCTTTCATTTCTGATCCCCCTTGTTGCACGCATCCTGAGGAGATTTGGCGATCAGGATGCCGCACCGATCAAGCGTGGACACGTTGCGGCCGTAATCCTAGCACCGACACGAGAACTGGCCGTCCAGCTGCACCGTGTGCTGTTGGGGCTCATCGCATTCCATGCTCCATCAGCAGCTATTCTACCATACCTGCAACCACGATCGAAGCATCTGAACGAGGAGGAGGACAGTAAAAGGGGCAAGGGCAAAGGAAGCAAGAAGAAGCCAGGATCGGGTCTCTCTGCGGACGGCAAACGGATAGCTGGCGAGGACGACCCCAATGCACCATCTTTGCTCGCAAACACCCGACGACCCGAGACGGCCGAGGCCGTGATCGTACCACAACTCGTGATCAGTGGCGCATCGATCAAAGCCAGTGGAGATTTGGCAACCTTTGTGCGCCAAGGCACGAACATTCTCATCGGCACCCCCGGCCGATTAGCAGAGATGCTGTCTAGTCAAGTCGTGAACTCGACAGCATCCTTCGAGGCGCTTGTGCTCGACGAGGCCGATCGCTTGTTGGACCTTGGTTTTGCGAACGAACTGCGCCGCATTCTCGCGTTTATCCCGAAACAACGGCGGACATTCTTGTGTTCCGCATCGGTCAACGAAGCCATCAGCGAACTGATCAAGATGAACTTGAGAAACCCGAAGCGCGTTGCTGTGCGAGTACAAACACCGAAACAGAGAGAGGCACAGAAAGGAGGCCAGCATACACTGGAGGCTGCGGCACCTGCTCTAGAAATCGAAGAGAGGAAAACACCAGCCAGTCTACTCAACACATATATGGTGCTGCCCTCTAGCCAAAAACTGCCGGGCCTGGTACAGCTGCTTGAGCAAATCGAACCGAGACCCCAGCGAACACTAGTGTTCCTGGCATCGTGCTTCGCCGTCATGTACTTCTCGGCAGTACTGCCGGCCATTATGCCTGAAGGCTACGTTGTTTTGTCGCTGCATGGAAAGATGAAGCCGCACGTGCGCGAAATTGCATATGAGCGGTTTTTGTCGTCTACAAAGCCGTGCATCTTGTTGAGTACGTCCCTAATCTTCTCATCTTATTGTTCTGTGCACTGATCTTGTTGCTAACATATCATAGCCACTGATGTCGCCAGTCGTGGCCTGGACGTACCGAACGTTGACCTCGTGATCAACATCGACCCACCAACTGACCCAAAGACTTTCCTGCATCGTTGTGGTCGCACAGGCCGTGCCGGCCGTCGTGGTCTAGCCGTCACCATGCTACGGCCTGGCCGTGAGGCCGAGGGCTACGTTCCGTTCCTGGCTGTGCGGAAAACTCCTGTTGAGCTTCTAGGGGTGGTTGTGCCTGACCTGGTCGGTGTGCTCGGCGCCCTGCCGGCAAACGAGGAAGCGGACGGCAGTGCCGACCGGGAGGCGGCAACCGCAATTACCAAGGCCATTCGCGATCAGGTCAAGGCTGATCGTGAAATCCATGAGCTGGGCCGGCGTGCATTTGTGTCGTGGGCCCGTGCCTTCAAAGAGCACCAGGCGTCGTCGATTTTCCGGCCTGCTGATGTGGACTGGGTCGACCTAGGCCATGCGTGGGGTCTAGTGCAGCTGCCCAAGATGCCGGAGCTTCGAGCGGCGGGGATCACAGATCGGTCGTTGGGTCTGGAGGGTGAAATCGACGTGCGTGCGATCCCCTTCAAGGACAAGACAAAGGAGAAGGCGCGCCAGGCGGAGATGCGGGCAATGGAGCTCGCGGCGGCCGAACGTGACTTGGACGCCGAGGCGGCAGCAGCAAGGGCGGCCCAGCTCGAGAAGCGGAAGCGCAATACGGCATGGAGCAGTAAAGCGGACCGTGACAACGTGCGCATAGAGCGGCGCGACAAGAAGCGACGCAAGAAGGATGCAGAGCGCCTGGCGCAGATGACGCCTGAAGAGCGGGCAGAGCAAGAGCGTATTGACGCTATTGTTGCAGGCATCCGACGCAAGAATGAGTCTGAGGCAGCTGGTGCTGCTAACGACGACGAGGGCTGGGGTGGTATTGCTGATTAGATCGGTTGGTTTCTGTCACTATCGGAGAAGCATTTACGGGCATTTACAGGTAGCTATAAAGCAACGATGGGTTATTTCAATAGTAATATGTTTATTTCGCGTCTTAAAAAGTAAAGCTTTTTTTTAAAAAAAAAATCTACGGTCTTCTCTTTCTCGAAAAAGGAAAAGAAATTTTATTTTGGGTATCAAGATGTTAATGCTAAATTTCGGCCATCACAAAACTTATCAGTCTTAGCGATGTCCAACCCGTAACCTAAGTCGTGATCCGAGACTTGAGTGACACCGATGAGCCATCTTTGCTCCTTGTCTATCATCTGGCGAGACTGGCCTCGGTTGCCAATGGTCATTCCCGTTCGCGATGATGGCGTGTATGACTCCTCTCTCGGTCCTTGTCGTTCCTATGAAGACGTTCTTCTCGGTGGCGGTGATGTGTCCTCTCTGCATGACGGTCATCCCGGTCGTCTCGTCGGTTGCGGTACGAACGGTGCCTCTTGTCTCTAATGTCCTTGTCCTGGCGATACCTTAGGCCCTTGTGGTCATCGTCTAGTGTAAAGCCCTCGAGACTGTCGACGTCGTCATTGTCATTGTCGGAATCATCGCCTCGGCGTCGCGTATCGTCATGTCGGTGGTGGCGGTGGCGACGTTCTCGCCGCCCGTGTCGACGACGATGCTCTCTCTCCCGCTCCCGTTCCTCTCGCCGAGTTTGTTCCTTTATCAAATCTGCCATCTCCCTTGCCCGCTCTGCCGACTCACGCTTCCGGTCTTCTTTCAGGGTGCGAATAGTGGCTGCCGCTTGGCGCATAGCTTCGAGCGGATCGGCAGCCATGGAGCCTGCCGGCGCCGGGAGGGGAGGACGGCGCGATTTGTTGTAGGCTGACCCGGCAGATGAAGAGAACGACGGCTTGGACGCCGGCGTCGGGCCCTTTTCGCCAGCGTACCATGCACTGAGTGCGTTTTCGCCGCCTGCAGCATCGGCAAAGCGCATGGAAGAAGGCGGTACGTCTGGGGCCGGGCCGGCTGGCTGTGTTCGAGATGTTTGTGCACCGATAGCGCCCTCGTCTGCAAGCTGACTAAACAGATCAATGTTTCCGTTGCGGTCGACGATTGGCCGGTCTTTTTCTACAGCAGCACCAGTCATTTTTTGCCTTTTGCTCGCCTTAACCTCCTCTTCGACGTATTGCCGTGCCATACGCATCTCAAAATCCGTGTCGTCTTCGCCGTGGCGTTTGCGCGGCCGGCGGGTAGGCGCGTGAAGCGCCACGGCTGGTGCTGGAGCCGGAGTCTTTGACGTATGTTCCGCCGCCGCCGCCCATTTGGTATGTTCGGGAGAAGCATCGGGATCGGCCTCCCATCTCAACTGGGCCGCCCGCTGCGACGATTCGGCGGCACGCTGCTGGCGCTCTTCGTCGGCCTCGCGAGCACGGGCCTCAGCCTCGTCGCGGCGCACGCGCGCGACATTGTCTGCGTTGTAGACGTGCCACGACTTTTTGGCAAGCAATTTTCTGCAAAACAGTCAGTATTGGCCACGAACGTAAAGTGCTAAGAAGAAACGTAGACGTACAAAGGCATTGTGTGTTGGAGTGTAAGTACTCCGTATGTTGGGTGTACAGACGATGACGACAGTTGGGCGCTGTGGCCTTCGGGTCGATGCCTATTACAATTAGATGACTAAGCCTAGAAACCCCGGCTCTGGCGCTGGCCAATACACGTAATTATGAAAATGACCCGGTAAACTAAAGCTCACATACTACTTTTGTAAACCACTTTGAAATAATACGGCCGCAGGATCGTTCCTGGCTGGCCCTGGCCATCGGGTTCACTGTTTATGACTATGCGCTCCCCTATATATCTTGTTGAAATTGAAATGGTCAACGTCACTTTGTTTTCTAGGTGAATGGTACGAATATCAACTTAATTTCAAATTTGACGACGCAAAATAAAAGTAAAACTACAAAAAACAGAGGGTATCCTGGCGACTTTGAAACCGAACCAAACAGAACGAGAGCATCTCACCGTCTCCTCATTAACCTTCTCTCATCCTCCACTGTGTGTAATTGCGTCAGGGTATTGGGGGAAGTGGTCGCAAACAAATGTGGGCGTAGCGTCCCAATTTAACAATACAAGATTAGAAGAAATGCCGTCATTTCAATTGTTTTTTTTCTGGTGGGACTTTCGTGGTCAGAAGGCATCGCATCGCGCGCAACGCAAGCTCGCAGGATCGTGATCAAATCAAAGATAGGGCCTCGAATGGCTCACAAAACTCGCAGGACTCGCAGGAAGTCGGGAAGACGGTATCAAGTTACGTCGAGAAGAGCGTTCCCCAGTTGGAACCCGTGGCTAAAATGACCGAAGAAACCCCATCCCCCGTCAAGTCAGCGAGAAGGACGAACGGCGCGACAAGGACAAATGAAATGATATTCCAAAAGCACCGTCGGCCGCTTAGATGTTCTCAATCACCCGGGCGTTGACGGCGGACTGGAAACCGTGGTTCTGACCTGCGAATTCAGAAAAGTGCGACGGCTCGCCGGTCTCGCCGCTGTTGGCGGGCTGCAGGGCGGCGTCGAAGGCGGGCGAGCCAGGCATGGTCTGGTTGGTAGCGGGCAAGAAGATGACCTTGCTGTTAGCGGACTTGGCCATGGCCTGCATGGCCTCGAGGTAGCGGATCTGCATGGCAGGCGCAGACGACAAGATGTCGGCGGCCTGCCGCATGAGCTTGGCGGACTCGACCTCAGCTTTGGCGGCAATGATCTTGGATTCACCGAGACGGGTGCTCTGGGCGGCCATGGAAAGCGACTCTTGCAGCTCCTGGCTGAAAATAATGTCCTTGATAAGCATGCTCTCGACCTGGACACCCCAGCCGGCGGCGACGTCCTCGATGATCTCGCCAATAGACTGGGCGATCTCCTCGCGACGCTCAATGACGTCCTGCAGGACGCGGGCACCGACGACGTGGCGCAGGGTGGTCTGCGTGCGCTCAATAAGGGCCTGGCGAACGTTGGCAATGCCGAAGGCGGCCTTGTGGGGGCTGACAATGTGGTAGTAGATGACCGAGGTCAGGTGGACGGTGACATTGTCCTTGGTCATGCAGACCTGCTTAGGGACCTCGACGATCTGAATCTTGACGTCGACCTGGATCAGGCGCTCGCTCAAGGGATTGATCTTGACCAGGCCGGGGTCAACAGCCTTGTAGAAGCGGCCAAACTTGGTGACGAGGCCGACATTACCCTGGCCGACGCTCTTGTATGGGTTGGGGCAGCAGATGCAGCAAGGGACGGCACCGAGGGTACCGATGCAGGAGCCGAGGGAGTTGACTGTAATGGTTTGTCAGCACGTTGTCGACAGTGATGCGCGGTGAGGGGGACAGGAAACGCGTACTCATAGACCCATACCAGCCGGCCGGGTTGTGGTCGTCACCGACAATGGAGGCGTAGCTCTTCTGTAGGTCTTCTTTGCGAGGCGGGACGACGGCCATGTTGGCCTGGGGACGGAAGCCGACTTCGGCAGTGGGCTTGCCCGCGTGAGAACCGTTGCTGCTGCCAGCATCGGCGTAGGCACCGGCGGCTCTGCTGGCAGATCCAGCACTAACTGCAGAAGCGCTCATGTTGATGGTGTGGACGTGGTAGGACAAGCACGACGTCGAGGCAAAAAAAGCGAAATAGAGGTTCTTTTGCGATGACGACGGACGCGACGAGCCGAGCAAATGGATTATCGAGAAAGATTGCTTGTAATCTGTTATTGTTGGTATATTTGGGTATCAAAGGCGAAGCAGTGGGGTGGGGATAACTAGACAGATGGCGATGAAACAGAAAAGAAGGAGTAAGGTTCTCCCCGGAGAAAACGAAACGAGGATCACAAGCTCTTTATATAATTGGCAAGGGAAGGAGGAGCACAAGACAGGAATGGGGAAAGAACAAACGAATGTGGGTGCGCCGAGCATCCTTGAGGTCCTGCTATGTTGGTCGCGCTTTCCCAAGAGGCCATAGAGCTGTAGTGTGGTGGCTCGGTGGTTGCTTCGAGCCGTGGCTCAGAGTGCCTGAGAGAGTGCCTAGCGCCTACCGTTGCAGGGTCCGTTTTGTTGATCACCACAGAGCCCCGTAGAAGGAAGGGGCGACGAGGCCAAGGACCCAAGGAAGGTAGGACACGCCGGTTGTCTTGGGGCGTGTCTTACTGCCAACCTTCCTGCCCGCCAAGGGATGCGGCCGTAGTTCGTTCTGGCTGTGCAACGGGCGGTGTTGCCCTGGCACGGTGCTGTGGACAGTGTTGTGGACGGTGCTCTGTGCCCGTCATTTGAGACTCCAGCAAAACACTCTCCTGGGGCACACTCTGCGCTCTTTGTGGGAACAGAGGACGCTTTGGGGCGCAGGGATACAAAGGACAGGAGTCGGCACCTGTCTCATGTCGAGCGTGGGCTTTGTTGCGATGGGAGGTGGAGCGCCCCGGGCGCATTTGCACAGTGCGGGAGCACTTGTGTGCTGTGTTGCTCTCTAACTTGCTTACTTTGCCGCGTTCCGTTGCTGCTCCCCCTTCGCGTATTCACAGATACGGGTGAATATTATTCTTTACATTAGATGGCAGAGGTACGCCCTGTCCGGAGAGTGCCGTTGTGTTGTCAATGTACGTCTCATTAAGAACATCCCTTGACGTTTTACTACGAGTGACTCGGCGTCTCTTTTGGGAAGCCCAGATACGTTCCTCTAGAACTCTGTCGAGCTTCCGAACTTACTTGAAGAGGTGGCGTGACAGTTGCAAGTCCTCCCAGATGCTGGTCGCCATGACGTTTGTTTTCACATCGCAAAGGCAGTGCGGCGAACCAAAATATTGCACGGTGTGAGCATGAGACCAGGAGACGCAGGGGACCCGCTAAAACCGGGGTACAGATACCTTTTTCCGCGACAGGGACAGTTGGCGTCCCAAGAAAGTCGCCTCTTCACAGCCTTCAGAACTCTCTTACTCTGTCTTTTGTTGTCGTGTCTTACGACGTAGCCAGGCTCTTTAACGACTTACTTACAGAATGCTGCCAGGCCCAAACAAGCTCACAAGCTCGACCGATAACAAACGCGTCCGTCTTGACTGGTGCTGCGGAGGTTTGTCTCCACGGATCGACGTCAGGTGCACATTGCACTTTTTCTCAAGAACAATATGTCCAGCGCCGTATCTGCACGTCTGCTAAAAGATGAGCTAGCGCACGGCTGCATGGCCAGCCGTTTGGAGGCACTACTATCTGTTCAACGACCACAATGATTTCGTTGGGCGTCTGCAGGGAAACGTCGCCTGCAGACACCCACCCTCTTTTTTCTTCCTCCTTTAGGATGACGATAGTCGGCACTCGGATGAACCCAACGAGCCAACCTATTAGGGAGAGGGAATGAGTCAAAGGTTAAGACGAAATATTCAAGAGGGGCGGAGAAAGGGAAAAGCAATCCAAGAAGCAACAGGGCCAGGGCGACCAATCTTTTGTTTTCGGAAGATGTGCAATCCGACTGCCATCATCGGTATCCCTGCTGGCTCTCTTCCGCCATGAGGAATCAAGGTGAAGGTAATCGTCGCAGAGCCTGTAGGCGAAGGGGCACGGGGAAAGGGGCCACTACCCCCTGCACAAAGTGTATCATGATACCCAAAACGGGAGCTGTTCGCGCACAGACCGAAACGTTTTGTGCGGTTCTCTGCCCCGACTTTTGACACTGAGACCTCAATCGCTCAGCGATATTGTTGTCGTCCGCAGTAGAAAACGCTTATGTGCCGAACTTCCGCGTTGGGGGGACAGCTGCTTAGCCTTCTGCTAGTTTGCTTTCTTTTCGAGCTTGCACTTGGATGCCCTTTTTCCTCTGTATGTCGCTCACATCTGTTGCACTGCCACTTCCAGAAGGCGAATAGAAGGAAGCGGGGCCGAGGATAGCAGGACGGGTTCGCGTCGACGAAGGTTGCGAAGTATCCGAGCTGTCGTGGTGCGTAGCACAATGAAAGACAGCTGGGGGCGATCAGAGTCGATGTTCATGACGGGACAAAAAGGCTTGGCACAAAATTGTCTGGGGTGCGCTGTGGGGCGAACACGGCAGACAAAAGCGCCGGTGCAATACGAAATACGGGTGGAAAGAGCGACGGAGCGACAGGTTGCTGGATCCACATCGACGTCGTTGCGGCCATTGAGCTTCATGTTTGGACGTCGAGCGTGAAAGACGAGATACTTTATCTATTTGCTTGCACGCCGATGGTCGTATTTGGAAACCGAGACAGATGCACCTTCGTTGCCCAGCATCGAACTTCATAGACTCGCCCACGGGCATAATTCTTGTTTTTGGGCTGATTTGAGGCGTCGCTCAGTCCTTCAGTTGCACCGTTTAATCCCCACCCGGCTTTTTCGAGTGTGGCTTTGTCGAGGGGGTGATCACGTTTTCCTACATTTCGGCTTGCTCGCACCTGTTCGGGTATCGGATTGCCCAGCTTCCTGAGCTCATTGGGAACATCTGCCTGCACGTTGAACTGTTGTCACATTGCCCAGTTAGAGAGCACAGCCATGTCGGTTGCCCCTTCCTCGAATCGTATGCTCCGTACTTGCCCGACTACGTCGTATTGACCAATTTGATTTGCCCGGTTCAATCCCTAAAGAAGCCGTGGAGGACCAACTTCTCTCGTCATCATTTTCTTCCCAGACATTGCCCGACAAAAGCTCAGGCTCGACAGGATGCTGCGCTCGACCTGCTCCTGCTCCCGACCGATCATCCGCCCCCCCTGGTCCAATTGAGTGCCGATCCTGGGGCTTGACAGTCCGTTTGAACCTCTTGTGGGACACAATTTGAGGTGCCCTGTCAGCCTGTGTAGCTACTGTACCTTTGACGCCTCAGGGGCTTTTCGGTGGGAAGGATGAGACAGTGACGGCATTGTTTCGTTGCGCACTGTATATTGTGCTACAGAGCACGTTTAACGCTCAGCACGCTAGCCAAGATGCCCAATACAGAAGTACCGCAGCAACAAGTAAATCCACTACAAAGTATGTACGACAGGCCCCAAGAACTAAACTCTGGGGTATGAGGGTAAGATATGTCACAGTGATTCACAGCTCTAGCGGTCCGTTGTCAGCCTGCTGACTTTACCAGCCGGTCAGGCCAATTATGGATCTTTTCATCTAAGTTGTTGATCGAGTTTTTGCCTGCACAGCCTCGTCCCACAGCAAACTATGACCACCTGACTCCACTCAAATATGAATTCCGTTGCATCTCCGGTGCTTCACCTCGCACATAGCCTGTCGTCCGTCGCGCCCCCGTGTGCCGGGCAGCCGAAGTACCGACGCCCGACTGGCCGGGGAATAGGAATTGGAACCAGCAAAAAAGGTTCGCGTGCAGACGGACTTGAGCGGACAAGTTCGCAAACGTATCTGACGCAACTGCCAACTTGTAGCAGAGGCGGCGTCTTGGCTGACGTCGGGACAGCTTTTGGCGGTCCTCGTCGACGAAAGGATCTGATCTTACGCGGTGATATTGTACTCTTTCGCCCAAATCTACAGATGTCCACATGAAAGTCGTAAAGTTTCTCAAATTGAGGACTAGCTTCATGTTCATGGCACAACGATGTTCGACTAAATTTGGGATGCTGCCCAGTCAAGAAGTCTCCTGCCCAAATGCCAAGTGAATCAATACAAAGCCAATGAGGCTCATGGCGACTCTACTTTATCATGCCAGCTACCGTGCTATCGTGTGTGAACCATCGCGAACCATCGCGCTCATCATCGGCCTCACTCTCGAGCTGCTGAAGACGAATTACATTGCGCGGCTGTTGTTGGTCCTCCCTGCTATTTGGGGGGCGGTCTCGTACGCGAGCATTGTCGCAGCATGGAGCTTAATCAATGTTCCGGGATTTAAACAATCTGTATATCTGAATGTAATCTATGATGACTCTATCGTTGTCTGGTCTATGTGTAAAATATTAGGTGTGCCAATTTTGCACTTGTTTATAACACCCTTTTGCGAAGATTCGTGTTAGTTCTTCTCCACCTGTCTCTCAAGACTGCCCAGAACTCCGTCAACGCCTGTGCTTGATTAGACTCCAGACCTTGGCCGGCCAAAACCAGTCCTTGAGCTGGAAGCCTCTGCTTTCGTCGTCCTTGTACCGCAAACCCGGGTCAGAATTGCCAGTGGCATTACCCTCGGGATGGAACGTCGTCTCCATCCCCGTCAGCTCCATCATCGACTCCCGCTGGTCGCGTCCGTCTTCGATCGATGCTGACCTCGATGCCAACGCGGATGCCGGAACCGGTCGTACACCGTGCGGGTACAGCGTGCTTGGGTGCCACACGAAAAACACGAGCATCACTGCCAGCATCAGCGACGCATCAAAAGCATACACCGGCCACTCGTGCACCTGCAGGAACCCGTCGGTGCCCATCGAAAACTCCACCACACGGTACAGGTTGCGCGCCAGCACCGCCAGCGATGTGAGGTACAGCATGTAGAGACACGACTGCCAGGGGAGGTCCGTGTTGCGTCGCTCTCGGCTGGCGTGGAACCGCTTGTGGAACACCACGCAGCACACCATAAAGCCAATGAAGCCCAGCACCTGCAAGATCAGCCCCGTCACGATGATGTAGCTGCCAATCTTCGCCGTCTTTGTCTTGGCCAGCAGTCCACCGCCGTTGGACTGTACCGACAGGAACGAAAAGTCAAGAAACACAAAGAGGTGCGTCGTCCACCGTGGCCGAATCAGCGAAAATTGCCCGCCGTGCACTGCCCGTACAATGCGCGAGTAGACCATGTAGAGAGTCGCGGCAAAGAAGATGGGCGCCAGCAGCAAGAAGAGCGACTGCAGCAGGTACGGAGCAAGGGAGCCGGTAGCGTTGTATGCGCCGGCTCGACAGGCATAACCGATGACTTCGACTGAAATACACATTAGGATTCGGTGCAAGGTACACAGCTCGAGGAAAGGGAAAAGACAAACAAAAACTGCCAATGACAAACGGCGTGCAGAACCACATCTTCTTGGCCACCATCTTCCACAGATGGGCAAGCGTGACGACCAAAAAGACGCCCGTGAAGACTATCGACAGTGTGAGACTGGGAATGTACTTCCACAGATAAACGTCGTCCACGTATGGCTCGAGAGTCGGCATCGTGAGGGAAGAAAGAAATGGTAGTCGAAAGAGGAAAGTGGTGGGTAGATATCTAATCGAGAAAAATGAACCGAGAAAAATGAATCAAATACGACGCGAGAAGATAATCCAAGGAAAGAGGTAAGGCGTGTAGAATTTAGGATAGTATCAAAAGACAACCGACGAATCTTAACCTACAAGACGACGACGGCCGACCATAAATATCATCGCCAAGCCTCTGAGGGAGAGGCATTGCCCTTGCTTGGAGGAGGCATGGTTTGAAAAGTTCCGTGAATGCAACTGCGTAGGATGAATGTGAAGAAACAAAATAAACAGTCTGGACAAAAAGATTAGTACCAAGGTGAATACGCCGTATTTGTTTACGTCGTAGATCACGTCGAAGCGGTACAGAATACAGATAAAGACCCTCTCCCTCGTCGAGCTTACCCGATCGCCCTTACCGGATTGTTTACTTTCTAGGCAACGACATAAAGTCTCGTCTCAGGCCACTCGAACGCGTATCCGAAGATTGCACTGCCCGGCGGCCGTTCTGCATACTTCCCGAGAACGCAATCTCACGATCCCTCTAAATGGCTATTTGGGTGCTTTTGTTGCGCGAGGCTCGGGCCCGTGTTAGTCGTGGAAGTGGGGCCATGCTGTCCCGCCATGTGGAGTCCCCGTTAAAGGAACGGGGACTGGGACCGTACACGCGTATTAGCTAATACGAGATGACGACAACATCGGCCACTAGTAATGAGCTCCTTCCAACTTTTCACTCTTTCCCGCAAGGCGACGGGAATACAACAGACAATGGGCGTGAAGGATCCACAGACCAGGGGCAAGTGTCCTTCAACATTCATGGAAGGAGCCACAGGGCGACAGATGCCTGCCCAAAATGGCAACAGTCACGTACAGTGACTTGACGATCCTTTGGCTTTCTCGTCCAGTCTCTTCATTCTTACCATTTTGCTCAGCGCACCCTCTCAAGGTGGAAGAAGCTTAATGTTGCTTCCACCTTGACACGTCTCTAATGTATGGACGACGTCAGCTATTCCAAAACCCTAGACCAGACTGCCAAGAAAAAAAGATGACCCGAACGGTCGAGCTGTCAACAGTCGAGACACTCTCGTTCGCATTATAAAGCCCCAAATTAGCGACCATTTTTTACCACCATCCTACACCTCATCTCGTCTTTCCTCCCGTCCCGCGTATCACGTAAAACGCGTATTCGGTCCCAGTACGCCCAAAGGAGAGCGAGATTGTGCCTTGTCTTACCGTCACCTTTGCAGCCTCACCCCCCCTCCTTTTTCTTCTGTTTTGACTCCATCGCAGGCTTCCGTTTATCACCTTTTCGTCTGCTACGATATAACTCGCCGTCTGTGAAACGGAACGCCAACCTCGTTCCGTGCTTTCTACCCCCTCAATTAGCTTCTAGTCACGCAAGCGCACCCCCACGGCTATGCTTCGTCGGCGCCACAAGAAGTCGCGTGCTGGCTGCTTAGAATGGTATGTCCTTCTCCATCTCTCTGACTGCGGGACGGTTATGTGGCGGCCTCTCGTTTCCGTCTCTCCCATACCTTCTCTTCGCATTACTAACAACCGCAAAATATAGCAAGCGTCGACATGTCAAGGTAAGGGAAACAGGCTCTCAGACCCCGTTATGGAGATGAACCCCTAGTCCGTATAGTCTCGATCGAGACGGCACGTCCAGTCAGATGCCGTTCGTGCAGGAAATAAGATTATGCATGAGCGGGGATGATGTGACATTTGTTACTGTTTTATTACTTTATTGGTGATTATAAGCGTATGGCATGGGTCACTAACAGAAAGACGGCCAGTGTGACGAACGCCGTCCTGTCTGCTCGCTCTGCAGTGTGTCCGAACGAGCGTGCACGTTCCCCACACTCCCTCCATCTGTATCCGAACAGGCGTCTGCAGACACTTCCCTGAATGCCTCCCAGGGCACATCGCCTCCGCCAGGCGCGTCTGCTGCCTCGAGTGCACCAACGTCGGTTGTTACGCCTGCACTCCCCGTGTTCCCTTCTCAGTCCACGGGCAGTCCCAACGCCAGCGGAGACGGCGGCGACCCGCTTCTCCTCATCGACGATGCCGATGGGGCAATCAACGTCAGCCATGCCGAGCTTATCGTGCACCTCATGACTGATGAAGACATCCAGAGCTTGGCTGCGAATCCCAACAACCTGTCGAGCGGCATGGTTCTCGGTCTTCGCGCTGGGATCCGCACGCCGTATCTCCTGTATGCCATGCTTGCGTTCTCGGCGCGGCATCTCGCCTACCTGGCGAACAACAGCAGCGACATCAAACACACCACGCCGCCCCAGTCTCAGTCGTGGCATACTCAAGAGCAGTGGACGCCAGAGCAGGCCTCGCAACCCTCGGTGCCGTCGTCCGTTCCGTGGATACCGTCCCAACCGTTGGTGTCGACGAACCCATCTTCGCTATCCATGCCCTCCTCGTCGTCGCCCTCGTCGATGTCTTCTCCGTCACTAAGCACAGCAGCCTCGCCTGTGCCGCCACCGTCACAGTACTCGCTACCGTCGTCGCTGCCGCCGCTCTCGTTCTCGTCGACGCCCCCCTACGTGACCCAGTCGCCTACCGCTGCCGCCCGCTATAAGCGTCAGTCCGTCCTCCTGCAAACCCGCGCCATCTCGCTTTTCAACACCGCCTGGCGCGCCAGTCATGGCGTCTTCGACCGCTCCAACTGCGTGCCCATGCTTCTCTTCTCGTCCATCCTAGGCCACCACCTGTTTGCCGACTCACTCGCCAGCCGCCACGACTCTCTGGACAAATTTCTCGAGGACTATGTTCAGTGCGCCCAGCTGCAGCAGGGTGTTTCCGCCATTGCCATGACCACCTGGCCGCTCTTGCTACAGTCTGAATTTGCGCCCATCCTGCAGTGGAGTGCTCGCTTCACAAGCCGCAAGGGCCGTGGACACGACTGCGCGCAGCTGCTGACACTCGTCAACAGAGCCCCCGAAGACCGGCTCAGCGCGTCCGCAAAGAATGCTTGCCACTTGGCAATCCGTCTACTCCAGGTTGGCTTCGACGTGCTGTACTTACCGGCACCCAAGAGCCCAAAAACCTCGTCCACACACAGTACCAGCCAAAACGGCAGTACCGATGCCGATACCATGGATATGGATGATACGGCAGAACGTCCGGTCGGCGAAGGTGCCGAAAATGCCGACAGCCACGACAACGACGGCGACGAAGAAGAAAAATCGGATGAAGACAAGAATGAACACTTGTACCGTCACAAAATGATTTTGCTTTGGGCGCTCATTATGCCCAAGGAATTTTCCGACTTGCTTGCGGCCAAGAACCCCGAGTCCCTCGTCATCTTGGCCTACTACGCTTGTCTTCTCAATCACGGCCGCCACCTGTGGCAGGTTGGTGACGCTGGTGAGTACATTATGGGCCTCATCAGCGACTACATGGACCCCGTCTGGGACGAGTGGCTAGAGGAGCCAAGGCGCCGCTTGGCAACGGATGTTGTGCAAGGGCCGACGCCGTGAATCAGAGAGTCATCCCTAATTTTGTGCCTTAATATATGCTTATAGAATATGATTAAAACTTTTTTTTTTTTTTTTCCCATGGCATACCAAAATGTTCACTAGTCTCTGGTTGACCTTGCTCTGCACCGTCTTTCCTGCATGTTAATGATTAGATTAGTGGCGTGCGGCCTCGTTATTTTACGGCACTTTGTGAGATTTATATATTGAACTAAGACACTGAGAATTTAACTTAATAGGCAAGATGGCCGAGTTGGTTATGGCGTAGGATTAAGGTTCCTATGGAGCAATCCGCGTGGGTTCAAGTCCCACTCTTGTCACTATTTTTTGGTCTTTTACTAGGTTTTATTTATCAGATATCGATGAAAGATTTGGATTACTTATATTTCCTCTTTTTTTTTTTCCAAGAAAATAAAAATTAAAAAAGAGAACAGAAATAAGACCGAAAATAATTTTAAACGTTAATTGAAAAAGGAAAAGAAAAAAAGAAACAGAAACAAAATAATGACAAGAGTGGGACTTGAACCCACGCGGATTGCTCCATAGGAACCTTAATCCTACGCCATAACCAACTCGGCCATCTTGCCTGGATCCTTGCTGGGAACGCCAAGTATCACGAGTTATACGGACAACAAGGCACGTCAGATACCATTGCCGATATGATCAGAAAGACGATGGCAAAGACGAGTGCCACTGTTTGTATATCCTCAAGCTGCTGTTTTTTTCGATTACCTTCGATATGTGTGACTCCCAGGCATCCAATGTTACCTAGCGAGAGGCATCGCATGCTTGCCGCCAATACCACCGTAAAGCCCTCAGTGCGACATACGGAAAGGTTATTTGTTCTCTTGGCGCCCACGAGTCTTGACGACAGGGGGGTGGCGGCGTGAAGAAAACGAAGGCATAACGAGCAAAAGACCTGCCATGCACATGGCAATGCCTGAAGGCACTCAACCAGATTTTGCATTACGGCAAGGACGTGAAACCATACAGGCCTTTGCCGATTAGGCTCCGAGAAGCCGATGCGACAGCTCTCGGGTAGCTGCTGCCTCGCACATAAAGTGAGTTTCTCCAAGACTCCAGCGGAAGGCTGTCGGCCGCCGTTTATCCCCCAACATACATTCCCATTCTTGGCTCTCGTACTTTTTCGTTGGACAGTTCAGCCGCGCAAAATGCCGCCCAAGACCGAAAGCGAGATGGCCGAGCGCCGTACGCGCTATCTGGAGGCGGTCCCCGAGGATCGTGACAACCAGGTCGCCAAGCTGCTCCAGACCTACAGTCACATCCCCGCCGACAAAGTTACGCCGCATCTCCACGCCATACGCGACCGTGCATGGGCCGTATTTCCGTACACGTGCATCGGTTCCTGGCGTTTCCTGGACCTCTACTTCACCAAGCTGCCTGTGTATGCATCCGTCGTGGAGCGGCTCCGGGACGGTGGCGACCGCTTGCTCGATGCAGGCTGCTGTTTTGGTTACATGCTGCGCCAGCTTGCGGCCGACGGTGCCCCGACGGCCAACCTCGTCGGCTCGGACCTCGAGCAGCTGTTTATCGATCTCGGGTTCGATCTGTTCCGTGACCGCGACACATTCAAAGGCACCTTCGTCGCGGCCGACATGCTTGAGGATGATGAGGCAGGCGCAGGCCAAAAGGAGCTAACCGCCCTTGACGGCACTCTTGACGTGGTACACGCCGCCAGCTTCTTCCACATATTCAGCTGGGAAGACCAGGTGCGACTGGGCGAGCGCGTGGTGCGCTTCTTCCGGCCTGCGGACAAGACCAAGGCGACCAACTCGGGTCAACCGCGGCTGTTGTTTGGGCGACAGGTCGGCAACATTGCGCCCGTCGACCGTGCTACACTGGCAGCGCGCGGCGAGTACAGGTTCCACCACAACCCGGCGACGCTACAGCAGCTGTGGGACGAGATCGGCGAGCGCACCAAGACCAAGTGGCGTGTGGAGGCGGAACTTGTTCCGGAGGCGCGGCCTGAGAAGCGGCAGCCGGCGACGGATGGGGCCAAGAAAAAGGAGGACCACTACATGATCCGTTTTGCCATTTACCAGGAGGAATAGTAAGTGGTAGGAGAAGAAAGTAGGTGCGTTGAAAGGACGGAGAGGGCTCGCAGAAGCTCGTACAGGGCTAGAACGAGATAGAAATTTGTGCACAGTGTTAAAGTACCACTTGCCGGTTTCTGAACCCTCCACAGAGCCCAGCTGTAAAATTCGTTCAGGAGTTTGCAATAAAACAAAAAGAAAAGATAAAAACGTGTCGACAACTGGCAATCGATTGAGCACAGATCGAGAGGTGCAACATTTTGCGACGGCCAAGCTGGGTCTGACCACACGTTGAAACTTGGCAGTCTCGGCACGTCCGGCGTGAAACCATCCAACCCTATCTCTGCTTCCCCCCTAGATGATTGAAAAGGCCAGTTCGTTCTGTGTATTTCTTTTTCCAAAACCTTTACCAAGTACGGTTGGTGCGAACACGGCCGTTTCATCAACGGCGAAATAAAGACCTGTTGCCCTCCGACAGTGGCAATTGCGCTGTACTTGAGGCGTAGGGGAAGTTTAGTATACCCCTTACCCACAGACGTCCAACCCCAATGTGCTTACGAGTCATGATCATGAACCACTCGCCCAGTCATCTGATATCAGTGGCCGATGCCTCGTCCTACCTTTCTTGGCAGGACAATCCCGTCTACTGTTGCTTGAGTTGATTAATAGAAGTCGCCACGCTGGTTTGTCTCAGCGCGGTACGTCGCTGGGCGTAAGGAAAGCATAGTCCGACAGTTTGTAAGAGAGAGACACAAGGCCAAGTAAATAAATAAAGTAGCCAAGAGAGCGACAAGAGTCCAAATAGTGGGGACGGAATAAGAAGACGCAGAGTTTCCTAAGACGGCAAGATGCCCCCGTAGGTGCTCTTGCCATTCGCGTGCCTACCCTTTTTGGGCTTTTCGTTCTTGGACTTTTCCTTCTCCCAACTTTATAAAGTAAAACAAAAGCAAAAGAGACTGAGAAGTCCAACAATGTTGCCCGAGATAAAAACAAAAACAGGAGCAGGCCTTCGGCCACTTTGGCTGTTGCTACTTCTCGCGACCGCACATCCGGGCGACACAGTCGATACGGCGGCAGCCGGCTTTCGATATGTTCACCATGCGGACTCTTTGCTGGCTTTCTGTCCACGATCGGTCCTGAATCAAAGTGGCCTCGTCACACCAGTTGATGCCTCTGTGTGTCAGCCGGTGTCTTCGTCACCTTCATCATCCACGTCGTCCTCGTCATGTGCGTCATATGCAGCATCCAGGTCTACAGAGTCGACACCGCTGTTGAACAACAGCGGTGCACGCCGACAGGAGACAGACAAGGAGGAACAGCACCAGGTCGGTCAGCTTCAATATCACCAGACTGGCCAAATTGACCAGATTCCTGTAGCTCTCGGTCATGACGGCGGTAACACACAGGCCACTTGCTCGGTGGTTCCAGCGCCGTGGGTCAAAGGCAACTGCCGACGGGGCAATCTACCAGAGAAGCAAATTACCAAAGACACAAAAACAGGAGAAGACGATGCCGAGTACTGCGTCTACACACACCCATCATTTAGCCAGGGGATGGGTCTCTCGGTCATCACCACCGCGAGCCGGCTCGGCGCCATGGCCACTCGGCCTGTGTTTGGGGGAAGCGAAGAGACGCTTCCTGCAAGCAAGGGGCCGACGCCCAACGGCGCAGACTGGCCACCCGACGGCGATTCTGTCACTGTGCCCGCCTGGAGTGAGCAGAACGTGCCAGGCAAGGACGTGGGTCTCGTGGCCACACGGCCCATCCGCCGTGGTGAACGTATCATGGCACGTACGCCTGCTGTCATGATTGACGGAGCCGCGATAGATGCACTGCCAGTCGCTCCATTTGCAAGTCTACTTGAGGGTGCCGCCTCTGGCCTTCCAGAACCGCATCGCGCGCAGTTCTTCAACCTGTCTACGAACTCCGGCTTCGATGTGCAAGACGCAAACGAGAACGAGGCCTACCAGATCTTTGTGACCAACGCATTTCGAACGGGCATTGCCGACGGCGAGCCGGATCTGCACACTGTGTTCCGTGATGGTAACTGTCACTCTTTGTTTCTTCTGTTTGACCTTGTTCGTCGCACAGCACACAATGACTAACACAGCACACAACGGCACAGTGTCACGTCTTAATCACGGGTGCCAGCCCAACTGTGCCTACTTCTTCGACCCGGTTACTCTGTCACACAGCGTTTATGCTGTCGTCGACATCATGCAGGGCGAGGAGCTGACCGTCGCCTACATCGATCCGATACAAGTGCGGGCCGACCGCCAGACCAAACTTCACCGCCATTGGGGATTCGGCTGCACATGTGCGAGATGTACGTTACCGCCGCACCGCTTGGCCGAGTCCGACGACCGCGTCCGCTCTATCCAGGCGTTATTGACGTCCCTGGACAACTACAGTTTGCTGATGCCGGATGGCGTGAGCGCCAACATCGCCAACGTGACGGTGGGCCCGTCGGCCGGCGAACTGCTGGTTCTATTGTTTGAGCTTGAGGGTCTACATGGCCGCATGCACGAGGCCGAGTACCGTTTGGCCCTCGAATGGAACGGTGTCGGCGATGCCCTGCGCGCCACGCAAGCTGCTCGCCGCTGCCTCGACCATGGTCTGCTGGTGCGCGGGGCCAAACAGGTCTTTTTGACCAACATGCGGGATCTGATCACCGACCCGACTGCCCATTGGAGCTGGAAATTTCGACTGGGAAAGGGAGCCGCTGCAAAAGAGGACGAGTAGGAGGGAAGAAAGAGAGAGGGAGGCGTCAACGAACGGGAGACGGCAACAAGGACGCAGTGGTATGGGTTTGCTTGAGAGAAGCGAGACCGTATATTGTGACGTTGCTCGACTTGAACACGAGGTTGGCCAGGATGTGCCTCAAATCACACTCCCCATGTGTACAATTCTGGCTCAAAAATGTGGCCGAAACTTTGTCTCGCGTTATCTTCTGTCTCGGTTTATCTTCCAATTTGTATCTTACAAACAGTCTTGGGTGGCTCCCTCTGCGTTTGCGGTTGTGGTTTTAGTGTTGCCAATTCCAGATGTGTATATCTCGGTTCGAGTCTTTCGTGCAAGTACATACGGTTTTATTTTGAATCTACTTTGTTCCTCTTCCTCCTTGCTTTGCCTCTGCTCGATTTTTATTGTTCCCGCATAGTATTGTGACACAAGTTGATTCATGAATACTTTGTCAAAAAGAACACACAAAATTAATCTAGGTGGCGGGAAAGCGTCTCCAGCAGCCCAATGAACACAGGAAAAGGATCAATGAACACCAGGAGCCCTGGTGACACAATAGCAAGGCATAATAGGGAACAAGATTGGCATTTGAACACACAAACGAGGCGCGTTACCTCTCTCTGGTGGTGCCAAATTTCGGTAGTCTGCATGTCTTTGTTTATGCTGCTCTTGTCCTGCCCCCTTTCTACTCTGATTCTCTGTTGCATCTCTTTTCTGTGCCAGATGACAAGTCGAGCGCGACTCGTCACCAAATTACAAGGCGTTGTCGAGTGGCTGGTCCGCTGCAGGGAAGAACAGGGGCATCAATATAAAACCAGGTTACAGGCAGACAAAAACAGGAGTATGTCCGCACCCAGATTACTGGTTTCACGATAAGTGATTTGTGAACGTAGACAAGGTAACCTGCATCTATTCTTTTTTTTCTCCTTGGGAAGCTTGAGATACGGTGGGAGGCACTGCGACGGGTAACAAAATCACTGTGGGGCATACTGAGAGAGGTTCAAGACAAGGTAAACGTTTGTCTGCAAAGATAAAAGTCCAAAACAGTGGACATTAAAAAAACATATGCCCGAACTCTTACAACAGCACGCCAAGGTACAACAACATAAGAGGTACTCACTAAAAGCAACCATTCTCTCTCTTTTTTTTATTTCCTCTTCGTTGCGTCTTCATTTGGGCACCGTTCCTGTCCCCGGATCGTCAGTGGTTCCGTCTTTCCCTGACTGCTCTACCGTCTCTCTGGTTACCTATACACAGTGACCACTTGCGCCTACCGTCCCTCTCCTAACTGATATATAAAGAGCGTGAACCAGCATCTTACAAGCGAGAGAGCTTACCTTTCTTGTCCTTCACCACCTCTTCCAAGTCGCTCTTTTACTTTGGCCGCTTCTCCTCGTCCTTCTCCATATCCAACTTGTTTCTCCCTTTTGCCACTCGCTGAAGTTCGTTCACTCTATACTCCCATATCCGTGCTTGCACATAATTTTTAATTATAATCCCCGGTGGAGAGTCCCCTGAAGAAAATAAAATAAAAAATAAGTATATCAACACCAAGAACTGTCAAAGCCATGAAATCTGTTCTTATGATGGCCCTCGGCCTGATGGCCACAGCAGTCAATGGCCAGTCGTATGCCTACTCGGAGACGTAAGTTTTTCTCTCTCGACGTACTTTACTTGTCGGATTCAGCCACTCACATTCGTTTAGCTCCCAGTACGGCGTCCAGCATACACCTCCATTGTCGACTTCGGCCGCCGGCCCGACCCTGGCAAGCAGCTACAGTTACACGGCCCACCCCTACCCGACAGTTCTGCCGTCTACTTTGTCCCCGTTGTCATCGGTTACCTGCTCTGAGACGCAGTCGGTGCGGCCGGTGCAGTCTACCTCGGAGTCCCTCCAGACGTCACCATCCACATATCTGCCGCCGCCAACGACGTCCTCGACGACCTCTGAGTCGTTGACCTCATCCTCTGTGTGGCAGCCCCCTCCGTATGGCTCCGCCGGCACGTCTGCACCTTCGTCGGTGCCTGGCTCGGTGTCTTCGTCGGCCCAGGCCACTTACGGCACCAGCCCGCCGCCTGTGTACTCCACCAACTGTGTGCATTCGTCGTACGCTTGGAACACTACTGCCGCGGCTAGAAGTGTTGCCAGCAGCGTCACAGGCAGCACCACCACCACAACGGACTGCCCGCCGACCTCTGTCACCTCGACGGGGAGTACCATTGGCACGACGACACTGCCTCCCTATGGCGGCAGTGGCGGTGGCAACAGAAACGGCGATGGTGCCGAAACATCGTCATCCAGCCCCGTATTCTCTGGCCAGGCCACAGGCGCCAACCGCAGCTGTACCTTGGCGATCCTGCTCATGGCCCTGGCCTGTGGTGCTTCTTTCTTGATGTGAGGGAAGGAGAGTTGTAGGTATGGACGGAGGAAGGGTTTCAACTTAGCAGGGTTTCTGATATGGGACTTCATAGTTCGTTTTGGTCTTTTCTCTTCTGTCTGTTCGTGTTTCGCTCTCTTTGGTTCCCTGCAGTTTCCTCCTTCGCTCCCTCCTATTCAAAATTCAAAACCCCGACCTCTCTGTCTCTTTGTCGCATAGCGGTAGTTATCAAAACGAATTTAAAATGCAATAATACTGTACTACAGGTGTTCAACTTAATGGCGTTTGTTATCCGTTGAAATGTAGTTAACAAGACGCAAGCTGTGTTCGTAGAACATGAATGTATGGCCGGGACGTAAATCTTGAGGAGGTCAAGTGGGAGTAAATAACTGGCTTTGTACCTGTACACCTAAATAGTGTGTAGTAGTACTTTTCAATGCCCCACCAATCTAAATCGGTCCTCCAAGTCGCGTCGTCAGTCGCGTCTTTTTGCAGAAGAATGTCACCTGTCTAACCGACAACGTCTCAATCGACAGTATTGCCCGACCTCATCACAACACGCAACAAGGCCAGGCGATGCAGTCCTTCAAGCATGTCGTCATCCAAACGTGAAGTATTTGACTCGGACGACGACGGCGACAACCTGAGCCCGCTAAGTATTCCGCTGGCCAGTCCGCAGTTGTCGCCGCGTCCTTTTTTGCCGTTTGCGACAATGGCGACAACGGCGACGGCCGCAACGCCAAATTTGCCGGCTACGAGCACCTCGACAGACCCCTCCTTCTTTCGCGATGTCTACGAGGAGCAGCGGAGGACTATCGGAGCGCAATTGGCGCCACAGCACGCCGATCTTGACGACAACCACCGTCTTGGCTCCACTGTGAGCGTGTCTGTTGACAAAGGTGGCCGTGATCCCTGGGCGGTGCCCAGCAGCCCGATCGAAGTCGCCGGTCAGCAGCGCGGATCCTACCTGAAGCGGAAACGGGAAGAGGGTGACCGACGACAACAACAACAACATCAACAGGCCAAGAGGCAAAAGAATGCCTCGGTTGTTGTGCAGCTCGACGACCTCAGCAGCGGCCATGCGTCGGAGGCGGCAAAGACCAAGAAGCAGAAGACGGCAGACGAGACCAATACCGAAGGCAACACAGTCGTCGAGACCATTTCCATTCCCCTCGAGCCCTTGACTCCAAGCCGCTTGCACCAGTATCCGCGACTGCTCAGCAGCAGCATCAACGACGACGCCCTCGCCGCGGCACACGATCCATCTTTGCCGAGGCAGCATGGCCTCGACCTTGGTCTGGAGACTGCTGGTGCTGCTGTTGGGGCTTCGACTCACAAAGACTCCTGTGAGAATCGTTTGCCACAACCCGAGGATGGCACACAAAGTACGATTGCATTCACGACACCGAGCCTATATAATTCCTCGGGGCGGCGTGTTCCCGGTAGCAGCAATAATATCACCGGCAACTCCATCTTGAGGCAGATCAAAAGCAGCATGGGTCATGATGGGGATATTGTCCTAGAGGAGGTTGCAGCAGTCGCCACACAAAATCCAACGCCGTTGAGGCTGTCCCGCAAAACAGCCGATGTGGCGCAGGTATGGTTTTTTCCCTCTTCAGATCCAAGGATTGCTCTTTTGGCTAACGAATTACCTGTACCAGATCATGTCTTCTCCCGATATTATTTCAGAACAAGGCATACGAGAGCCACGACAACGCAACAGCCCGTTACTTCAAGAGGACGACGAACGCGAGGATGACGAAGGTGGTGTTGAGTGGGGGGAACCAAATGCACAAAATACGACAAATTCAATACGAGGGCAGCCAATGCAACCGCAAAGCTCTGTTGCGGACGAGCTGTCTATTAGCCTTGATGTTCCTGCACAGAGTGAGGCTGTTCATGAGTTCGATGCGTCGTACGACTCGTTAAAGGAAATGAAGCTCGTGAAAACGAAGACAAAGAAAAAGAGCCCCCAAAAGAAGCCTCTCAAGAAAAAGGCCGTTTTTATTGCGGCATCAGACGATGAAGACGATGACAAAAACGTTGCTATGAACCCGCCACCAGCCGACAGTGAAAACGACTTCCCTGACGGCCATGTCAAGAGCAAAACACCAGGAAAGCGCAAAAGAGGAGCTAAGAAAAGAATGGAAAAGGCGTCTGTTGAGCTGCGGCTGGAACCCGTTCAACCAAAGCCCAACAACACCAAACGGCCACGAGGTCGACCAAAACGGCAAAAGGCGCCCCCGCCAGAAGAGGAGACCGACGAGGACATTCTGGCCCAGGGCATTGTGGAGGACGAGATGGCCTACGAGTCCGAACAGCCCCTGACGGACACAGACATGGTCGCACCGGACTCGGAATCCGACAGCGAAGCCGACTTGCAACCACCTACACCTGTCAAGGCTAAGGGCAAAAGGGGGAAGGCAGGCAAAAAAGCTGTCGCAAAGGATAAGAAGGGGAGCAAGGCCGGCCGAGGGCGCAGGGCCGCAGGGGTGGACGTTCAGCACATAATCAGCCAAGAGGCAGTGGACGAAAAGCCGGTTCTTGGTAAGACCAGTGGCAACACGTCCGCGATCAGCTCCTTGAAGGCAGAGGCGGTCGATGCAGGAGACGACCTAAAAGATCAAAGGACAGCGGTTGCTGCCAAAGAGGAGGAGCCACCTCTTCGAAATACGCCGGCGCCGGAGCGGGGATTGCTCAGCACTGGGCTCAACACCACTGCCAGCCAGGGGCGAGTGCCGTACCGAGTTGGCCTCAGCAAGAAGTTTAGGATTGCGCCGCTCCTCAAGATGATACGAAAGTGATATGACTGTTTGGAACCAGATCCGAGCAGGCATTTTGGGAAAGAATCAGGGCAGGAGAGAACGACGGCGTTTTTACGAATATGACAGTGTTTTACCGGGGGTTGCATGCTTTACACGATCTTATACCATGTCCTTTTTTGTTCTTTTCTTCTTGCCTTCTATTCAAGACATTGTGGAATCGGCGGTTCTTTTCCATTTCCAGAGATCCAGCGGGTTCTGTTATGCTTAACCTAGCGCTCCCAACATTGGACTGCGACCGAAACCACATTTATTTACGACAATCCCTAAACACCTTTCCCATGCGTTCGGCTGTTGTTGCTTCCATGGCGCGTCGTCATCCTTTGTATTTCACATTGCCCCTTGAAAGGGAAGGGGGGCAAATAAAGCAATCAAAATACGCAAAGGACTGTAAACTCGGCTTCTAGTACAACTCGGAATATCGGCGCCGGCTAAGATCGTGCCCCTGATCCGTCCAATGTACGACATATATGTTTGCGTAATACCGTTCTGGGCGCAGCGGTCTTGTTTCGTTTCTTCTTAATGGCGTGCATATGCCCAAGCCGCCTTGGAGGAGCATTGGAAAGCAAGACAGCAGTGTTATAAACCAAATAATAAGTCCTGCTAAAGAATGCGGTACTATTCCTCCAATATGGTTAAAGAACGCTTCGACACAATATGCATAGAAGTGAGGCACAATTGTCATCCGAGAACAGGATCCAGCCGTCGGTTAAAAAATACCAAAAAAAACATTAGTCGCTATTGTTTTCTCGAGGAATTAATGTAGGATGCTGACAAGGATGCTAGGTGAGAAAACAAGAGAAGATCTAAAGCGTACTGAATTAATTAGCTTTGGAAGAAAAGTAGCTCGACTCCGAATAGCCACCTGTACTTCCCCTGCATTTCAATTTATCTCAGCGATCTCGTACTCACATCTGCCGATAACTGGCAGACTCGCTTAGTTTCCTTCTCACTCGGCCTGGGGAAAACATTTTCTACTCTCTACACAGCAGGCATTCCTCGCACCTTACGAGTTCTGCCGGGATGATCCACTGGTGCAGAAGTGGAAGCGGAAGAACACACAACTCCCCAGTATCGCGCCCTCTATTTGAGAGGACATAGGAATCGTACCTTTGAGAGGAACTTGGGTAATTGTGTCGGCCCCCGCATAGTCTCTTCGTCCCGTTTCCTTGATAGAACGCAAAGATACCTTACGTTTTGTTCTGTCTGGGTTTTCACCTCGCCTAAACCTTTCACATCTTGTTTTTCTTTCATCCGAAGTATATTTCCCCGGTAGAAATTGGCGCCTAGGAAAGTTATATTGACAGAGAAGACAAACTGTGGGAAAACGAGAGGACAAATATAGTTTGGGCAGAACCATCCACGTCCATGCGTATATATACGATTTCCCTCGCGTCTGTCTGTCGCAAGAGAACTGCAGTCGAGTCCCTTTGCATCCTGTCGCCTCGTACTCATTTTCTGTTTCTTGACCAACCGTACTGCTCCAGCCCCCTTCTTTGCTATCTTGACAACCCTCACGATGCTCTTCAAGTCCGTCTTCTGCGTGGCTGCGGCTGCCACATCGGCCATGGCCGCGCCAACTGTCTTGGACCGGGCGGTCTGCACGGCCAACAAGCCCATTGACACATTTGCCAGCTGGGCCAACAATACAAACAGCCTCGGTTCTGTCAGCGGTGGTATGTTGTCCTTTCTCCTTGTATTGGATCTTCTCCTTGCCTTTCTCTAACGAACAGACGACAAAACGATGGGCTCCATCTCCGTCAGCGGCACCACCCTGTCTCTCACGACCAAGACCACCTCCTACTTTTACGAGAACCTGCCCTGCGAGGACCTCGCTGCAGCCAGCAGTGGCTTCACGGACATCAGCTTCAAGCTGAGCGGCCCCGCGCAGTCGTCCTTCTTGCTCGAGATCCAGACCAAGGCCAACTGCAACGCCACCGCTCACTCCAGCGTCTTCCACAATGTGACGGTCCCTGCTGGCACGGCCCTTAGCCAGGTCACGGTCCCGCTGTCCGACTTCACAGGTGCCAACCTGGCCGTTGCGACGTCGCTGACGTTTTCGACCTTCAACAAGACCGGCGACTACAAGCTGAGCGACTTGCAGCTGGTGTGCAAAAAATAGATGGTACGCGGCAGCAACTGGCGCGTGATATGAGATCGACGCATTGTTCGTTGTACATGTTGATAAGAAAAGAAAAAAAATCTTTTGCGATGAAACCAAAAGTATAGAATATGTTTGCTTGTATATATTTATTTTGATAGTTTAACTCAGCTGGCAATGTCGCCGTACTAAGAACGGCGCTTGCTTTAACTGCGCTTCGATAAAATGCAAGAGGGCAATACAATAGAGGAGACGGTCTTCAAAAACAAAATTAAAAAAGGTGAATGCCAATATGATTGCAACATGTCTTCACTCCATGATGAAGTGTTATGTCAGCTCTTTCCTTCCCAGATATTTTCGTCGGTTCCTTTACTGATTGTTCTTTCACCGATGGTCTACATGTGCACTTTCCCATTCTAGTCAGGTGTATTTCCTACTTGCCTGGGTTGGCCCTGCAGCCACTAGAGTCGTGTTGTTCGGCTGCCTAACAGATTGTGAAACTACCATCAGCGAGTACCACCGACTTTGTCCACCACAGTTACAAAAATCTTCAACACGTTTTGTCGAAACGAACGCATTTGATTACATCGACATTTCTGAACCGAAATCAGTTTAGCTCCTAAAATTGTTAGGGCACACTCGGCGAAAGCAGCAATTGCAGCCTCCGTCAGGTCTCTCGTCTCCAGAGCGGCGCCAGATTCTTCAGGCTCACAAGTCGTCATCACATACAAAAGACGGCACCATGGCTACCAAGAATCCTGCACCGGCCGGCAGTGTGCCATTCTCTGTTTTTGTGTCTCGGCCGAGCACCGAGGCTTACGAAGTGCACTTCTCCCCGCTGGCCCAGCCGCGGGCGGCCGAGATCGACCCGACGTTTCTGGATGCTATGAAGGTGCGGCACAACGTCTTCATTATGGAGCAAAAGGTGCCGCTCGAGAGTGAGCTCGACGAGGACGACATGCGATCGGTCCACTGGGTCGCCTACATGACCGACGGCGGTGAAGCCGTCGGTACCATCCGCGTCGTGCCCTATCCACAGCCTCCGCACCCGATGCCGGGCGGCGCATATTCCATCATTGACGGCGCTGTTGTGCTCAAGGGCCGGTGGGTGCGCAAGTCCGAGCAGCGGTTGGATAGCAAGGACGCCGCCGCCGCCGCCGCCGCACCTCCTTTGCACACCATGCCGCGGTCGCAACTCGAGTATCTGCCAGCCACTGAGGCCGACTTGGCGGCCGAAATTGAGGCGGCCATCGGCCCAGACCGGGCCACATCCCTGCACGACGGCAAGGAGCCCTACGTGAAGCTGGGCCGCATCGCCGTCCTATCCTCCTTTAGGGGCTTCCACCTTGGACAGTATCTCGTGCAGACGGCGCTGGACTGGATCCAGGAGAACCTGGCGTACTTTGACAAGGTCGACCCAATGGCTGCGGCGGCGACCACTGAGACCAGGTTCAATGGGCTTGTGTGTTTGCACGCGCAGGTCCATGCCCTGGGTTTCTACCAGCGGCTCGGGTTTGTCGTTGACGAGGGCATGGGTACATGGTGGGAAGAGGGCATTCCGCATGTGGGGATGTTCCGCCGGCTGGAGCTGTCTAAGAAGGCTTTGTAAACATAGACGGTTGCCGGTGAAGACGGATGATTCATGACATAGATCTGAACAAAGTTGTGCGTTTAGTATTTACAGATGTTATTGCAGAAGACAGGTTCACAGCCCGATGATGGTACACGGAGGCGTTTCTTAAATTTCTTGAATTTTTTTTCCATTTTCCCTTTTTTGGTTCTTGTGTTTTTTGTTTCTGCCGTTGTGTTTCTCACAAAACTCCCAGTTTTGGTTTTTTGCGTTTGAAATGAAAATGGAATATCCCCCATAAATACACGGCAAATAGAAAAAGACAAAATAATGTGGCCACGAAAACGACTTCCAGGACAAAGTTGCATCTTGTCTGTCTCGTTACACTCGTTTCGGAGGGAGACGGACATGTACGACAAACTTTGCGTTCTTGAGCCCGCTTTCCCGTTTTCCGCAACTTCCACGTCGTCCCCTAGCCCCTGGTGTCATGCCCTCTCAAAGTCGCCCGCAGAACACTTGCCTTCTAAAACGCGTCACTGTGCTCGCGGACTGGGAAAAAAACATTCGAGACCACGCACCAACACCAACAAAATAGAAGTATAATGCAAAAAAGACAAACTGGTAAAGTAAGTGATTGGAAAATAAACACCCCTTTACCGGTTGCTCTTGGCGACACGCTCCAGCTCGTCCTTCTTCTTGATGGCGTACGAGTTGCTGCTGCCCTTGGCGGCATTGATCAGCTCCTCAGCTAGGCACTCAGCAATGGACTTGACGTTGCGGAACGAGGCCTCGCGGGCACCGGTGGTCAGCAGGGCAATGGCCTGGTTGACACGGCGCAGGGGCGAGACATCGACGGCCTGTCTCCGGACGGTACCGGCCGAGCCGATACGGGTGGAGTCTTCGCGGGGACCGCAGTTGACAATGGCGTCAACGGCAATCTGGATGGGGTTCTGGTCGGTCATCAGGTGGATCTAGTGTTGTTAGCGACTGACCGCCGTGTTTACACATGTGTCGTACACTTGGGTAACGGCTTGGCACGTGGGACTCACGATCTCGAAAGCGTGGGCAACAATGCGGACAGCCATCAGCTTCTTGCCGTTGTTGCGGCCGTGCATCATCAGAGAGTTGGTCAGGCGCTCAATGATGGGGCAGTTAGCCTTGCGGAAGCGCTTGACAGCGAAGCGGCCGGCAGAGTGAGGGATGTAGACCGGCGAGCGGATCTGGATGTAGTCCCTGTCGAGCGGGTTAGTATGCTTGACGTGAAGTCGTGGGTGCCATGTTCTGCCATGCGCGTGATCGTTCGATGTCGTCCGCCGTAAAAGAAGGTTCTGTTGTGCCCTCGTGTGCCTCGTGTTCTATGTTTCCCATGTTCTGTTTGTGGCGCTCGTCGAGGCCTTCCGACCGGCGTCTCATGTTTTTCGTCTCCTCCACGGTCGCATGTCGTCTCATTATAGCATTCTCAGAGCAGTCCCGAAACCGTCTTCGCATCGTCGTCTCGATCGTTCGATGGTCGCGCATGGCCGAAAGGTAAACCAGGAACTTACGTGAGGGAGATGTCACGGATCTCGACATCATCGTAGCTCCACTTGTTGCTGTTGAAAAAAATTCACAGTCAGCTAGCAATTCATCTTGGTGTTACACCATTTCGTTCCGGATTCGCAATCACGGCAACAAGGCAAGCCGAGAGCGGTTCTGTTCGGAAGGGGGGAAAGGGCCCGTACAAGAGCTTGACGGTACCGATCTCGTTCGTCACCTCCTTGGGGAGGATGTTGTACGAGACGGTCTCGACCTCGATCTCGGCGTCAGACATGTTGGGCGGCGGTTGTCTTGTTGTGAAAGAAGGACACAAATTTAACGACTAAGAAAAAAAAAGCTGCGGTATGCTCTTTTTTTCTGGCGGCACCGGTGGTGATGGGTCGGGTTTTGTCGATGTAGAGGACGGTGGTGATTTTTGAGAAGCGTTCACGAAATTTTGGCCCTGGTGGATTTTCTCCTTCGGGTCACTAAGATTTTTTCCCACACAGAGTCCAAACGGAGGCGCAGTGCAGGTTAGACAGGAATACGGGAAGGAAAGGACTGGATCTTAGGGCGAGGTCCCCTCACTCAACTGGAAAGTTAGCGTCTTTTGGAAGAGCCAAAAAAGAAATGACCAGCAAAAATTCCATAAGGGTGAGAAGGCGGCAGGGCTTTGAAAAATCCCGCACGTGATCCACTTTAGAATAACGCGTACGTGCAGGTCCAATCATGGTGGATAGAATTAGGGCTCGACGTGGATGACATAATGCACGTGCAGCGCTGGGAAAAACACTGCCCGCCCTCGCCGAGAAAGGAAAAACTGGGCCTTGTATTTTTTCCATCTAACCAGAATTTGGAACACCAAAAAACTAATTATTGTTTGGGTGGGAAAAGAAAAGCACTCTCGCCTTTTGACGTTCCTCTCCCTTTTTCACTTTCGTCTTTGTGCGATCACCAAGTTCAACTCCATCACATCAACGAAAATCAGCAAACATGGCACCCGCAGCTGGAGCGAAGAAGCAGAAGAAGAAGTGGTCCAAGGGCAAGGGTATGTTAATCGAAACGAAATGGCGACGAAAATAGGAACGCGCCGCCTGCCGAAGAAGACAAGACGAGGACGTCGACAATCTCGAAGGGTGTTCTATCTCCCAACACGAAGCAGAGACGACAAGACGACCAGGCCACTGCTTGCAAGACAACATCTTCCGGGGCAGCGGCCGGGACGTCTTCCAGTTTTTGACATTTGACGGGAGCGGGGACACCCCAAGAGATGCGCCGAACCGGCCGTTTTTGTCATCGGTTGGAGCAGGCGGCGATTGCCTCGGAACTGCGATACTCGACGAGCATCTGCTAACAACCGCACAGTCAAGGACAAGGCCCAGCACGCTGTCATCCTGGACAAGCCGACCTCGGAGAAGCTCTACAAGGATGTCCAGTCCTACCGCCTCGTGACGGTCGCCGTCCTGGTCGACAGACTCAAGATCAACGGCTCCCTGGCACGGAAGTGCCTCGCTGATCTGGAGGAGAAGGGCCAGATCAAGCAGGTTGTTGGCCACAGCAAGATGAAGATCTTCAGTATGTTTCGACACGCGATTGTGATGCAATTTTTTTATGCACCGTTACTAACACCTCCCAGCCCGCGCCGTCGGCGGCACCGATTAAACGAATTCCAACCTACCACGATGATACTACCAGACAAACCTATTTGCTTAGGCGGAGTTGTGTGACGAAAAGAAAAACATATTTGGGACTTCGGGACATTGGGAATTTTTTTATACTGAGAAATGCCGTTCTATTTTCACTTGTTATGACTTCATAAGCAAGAGGGATAGAAACGACGGTCGGCCGACACGGCCGACGAACGCAAAACCCGGCCGCCGCAGCACTTCATACCTTGAGATGGAAAATAGGAGGCATGCACTCCGCTGTTGACATGGAGCATCGGGTGTCGTTGTATGTACGCAACCAACAATAAAAGTAGGAGGAGCCGTCACGAGAAAGCCAATCGTACGATGGGGCTCTACATCCAATGAAAGAATCAAAACAAGAAAACCAAATCCAGCAGCAAGCGGGTGTATATGTGCTAAAATGCCGTGCTCTATTGCGTTTATATTTGTACTTGCAATCTGTATATTGTGTATTCATTTGTACCATGGGATGCATGTGAGCAATTGTGTTATTGTGTACTTGAAGCGTGTGAAAAAGTATATCCAAATTCACTTTCATATTTAGAGTGTATGGCATGTCGTTTGAGCGACGTGGGGATTTATTTCGCTTGCTGGCATCTGGCTAGTCGTCTTCATGTGCGGTTGAGAAGTTGCCACATATTTTACCTGTAATTACAAGTATATTCGACGTGGTAAACACTCCATGAGGAGCAAACACTGCGAGCATGGGACCTGCTACCACATGGGAGTGGCGCAGTTGAGCAGGCACTGTGTTGGTGGTGGTTATCATTGCCATGCAAGCCCGGTGTCGCCGAGCGTCTTGATGCCGAAGCCGACCCAGGGCTATCTAGCAAGATGGACTACGGAGAGCACTGTACGGCAGGCTCGAAAGTACAGGAAATCATTGCGCACATATCCTGTTCACAGAACGCTATTACGGCCCCAATATATTTATGCCTGCGTTTAGTCGCTGGTACTGCCCGGGGCTCTGCGTACCCGACTGTCTTGGTAGTCGGCAGCAAGGCGTGAGATGCACCGGAGAGACAGGAGTTCAATGGGCAGCCTCCAAGCTTCTGCCGTGCCAATCCAAGGTCATAACCTATCCACGCAGGCGCTAGCAGTCGCCAGCACCAGCTATGCAAGATATGCTCAGAGCACATTTAAATAGGACAATGCTTCTGCGTCTAATTCAGCTTCATACGGCTTTGATCACGACTCTGTCTCTTCCCCGGACACCGCGAAATCTGGAGAACGCCACCGTAATCCTCACAAACACCCCCCCCCATCATCGAGTGCCGTATATTTGCTTCATGAAATTAAAAAAGGTAATTTTTTTTTTGGAGACATAACATACGACACGACATCATCGTGATAACAAACCTTCAAACGTCGCCTTTATTCCTGGGGCAGTGATTGTTTGGGTGGCCGAAAAGGAAGGTGGCCATCGGAGCGAACCGGCAAGAAGCTGTGCGTTTTAAAGGTAGGAGGTAACGTATGAAAAAGAAGAAATTAGGAACAAGAAAAATACTGGCCGTGCGCTAAGAGAGGGGTGAACCTGTAACAAGAGAAAGAGCGACACAAGCTCCTGTCGCCCCTCGCTCTTTTGCGGCCTTGCCTCTCAGGCCGCAAAGAGCAAAAAAAACCCTCGCTCTTCGTTGCCGTAGGTGATCGCGGACAGCAAGCAAGCTCTTTACACCTCTTGGCTGAGCAGAAGTAAAAGTGGGGCCTCCGTGTGAGACTAGCGCGACCGGCCGGAAAGAATCGCTGAAAAAAACTACACCAGAGAAAGGGGCAGCCGCGTTTTGTGCATCTGAAGTAGTGGCCAGCGCTCCCTGAACGTGCTATGAAAAAAAATTGCGACGCTTGAAAAATTTATACTGGACTTCGGTGTTTTGCCCGCTTCAGCGAATGTTCCCTGGAAGCCATTCAGGTCGTTTCTGGCCAGCTGGTGCTCTGCAGCGGTTGCTCCTTCCCTCCTTGTCCCATAATAAATTTCGCAACCGAGGAATTTTTTTTCCTTTCCTGCGATTCGACTTTTTCCCGCTCTATTTTCTCCCCCCTTCCCTCCTTCCCTTTTTCTTCCTATCGTTTTCCTTCCTCCCCCCTTCCCTTCTCCTTCTTCATCCTCGTTTCTTTCTTTTCCTAGGATCGCTTTTCATTGCCATCCTTTTTTCACATCTCCACTCCGTTCGTCAGACTCGTCATTGATCAGTCGCCAAAATGTCTTCCAAGGAGGATATTAAGATCTGGGGCATGCCCGTAAGTTCCACCTCTTGCTGCAGCTTTTGCAATTTTGCTTGTCGGTCGCTTTGACCGACACTTTGGAGCACATCGCCAGAATTCCCTCACGATCGCGATATCCCATGTTTGCACTCGCAAAACCACTTCCACATTCCCAATCATGTCTACAGCGCGCTGGACCGATAATTGGGCTTTCTCGTCAATTCTTTTTCTGCGTTAGGTGTTCGTGCGGCGATGCGGCCTGCTCGGCACAGTTCGACCCGGGGCAGTTTCGCATCGTCGTCGGAACTTTTCCTGCTCGCTCACTCCGCCTCCTCTTCCCACCGCATCCAACGATGTTCCATGCTCACTACGCCTGCCGATGAGGCTTGTTTGCAATTATCTACGTTTAAGGACAACCAGCTAACATGTGCTTTCTCAGTCCTTCGTGGTGGACTTCCTGAGTATGTAGACACTCCCAAACCGACTTCTTGACGGCGGTGTCGCTGTTGCACGAGCTTTTACGATGCGTATCAGCCAACACCAAGCACCAATATATCGCGACCACCTCGGCCATCAACAACACTTGGACGTTCATGTACTGACTCTCAACCACAGTGGGCGGTGTTTCCGCTGCCGTCTCGAAGACCGCTGCTGCTCCCATTGAGCGTGTCAAGCTTCTCGTCCAGAACCAGGTACGTGTGTTGACACCACTGTGCAAACGGACCTGATAAGACGTTTGCCGCCCACTCCGAAAGTGCCGCACTAGACCTTCCACTCCCACCAAAGCGCCTTGTGTCTATACATCGGCAATGCCAGGGGTTTTCGGTTCCTTGGTCTTGAAATCTCGAGTTCGGGATAAAGGACATTGCTCCGTCACCAGAAAGCTGCCGATTAAAACAGCTCGATATTTTCACGTATCACGTGAAAATGATCGGCAACCCCTTTTGGGGTGGGCGTGTTTTTTTTATTCTGCTTTGCAGACAATTGGAGGGATCTAGTGCGAGGACTTTAAACGTTTGGTGCTTAGCGCCGGATGTATTTTGTAAAGTGGCGGCAACTATACATGGCAATATGAAGAAACGAACAACGGCTAACAATCAATGCAGGATGAGATGATCAAGGCTGGCCGTCTTGACCGCCGCTACGATGGTATTGCTGACTGCTTCCGTCGCACCATTGCCGATGAGGGTGTCATGTCCCTGTGGCGTGGTAACACGGCCAACGTCATCCGTTACTTCCCCACGCAGGCCCTGAACTTCGCTTTCCGCGACAAGTTCAAGAAGATGTTCGGCTACAAGAAGGAGCGTGACGGCTACTGGATGTGGATGGCCGGTAACCTGGCTTCGGGTGGTGCCGCCGGTGCCACGTCGCTGTTGTTCGTCTACTCCCTGGATTACGCCCGTACCCGTCTGGCCAACGACGCCAAGTCCGCCAAGAAGGGTGGTGAGCGCCAGTTCAACGGCCTGGTCGACGTCTACCGCAAGACCCTGGCCACTGACGGTATTGCTGGTCTGTACCGTGGCTTCGGTCCCTCCGTCGCTGGTATCGTTGTCTACCGTGGTCTGTACTTCGGTATGTACGACTCGATCAAGCCCGTCGTCTTGGTCGGCAACCTGTCCAACAACTTCCTCGCCTCGTTCCTTCTGGGTTGGTGCGTCACCACTGGTGCCGGTATCGCCTCTTACCCCCTTGACACTGTCCGCCGTCGCATGATGATGACCTCGGGTGAGGCCGTCAAGTACTCGAGCTCTCTGGATGCTTTCCGCCAGATCGTCGCTAAGGAGGGTGTCAAGTCCCTGTTCAAGGGTGCTGGTGCCAACATTCTCCGTGGTGTCGCCGGTGCCGGTGTCCTGTCGATCTACGATCAGCTCCAGGTTATCGTCTTCGGCAAGGCCTTCAAGGGCGGCTCGGGCTAAATTGCCTGAACCCTCCTTTGAAGATTCTCTTGCTTTTCGCCCCCCCACACACGACCTTTTTTGTACAAAAATCTTGCACTAGCGACTTGACGTGATTCCGGCGTCAATGGTGTTTAGTGGGTAAACGGTGAAGGGGAAGAGACTGCACAGTATGGTTGTGACATGTTTGGTTTTGCGAGTTCTGCGCTTGCAAAAAGTGCGAAGAGAGAAGGTGGACTGGGGCGTGGCTGGTCGGTTTGGTAAGGGTCGTCGGAATGCAGAGAGCTTCCTGAAGATCCTGGAGGGGGGAAAACATCAGTTTGGGATGGGCGTTGATTCCACCTATGGGGCGGGCGGCTCGGGTAAGCCGTTGTGTGTTCAAGTTTACCCTTGGCACACTGTAATTTATATCGAATCTCAAGAGACAGTTTCCCCGACGCGCCTGGCCCTTGTGGTGACTTTCGTCGTCTCCACCGGCTTTGTTTCTCTCTGCGATCTTTTGTTCTTTCTTTCCCCCCTTGCCTTATTTTCCTTGGGTTACATGCACCTTGATAGATTTTCTCTTTACAGTACCGATCAAAAGAACGTTTGATTCCATTGAACTAAAAATGCTGGCTGCGCTTGAGTGCTATTTGAATTGCGAACGTGAAACTATAAGCTGAACGAAATGCTCCCGTAGCATTGAGACTTGCTAGCTGGAGGGATCCTTCGTGGGCGGGTTAGAATTTCGAGGCCATTTAGTTGTGTGTGTTCTCACGTGACTACGCATCGCGATTTAGGGTGTCTCATGCGCCGTCCACCTGAACGTCAATATATCCGTTCTTTCCCTGTCTGCACAGAATTGAATATATGCGAATACAATCTTTATGATTTTGTGTTCCTTTCAAATACGGAGTACAAAAAGTTGAAACAAATTGCACACCCAAGCTCTGGTCCTTTGACAGCATTTTCAACTCTACAACCCCACCAAATTACGACGCGTCTTCAGCGCGTTTTGCCCTCGACGGCTACACGACGACGACAACCACCGAAGACGAGCCAGGACACTTTTGGAGCAAATCTCTTTGGGAAGATATAAGTCACATAAAAACGCAATAAAATATGCCGCCACAAATAACAGCAGCACGCCCCAGCCGAGGCACACCAAGCGGCACCAGTGGTTTTCGAGGCACAGGTGCGTTTAAGCCACCAAGGCCTGTCGCAGGGGCAGCAGGCGCTGGCGCGACGGCTAGGACAGCAGCAGCAAAAGACACGGCTCGGAGTCGGCAACCGGTCGATGTCGAGATTAGCGACGGTGACAACGATGGCAAGCGCGACACACGGGAGCAAGAGCCGGACGAGATGGAGGACGACAACGACGTTGACGAGCTCGAGCGGAGCCGAATCAGCAGTAGCAGCGCCAGGCGGCGACGAACGGTTGACCAGTTCCGGGACGATGCCGACGATGCTGCTGGTGGTGCCGCCACCGACGTGGCCACAGACAACGACGACGACGATGACGACCCAACAGCGCATGCGAACAAGTCACTGCCGCCGGCTCTGTTAGCACGATTGCTGCATCACTTCTTCCAGAACCCAAACGGGACAGCGACGCGGTTGACGCAAGACGCACACGCATCGGTCAACAAGTATATGGAGATTTTTATTCGTGAGGCGGTGGCGCGGTCCGTGGCCGAGCGTGGCAACGGGGCGTTTCTGGATGTATGTTTTCCGTGATGGGAGCCCATTTTCCTATACACACATATTTCGCTTGGCTAACTATGCTTGTTTTAGGTGGACGTGTTACAGAAGGTTGCTGGCCAGCTGATTATGGACATGTAAACGAAGGATGGGCAGCGCGTGGTCTCTAGGAGCCAGAAGACTGCATACTTGACGATTTTAACAACGGTGGAACGGGACATGGAACAAAATAGAATGTAATTACATTATGAATTATATGTACAGCTATGCAGTCATGCACCGCAAAGTGGTTGGATCCACCTTTGTGTAGACGGTTCTATGTGCTGGCCAGTCTCCAAGTTCGCTGGCAAAGGTTTGTGTGTTACTGTAAACTCGGCTAATTTTGCTTTGTATTATTCCAAAACACGCCATTCCGATAGATCGAACAGCTCGCAGTTCACGTCCAGGTATGTGGCGATGCCGTCGGTGCCATTATGACGTAGGGCAATCCAGACGACGATTGCTCGTTGCGGTCGGCCAGCCGGATAACAGAGCCGCTCGAGTTGGTCGAACGCAGGCTGGCGCTCGACGGTTGGCTGCTGAGGGCGTATGGGTGCCGACTCTGCGCGAAGCTGTTTGCGCTAGACGCTTGGGACGAGGGCCGGCGTGTGGTTTGCCTTGATGCCCTCCTGGCTTGGCGGGCATCGGGCCGTGGTGATAGTAGCGGCTGTTGTAGAGCACGCCTCTGATTCTGTGGCAAAGTTGGGCTTGCAAGGTCCGGATTGTTCGTCTGGCGGCTTGGACGGCGTCGTCTGCTGGTTCCGGCACTGTCCTGTGTGCTGTATGACTTGCTACTTCCGCTACTACTGCTAGCCGTCTCTGCGGAGCGCCTGCTGCTTCCAGACTGCGATCTGGCGAGGGGTGCTGAATGTTGTGGCAGAGGATCGTAGAGTTGTGATGGTCGTCGTCGTTGTGGTGGTTGTTGATGATGGGTAATGAGATGTGTGCTGTGCCGACTACGACTTCGTATTGGTGTAGTATTATCGATTATATCGCCATCCTCGTCGTCTTCTTCGCCAAAGCTGAAGCTGCTCTCCTTGTCGTATCCACTTTCGTCATACTCGTCGTCTTCGTCGTCTTCCAAAACACTTGGGTCGAGAGGTGTCATCCGGCGCAAGATCGTTGCCAGATCGTGCATCAGCTGGCGAAACATGTGGTTGGAAATCATGCGTGTTGAAAAGCGCGCATACTCGTATTCCGTCGCAAAAGACGAAACGATTTCGCGCAGCGAGCGAGGATCGCTGTCGGCCACGGGCGCGTCGCGGGACGGTGCATCAGCTTCTATGTCGACGACGCCGAGCTCGGCGAGGTGGTAGAGGTATTCGCGGAGGCCCATGTACGAAGGCCGTTCAAGTAGGGCCACAGCATCTGGGTCGAAGAGAGGCGGGTCGGCTGCCGAGAAAGGGTCTGGCGGCGCAAGAGTTAGTGCCTTGGCCTCAATTAGGTTTGGCAACTCGGCGAGGACTGTGCTGTACTGCAGGTTGATGTTCTCGTCGAGAGGGTCGGCCGTAGCACCGCCGCCACCGCTGCCGCCGCCGCCTGCACCTCCACCTCCATCTTCACGTCCACCACTGGTCGCTCCGCCGCCTCGTGACCGATGCAAGACCTGGTCGGGTGGTGCCCAGCCGGGGTGCTCGATCACACCCCAAACGGCCTGGCACGGCGGCAGGTCAATACCCAGCGCCTTTTCCATTTCCATCGTCTCGGCCCTTTTGAACCGCACCGCCTTTGGGGGCCGATCTGCTTTTTCACCGTCGGCGGCCAGTTCTGAGCCGCCACCGTCCTCCTCGTTGGCTCCTATGACGTCCCCTTCATGGTGTTTTGGCGCTCCCCCGCTACCGCCGTGCATAAACACGTCCGCAGCCAGCTTCGGACACATCTCGTCAAGTAGCTCCTCAGGTACGACACGCGGCCGCGACATAAAGGCAACAGCAGCACTGCGGCTGAGGCCGGCGCTGATCATGCTGCGCACCGGCTTCGAGACATCGCCTTTTTCGATGGGGACCCAGGACTTGGGGATGGAATTGAGGACGGCACGCTTGAGGAAGAGGCGCAGGAAGAAGACGATCGCGATGACGAGAATGCCAAAGATATAGGCGCCAGCGACGATAAGGATGGAGACAACGTCGTGGCGATAGCGTGACTGGTTTATGAGATCGCCGGGCGTCACGAGCAGCAGCGCGAGGAGTAGGACGTGCAGTAAGGTGTAGACGGTGGCGTAGAGAACGCGAAAGAAGATCTCAGCCGAGTTCGCCATGGTGGAAGGAGACGTTCGTCGTCGTCCTTTCGTCTTCTCGTCCTCGTCGTCTGGTTTTCTCGTCGAAAGACGCTTCAACGCGGCGTCAAAGGATGCATGAAAAAATACAGACACCCCGTAGAGGCGATCGGCAGTCGCATCGCCGTTGTCGAGAGTTCTCACAGCGCCCGGGGAGGTATTGATGCGATCATATCGAGGGCGCCGGAGTGGCGGGTGACAGGTGAGGAAAACTGTCGCACAACAATGACAATGAAAGAAGTCAACTGTTGACGACTGGGCGAGGCTGCTGTATTTCGGGCCACTGAGTAGCAGTCCAGCAGCCCTGTCTCGACAGCTAGACAGGACCCACACAGACACCTCTGATTGGCCAATGGAGTCCAGCATGGGATCGACCGCACGAGGATCGGCACCTCTTCACATGTTCTCGTCATTTGTTTCGTTTCTTGTTTTTGCTTCATCAATGGAGAACATTCCTGTTTGTTATGCAATTTTATATGATTTTTTTTTTAGCTCGGGTATTCTTCCCAAATGCAAATGTGAAAGACATAGTCTCATACAGATCCTATAGCAAAACGAACAATAAACAACGCAACGACTCGCAAGCTTCAAATCCGCAGACATGCTCGTCTACTCGTCTCCTCGTGTTTATGACCGTAATTCGGCCATCTCGGGGTTGGCATCATCCCCATCATCTGGCTGAGGCTCCTCCTGCGATTCACGCCCGGCTGTGGCCGCCTCTTCAGCCAGCCGCATGTCAGTCTGCGAGAGTCGCAGGTCGCGGCTGTACTGGCCAAAACTCGCAATGAGATCGGTCAGGCTGTCCTTGAATGCGTCCAAGATAGCGTCCACCTCGGGACACACACGTTCTGCCTCCACATCTGTCCAGTGCAGCGGGTAGGAGGCTTTGAAGCCTTCCAGCTTGCGCGTCACGCGTGTAAACTCGCGCACAATCATGGCCACGTCCCGCTGCACATTACCAAACTTGTCCTCTTGCAGACTGTGCACGGCCAGAAGGCAAAGCGCATTAATAGCGTTCACGTACACGCTCGGTTCGCCGTAGGGCCCGCCAAGAACAGCCGCCGTGATGCGGTTCTGGAACCGCAGGCGGAACGGCCAACCAACAATAGGCAGTGCCAAGAACTGGCGAACCGTGTTCTGCAGGCTGCTGTTGGGGTTCTCGGGGCCGCTAATGTCGCGCTGGACATCCTGTAGCCGCTTGCGCGCGTCCTGGAGCACCTGCTTGGTGAGCGGGCTCAGGCGAGGCGAGTCTTGCGGGTCGATGGCGACCTTGTTGACCATCTTCTCCATCTCGCTCGAGAACGTCTTCTTCTTCGGCGGCGTAGCCACCAGGATGTTGGGGTCGTTGCGGACGGGTTTGGTGAGCCGCTTGGCTTCGGGCGCAGCGTCGTCCGCGCTGCTCCTGGCGGCCGGTGCCGGCACAGCGGGAGCCGGTGGGTCGATGCGGTTCTCCAGCGTCTTAATCGTATCCAGGCACAGCTTGCAGATCTGCGACCAGGTCGAGCCGTCCTTGCGGTCAATATCCGTGTAGATGGCGACTCGGCGGTCGGGAAAGTTGCGCGCGATAAAGGCCAGCTCCCACGTAGAGAACGCCTTGATCTTGTCCTTCTTGCTCTTCAGCCCGTTCAACAAGCTGCCGTTGGGGTCCTTGGAGTCCGAAGTCAGGGGCCTGCCGTCCTTGAGTGGCTCATTGACCAGAAACAGTGAAAAAGCAGCGTTGCCAACGACGACCAGCAGCGTGAACAGGAAGCCAGCCTGAAAGCAGCGCGGCAGGTAGGTCCACGTCGAAAAGTAAGGCTTCATTGACGGCGGGAGCGACGACTTGGGGAGGCTGAAGAAAGGCCGGAAGAGGGCAAGCGTGAAGCGCCAGGCAATGGGCCGCAGGAAGAAGTTGTAGACAATCACACTCGTCACGAGGCCTACAATTGCGCGTGTAAAGGCGGAGATGATCAAGAACGGCAGCTGCGCAAGCAACGAGCGGTACAGCTGTGACGACTTTCCGGCCGCAGCGCTGCTGCTGCCGCCGTTGCTACCATCGCTGGCTGCCGCAGGCCGGGCCGTTCCAAGCAGCAGGCGGTCGCTATCCCAGAAAAGATGCAGCACGGCGTTGACGGCACCGACGCACACAACGTGCACGACAAGGTAGAGAGCGCGCTCGTTGAGTCGGGCACGGTCACCCTGATAGTGTGTGATCCAGCCGAGGGCGGCGCTCTCGGCCGCTGACCAGCGGAAGACTTGGCCGTAGAGCCAGCCGGCGAGGCAGTAGGAAAACACAGTCTCGACGGTCTTGGGCTTGGCGGCGTTGTAGAGAAACGTCTCAAAGGGTGAGTTGCTCGTGCGGATGCCGATGTGGAACTGGGCGATTCGTAGGATGATGATCACCAGGCCGCAGAAGAAGATGACGAGCGCGCGGAAGCCAGCGCCGCTGAGCGGGAACCATGCCCAGAGCCATGCAGACCAGCTAGACAGCGCCAGGGACTGCGCGTAGGCAATTGCCAGCAAAACGAGGGCTGTCGAAGAGAACCGTCTATGCAGCGCGGGCTGCAGAAAGTCTTTGTAGGGGAGGACCCGCCGCGCAGACTGCGGTGCAGCATTGGGAGGTTGCGTGGCCGTCGACATGCTGCCAGCGCATTGGGGGAGAGAGGGCTGGAAGGTCGGTCGGTAGTTGGCGATGCGGAAGGCAAGCAAAAAAGTGAAGCTTTTTTAGGTGACAAGTAAATAGTAAATACTGGGGGCAGCAAGAGCGCTGGAAAAACGCGTTGGGCTGCTGTAGGCAACGGTCACGTCAAAAATCCCAGAATGTTCGCTGATTGGCTAGAAGAGCTCAAGACCCACCTTATTCTGTAAAGCTCCCCACGCAGCCAATTGTGATGACTAAGATCCAACGTCTTGTTAAGCAACTAACGACATCCGTCTACTCGTCCTTCTATTTTCGACAACAAGACGATAAAACAACATGCGATGACAAAATGGATGCGCCTGCTCCCGCACATGAGGCACACGAGGCGCAAAAGACCCTCCTAGAGTCGCTCACGGCCCTGGGCAGCGCCGCATTTGACCTTAGCACGCCAGATCGTCACGCCGCTCAACAACAGCTCTCAGGTCTACTCCAGAGGTGAGAACAGTAAGGGATGAGCCGTGCAATCCTGACTCGGGCACATACTGACGATTGTAGAACGCCAACGGTGTCGCTCCTACCGGCTCTGAATGTACTCATCCAGCCGGGTCGAGTGCCCGATGGGGTACGCATTGAGTTCATGAGCCAGCTGGCTCTGCTTCCGCTCCGAAGCGATGGCGTGCGCGCCACTCTTGAGTTTGTATTCTCCGTGCACCCATCCAATGCGAACAGCAACGCTTCAGCACCACAAAAGCAGGGCGCCCAGATCACGCTCGAGGCCCTCAAGATGGCAACCCGTCTGCTCGCAAGTCCACCAGTGCGGGCAAATTCGATTGACTGGTTTCGGGGCATTGCGCCCCAGCTTCTGGCACTCCTCGATGGACACGACGGCCTGGAGCTTGCCAAGGTGGCGGCATACGTGATCGGCTTCGGGATCTTGGGCCGCAAGAGTTTTGGCGCGCCAGGCATGCCTGGATGGGCCAATTTTGCGGAACCTATGCTGCGGTGCATCGACCCCACGACAAGCCAAACGACGAGTCAACTGCCAGGACAGGGCACGTCCGACAGAGGCAGTGACGGCGTTATTGATCTGCGGAGAAATGCTACTGTGGTTCTTGTATCCGAAGATACCCTGGCGGAGGGTCTTCGGCGGCTCCAGACACTGGTCATCTCACATCCGAATCCGGGCTTGACACGACGGCTGCTGAGCCCTGTCGTCTTGCCTTTGTGGGCCCTATCCTCTTGGTCCAGCGCCTCAAAAAAGTGCGAGGAAGATTACTGCCAGCCGGCACGCAATTTGCTTAAAATCTACCTCAAGATCTCGACCGCCCCCGACAAGGCGATGCCGATTGTGCGAGATCTGCTGTTTGAAGGATCGCGAGACGCCGGCCGGCAGCCTCAGTGGCAGTATCAGGCGACCGATGCAAATGAGAACAGCATTTGCATTGTGTCAGCCCCGAGCACGCCACCCAATGCGGCCGAGGTGCTGCAAACACGGTGGAACGAGATCGGGCCCAAATCCGACGCCCTTGTGGAGCTCCTGTCATCCATCGCTACGGACGACGAGGACATCTCGTCCGTTTTCCTAGACCTTTTCAGCCGTTGGCTGTCATCAAAGAAGTCCAGACGGCAACCGGCAAAAGACTTTATCCTGGTCAAGGAAGAAGACGACAACTACGACAAGCTGCATGGCGGCTCTGATAGCAACCCCTTGGTGGACGTTCTGGAAGGCAGCATGCTGCAGAAAATGATGGAAAAGTTTCCCGAGAAGCTCGCCAGCCGGCCAAGCGACATCCTTGAACTGGTCAGTGGACTTCTGAACCAAGTACAAGAGGCATCCCTGGCCGAGGACGAGACAGTGCCGCTGCTGATGAGTCTGTTGAATTTGGTCGTCACGTCGCCAGGCTTTCGAAAAGCAAAAGCCGATGCAACGGTGGTCCAATCCATCGAAGACTCGCTCGGCAAAATCAGCAGAGTGTCGGGTACCGAAGACATTAATGAGGCGGCCCAGACGGCCAAGAACCTGTTGCTCTTCCTCAAGTACAGAGACGAGATCGAAGATCCGGAAGGAGAGAACCGGGCTGGCGCAACATCTACCGTAAGCCAGCAACAGATTGAAGAACGAAAGACATACAGCCTAGCCATATCCTACATCACACAGGCCGATTCGCCGCCGCCAGTTCGGTCGGAAGGGCTGAATCTGTTGCAGGGTCTGATCCTCTCCGACAGCTCCATTCTGGATATCCCTGCGCTGCTGGTGATGATGTCGTCCATGCTCGACGAGAACGAAGACTACGTGAACTTGCGTGTAATCAAAATATTTACGGTATTGGCGGACAAGCACCCCAAATCGACCACAAAAGAATTACTTGACCACTACGTCGACGCCAACGAGATGAAGGGTGTCGAGTCACGGCTTCGTTTTGGCGAAGCTTTGCTGCAAGTCGTCCAACGCCTCGGCGCCACATTCTCTGGTGATACTGCAAAGGAGGTCGGCCAGGCGCTCCTTGAGATTGCGGGCCGGCGAGGGTTCCGGCCCAAGACAAAGGCCAAGCAGGAGCGTGAGCAGCGTATGCGTGATCTCAAGGCCAAACGGAAGGCACCCGGAGGCGACGACAACGCCGAGGACGACGAGGACATTGACATAGACGATGCACTTTTGTCTGACGAAGAACGCAACCGCAACGAGATCCTCGGCCGCATCGTCGACGGCTGGGGCAGCAAGCGCGGCAGCGAAGACGTGCGCATCCGCGCCTCGGCATTGTCCATCTTTGCGTTCAGCCTCGACGTCAACATTGCGGGGCTCGGGGCAACGCTGGCCTCAGGCGCCGTCGACTTGTCGCTGCACGTGCTGACCATGGAGCCCGAGCTCGAAAAGGCAATCCTGCGACGCGCAGCCATTGTACTGATTCTCAGCTTTGTGCGGGCGCTGCACGACGCTCGGGAGGCGGGGCGGCGTCTCGGGTTTGGCCTCGTACAACAGAGCCAGGATGATATGCTGCGCATCCTGCAGTACGTCGCCGACACGGACGAGGATGGGCTGGTGAAACAGCACGCCATCGACGTGATTGAGAGCCTGGAGAACTGGAAACTGACGTCTCTGCTGTCGCCGGCGAGCGAGGGCAGCGACACGCTTTCTGGTGTGTCGTCAGTCGGCGGTCTGGCCGGTCTGGCCGGTTTGTCCATCGACCCGACGAATATTGGAACGTCGACGTCGTCTACGTCCGCTTTGTCCAGTCGCCAACCACAACCACCACGTCCACGCATCGAAGAGATAGAGTAACATCATAAATTTATGCTGCTTTTCTGCTCGCAATTGATTTTGGAATTTCTTACGTCTCGGCATATATTTACAGCTGCAACACAACTGCTGAGGTGGTCCCGTCTAACTCTTCTTTTAGTATTTTTTTGTTTGAAATAAGTATAAAGGGTATCGTTAGCGACAGTGTTTTGGAAGAAGAAAGCAAAACAACCGAGCAAAACATTACGTTCCCGCAACAGGAATCAACACACGGAGAAAGGATGGCCATGAACGACCGACAACCCTCAAGCACGAACGACATTACAATCAACTACTGAACCAGACATGAAACCAACTTCCTACAACAAATTGAAGCTCAACATGAAGAAGACGACAAGAAGCAGTGCCGATACAGCCACGTTGCGAGACGCCGTCGACTGGCTGACCGCATTAACCGACGTCACCGTGGCGTTGGGCAGTTCGTTTGCTGGGGGTGTTAGCGATAACGATTGTACGATGCATTACCTGACTCGAAAGCACTCACCCAGGTCAAGAATAAACGGCATTTCCGTCTTGCAAACCGAGACCAGCGTCGCATTGTTGAGCAACTTGTCGAGCTGTGCCGTGGCCTTGGCCACCAGGTTTTGAAATGCCGCAATTCGCGTCGTGTTGCCCTCGAGCGTCTGGTTCAGCCTCGTCGCATTGCGTGCCAGGCTCACATCGCCGTACAGCTGCTTGATCAGTCGGCACTGCGCCTGCGTCTGGAACATGGCACAGAACTGCAGCAGCGTCTCGTTTCCTTGGAGCGCGGCCAGCTCTGGCTGCGCCTTGGTGACCGCCGCTTGGATATGCTGTGCGCGCGTTGTGTTGCCGTGTGCCGCTTTATCGAGTGCCGTTGCATTGGCTGCGAGGGTGGCTCGGGCCTCCAGGAACCGCAACCGGTTGCACTGCTCCCCGCTGCTCTCCGTCGCAAAAATGGTGTCGCAGATGCCCAAGAACGTCGCGTTGCTACGCAAGGTCACAAACAGCGCCCCCTGTGGCGATGTGGCGTTGCGCAGCTGGGTGGCCTCGGCCTGAACACGGGCAATGCGCGTGGCGTTGCCCTTGAAGTCGATCTGGAGCTGAGTGGCATTGGCAGCGCTGTCGATGATGTGGTTGAATCGCTGTAGGATTGTGCAGCGCTCGAGCGTCGACCCGGCATTGACGCCTTTGAGTCCCTTGTGATGCTTTGAGTGGCCTTGGTGTCCGTGCTCACCGCCGCCGCCACTCCGGTCTCCTCCGTGGTGTTCGCCGCCGTTGCCGTTCTGCTTGCCGACATCGCCAGTCGAGGCATCTGACGTGCTGTTCTGAGCCAGTGTCGAGCCGAACGCCGCAAAGGCGAGGGTCGTGATGAGAGAAGCGGGCTTCATTTTGGGGATAATATTGGTAAAGAAATGAAAATGAAAAATAACGTCTTCACAAGACGTACAATGCTCTGTTAATATGAAAAGAATGAATAAAATATAATAAATGAGTGAAAAGACGAGCGCTACCAGTCGCTGTCTGTAAATAAAAACCCCTATCAAAAGAGTGTAGAAGAAGAGAAAAATAAGAAAGGACAAAGAAGAGAAAGAGAAAGAAAAAGAACGATAAATCGTGACTACATCAGAATGAGCATGCCGACCAAAAGAGGGGAAAGACAAAGGAAAACAGAAGAAAACCAGGTTCACAACCGGACATGGCGCGGGATCACGATAGTTTTAAGGAGGACCACGGCAAGAGAGGATATACTGATGCAGGAAGACAGACGACCCGGGTACGATGGGTGGAAACAAAGAGGGGGCCAGACTTGGCTAGGCTTGGCCGTGCATCGTACATTGTGCATCGTGCACCGCCTGATTCAACCCAACCAAAGAAACCGTAGACCAAGACAAGAGCCATTCTGCAGACGCATATCCTGGCGAGACTGGCATTGCCCCCGGCTGATCTTCCGTGCTCCTTAATTTCTCCGGTTTCCTGTCTTCATATCCAGCTTCAGTTCCTTTGTCGTCCTTGGCTCACTTGCCTCTCCACGGACTCGCCAAGAATAGATCGAGGATCGGCCTCCAGGTTTCCGCCGGGAATTAAGTCTACAAGGAAAATAGACAGAAGAGACAATAAGAGACAGCAACCGCAGCAAAGGGAAAAAAAAGGATGAAATAAGAGTCCCCGTCTGTGCAGACGGTCCAGGCCGTCGACAGACGGACCAAAAAAAAAGTCCACCGATGACACGATCTGCGGTGCGTTGGGACGCGTCCTTCTACCTTGGATGATCTGCTTGGAAGCCGCTTTTTCACGTTGGCTGGAACAGTGTCAAGTTGCGAGGCAGAGACGACGGAAGGAGGAGAAAGGGGGGGCTGGTCGACCCATGCCGCCTCCGGTTTGTTGTAAGCGACGAGTTTGAGAAGGGCAGAGTGTCGCTGGTGAAAAGACTTTCTTTCGAATAATGACGTCGAGAAATTCGGCTACTTTTTGGGTTTGAAACATGATAATAGGCAACTAGTTTTTTTTTTTTTTTTTAGTCATAAATAAATACAAGTTCAAATTGCTTATATCAACGATGCGTTCCAATGAATACCATCTCGTCTTTCATGCAATTGTGCTCAACAATATACTCTTACATTCTCATAACTTCCAGGCGTCTGTATGTCTTGTTTCTTTCCTGTCTCCTCCCGTTTGATCGGTTGTTGATCGTCGGCCAGATCCAGCATTGGACCGGGTTTGATCGGCCGTGCCCTTCGCATTGCTTAAAATCGTCTAGCTTGAGGTGTATTACACTTTGAGACTACAGCACTTCGTCTCATGCATCTACCTGGGAAGTCTGTGCGCGGAATGGAAACGAATAACAAAAAAATAGACGCTAGAAGAAAAGAAAATCGCCTTGTAGAAATCAGTGCAATACACAAAATCGACAAATCGTGGCAGCTGACCTCCTTGCACATCCGACATTTAGGAGTCTTTTCAAGCGTCTGTAGGTTCATCCGTCATCCGCTTGGACGAAAATCGTAAACAAACAACAGTCGACAGCGAGCTAGAAAACCTACTTCTTTTACAAAATTCAAAGTACCCCGGCTGTGGTAACATAACAGAGCCTTCGGTCAATGACACCCTTTCCACCCGGGCACGTCAAGATACCGTTTTTTCGGAACGGAATGACGTCGACGCTGTCTGAGTTACGAGGTAATTACTTTGGAGTGATATGGCTGCAGTATGCGAATGCCCCAGACTCAGTCGTCCTTCCAAGCCCCGAAATACTGAGTACACTGCTGCAATTCTCCTCGTTTTCACCACTTCCATCACAGCTGCGGCTGTTGATCTTGCCATATTCACAGGGGCCGGAGAGTGCGTTCCTTAATCAATATTGGTAAACTGGCTCTCCAAATGCTGCTCAGCAACCGCATTCCCATACCCAGCTTCCTCGCCGTCGTTGCCATCCGGTAATCTTGCAATCATCTTCACGCACTTCACTCCCTCTTCACGGGGATGGCACATTGCGTCGGACGGGACGGTGACTGTGCCGGTTAACGCAGTTTCCGTCCATGATAGACGAGTCATGCATGATTCATTTTTTTCTTGTTCGTGGTATTTGTAAAGGGAAGAGTACACCTTCTATATTATTGGGTTCGAGCCGGCCTCGCGGTAGAATGTCAGCCGCCGGTCCGCACCCGCTGCGCAGAAGCTCTCTGTGTCGGCCCCAGGCCGTTCCGACTTGGGCGGCAGCCACTTGACGCTCCACAGCGCTGACATTTCTGTCTCGCCGTTGGTCGCCACGCACGTCCCTAGCTCCACGTTCCATACCCGCACTTTGCCGTCCATGTACCCGGCCAGTAGATATTCGCCCGATGCCGAGAAATCGAGCGACATTACCCACACGGCTGAGCTCGACGTCGTCGACCCCGGTGTTGTCAGATTGCCCACGGGTTCGCCATGCTTCATATCGTACAGCGAGATCACGCCGGCGTCCCCGCCGGCTGCCAGCCGCTTGCCAAGCGGCGAGAACGCCACCGCCCGCACAGGCTTGGCTAGACCTGGTAACGTGTACACCAGCTTGGACTGGTCATTGTTGAACACGTTAACGGAACCGCTCTGGTACCCTGCCGCCGTGTATTTTCCGTCTTGACTCAGATCGACCGCCATGGCAAAGCTGCTTGTCGCCCGGTTGTGTGAGCTGTAGACAAGCAACTGTGCGCGCGCCTGCAGGTCCCACACGCCCACGCGCCCATCATGAGTCGTGTACGCCAGGTACTGCTCGTTTTTGCTGAGCGCAAGGGCCCACGCGTCGGTCGTCTTGTCGGTCTTGGTGATAGCTGCTGCCGGAGCGCCTTCCTGGGTCCCAGGAGCGCCGCCTTTGTTTCCTGCGATCAGGTCACTCGGCCGCAGGGTCGTGTCTAGCGTCCAGTCGCCTGCCTCGCTGCGCCGCCATACGTTCACCTCGCCACCAAAGCCTGCCGAACAGGCCACCTGCCCAGAGCCGCCCTTGGCCGTCGTCACATGGTGGCAGCCGAGCTTGTGGGCACCGTCGATAGACTGTGCAATGGGATAATCGGGTGTGGTCGTGCTGTGGATGCGCAGGGTCGATGCGCCAGAGCCCGAGATGACCGAGTTTGGCGTCACCGCTATCGAGAAAATGTCCGTCTCGTGAGCTACAGTAAGAGGAGGACGGTTAGCGAATACATACTGCGTTTTCATCTGGAGAGTTTCCTCGTTTGCTTTGCTGCTGGCGGGGTTCTTCGCACGCACCATTGTCCACAGCCTTGGCGATGTAGAATTGTTTCGACTTGCGCACATGTTAGCTTTGGAGTAAAGACGTTGCAAAGGACAGTTAAGGGGTAGCTAGTCATACCATCGCGGCGTCAGTCAGAAGAGGTTTGGCAACAAGAATTCTGGGTCAAAGTCTGCCTTCTTTGTTGTCCAGGTGAACGTTTTTGGAGCTCTTGCCGTTTGGTAGAATCCCAAGGCTAGTGTGGGGCAGGTACCGCGAACTGCTCCTGCCGGATCTAAGACTACACTACTCGGCGCCAGCGCATGATTGCTCTTTCCCGGCTTCCGACACCAACGATTTTTGCTGCAACTTCCTAACATGTATGAGTTGGTCATATGAACCGCCATTCTACTTTGGTTTTCAGTTTGACCTGGCAGGCATGTATCAGCCCCTATCCTACATGACATCTTGACATGACAGCTCCTTCGGCAACGTACGCTCACTTAGGAAACCAACGGAAGTTCTAAAAATTTTACGGCAACGGGAAGACAAAACACATGGCTCTATAGATCATTTAGATTTGGTATTGTATATACATGAGGAGTATTCTTTTGTGTCTCCATAACTACTGCTTTCCGTAGCACTCTTCACAGCTTACAACCACTCTCTAAGCAACTGTTGCACATGTTGTAATTTTGCTTTGTCGCCGGCGAAGCAGACTAGGTCATCTAATACGTTGGCCGCTTCCCAGACCGCTGTTGGCCAGGAGCCGCATCCCGATATGCGCGGCCCAGTGTGGCACTTTCTTGCGTGGGTGCGGCTATAACCGCTTTTTCATCATGTCACGAATAGCTAGGGCCGAGTTAGTAGCTAAATCTAGAGTATCCGCCCATCCAAGCTTCGATATGAGGATAGAACAGGCAACGAGGCCCTATAGGGTTGAGACATACTCTCCAAACAGTAAGGGCACATATGGTGCATCCGTTTTGTCCGCCCGCAGGCAGGGCACTTGCACAGCGAATTGACATCCTTCAGCGCCTTGCCCGCCATCTGTCGACTCCGCTTCTTCGAGTGCGATGTTTTCTTTTTTGGCACCGCCCGGAGGATCGATTCCCAGATGTCGCCCAGCAGGGATGGTAGTGATGGCAGCGAGAGAGAGATGGCGGGGAGGAGAGGGGTGGCGGCTGCAAGCCGGTGTGCGAACAGAGATGCGATGCGGACTGCCCGTGATGATATTAATGAGTGTGAGGCGAGAGTAGATGTGAAAGGCGAAGACGTTGAGGGCGACGACGCGAAAAGCCGGGGGAGGAACGAGGTCAAGCCGACCCGGAACGGCACAGCAGCGACAGCCATAGCGGACACGAAATTGTGGATAGTGTGGCAGCTTGGTGAGCAATCGGGTGAGCAAAACGGTCGCCTTCTGAATGCAATTGATCGTCGCTGAAGTGGTGGTTGTCGCGTGCGCTCTGTTGTTCAAATGGCTCACGCCGTTTGGATGAAGCTATTTTTTTGGCCTACGGTTTTTTCTGCCATCATGCCGTCCCTCTTTTTCTCTCGCTTAGTCATTTTCCATTTCGCGCTTGGTGCAACCTAACAAAGACTGTTCCGAGCAGGAAACAACGATCGGTGTTGCTAGTGCAGCAGGCCATGCTCTCCTCACCTGCAGTCCCCACAGGGGACTGCCGTTGCCCAATGGTGTCGGGCCAAGGCACACGGACACACTTCTGGCCAATCAACGCTCAACAGCCCGTTTACCTTCCCCTTTTCTACCCCTGTCCACGAAAGGAAAGCAGGCGGGAGACAAAAAGGTTGGGTCGCTCCTGGACCTTGTGAAATAGGGGGTACGCAGGAGAGAAAAGGGAAAGCGAGGAGCAAATCTCTCTCTCCCTCCCCCCTAATCTAATGGGGCCAGGTGCTACCGGAGCGCACATACACCACAATTAGTTTCGCCCAATTTCCAATTCCTGTCTCCCACCCCCCCGAAAAGAAGGAGACTCTATTTTGTTTCCTTCCAAGTGACATCGCGAGCCCAGTTTCCAGCTTCTTTTCTGCCAACCGTTTCTGTGTTCCGACCCTTTCGACCGCGCGTTGAATCCGTGTGTTACCTACCTCGCAAACCCAAACTCGTGTCCATCCCACCGCATTTCTCCGTCAACCCCTTTCTATTCGACAAAATGGCGGCCATGCCCCCTGCCACGATTTACCCTCAGAGCCATGTTGGTTTTGACAGCATCACGTCGCAGATCGAGCGCAAGCTCCTGAAGCGTGGGTTCCAGTTCAACGTTATCTGCGTTGGTAAGTTTGTTCCTTGCCTGTGGTCGGAGCTCGTCGTGCGGTGTGGTAGAGGTGCTTAGACCGGCCATCGGCCCCCCTTTTCGCATCACAATGCCACGATGCAGCTTCGACCTGTTCAAAGTCGTCCAACTGTGGCTGTGTCCTTGTGGTTCTGCAACTAACACACTCTCTAGGCCAGACCGGTCTTGGCAAGTCGACCCTGATCAACACCATCTTCGCTTCCCACCTGATGGAGTCCAAGGGCCGTCTCATGCCAGAGGAGACCATCCGCTCGACCACTGAGATCCACGCTGTTTCGCACATCATCGAGGAGAACGGCGTTCGGCTCCGCCTGAACATTGTCGACACCCCCGGCTACGGCGATCTGATTAACAACGACCGCTGCTGGGATCCTATCGTCAAGTACATCAAGGACCAGCACTCTGCGTACCTGCGCAAGGAGCTCACCGCCCAGCGTGAGCGCTACATCCAGGACACGCGCATCCACTGCTGCTTGTTCTTCATCCAGCCGTCGGGCCACTCGCTCAAGCCCATCGATATCGTCGTGCTGAAGAAGCTCTCCGACGTTGTCAACGTTGTGCCCGTCATTGCCAAGTCCGACTCGCTGACCCTGGAGGAGCGCCAGGAGTTCAAGGCCCGTATCAAGGAGGAGTTTGCTTTCCACAATCTGAAGATGTACCCCTACGACAACGACGAGTTTGACGAGGAGGAGGTTGCCGTCAACACGGATATCAAGGTAGGCCCAGGTCACCGCTCATGATATGGGTTTTGCATCATTTCACTGCGCAACACATGTACTAACTGGAAGTATAGAGCCTGATCCCTTTCGCTGTCGTCGGCTCCGAGAAGTCCATTATCATCAACGGCAAGCAGGTCCCGGCTCGCCAGAACCGGTGGGGCGTCATCAACGTCGAGGATGAGGACCACTGCGAGTTCGTGCACCTGCGCAACTTCCTGCTGCGCACACACCTGCAGGACCTGATTGAGACTACGTCCCAGATCCACTACGAGACCTTCCGTGCTAAGCAGCTGCTTGCCCTGAAGGAGAGCAGCGCCCAGGGTGCTGGTGGCCATGGCAGTCGGCCCATTAGCCCTGCGGCCGACCGTGAGCTGAGCCGTGGCTCGCAGCGGGTGACCATGAACGGCTACTAAGCTTGAACACAAACGCGGAGCGCGTGGCTGAGCCGTGCCCTTGTGGCACGCTGCAACCCTCCTCCGCGAACGTTTATACCTTGACTACCTTTTACTCTCATGATCATTTCTTTGTTTGTTTCAGCCTATGCTTTTGCTCTCACATCATACCCCTGGCTCCGTGTTAGACTTGGCATGGTCCGGCCTGCTCGCCTTTGCGCTAGATTTGTCGACCTTTGCTTCCCGTCTTGGCATCGGAGCCACGACAATAATTTTACTACAGCCAACCCCAAACCACAAAAAAGGTGGACGAAGGAAGCAAGTGGTTTCGGAAAAACAAAAATAGGGCACATAACGTATTATTGCTTTGGGTGGATTTGCCGGCTTTGGTTTTTGTTAAGCCTGTGGTAGACGGCGCCGGCCATATCATTGTCGGCCTTGGCTTCTGTGGTTTTTGACGCCTACTGCTCCTTTCTAATTGCTACCTTTTCTTCTCTTTTATGTTGTTCGTCTTCTGCTATATGTGCAGTCTGTGTTTGTTGAACACCCAGTGCCGGTCTTTCACAGTCTCGGGTGCTTTTTTAGTATTACCGTTTTCTCGTCAATCAATCGATCAGTCCTTATATTCATATGTTCGTGATAAGCGGTGTACAGAAAAATAGTTTACTAATAATCCGTGTTCTTTTTTGTATTCGCCAGTTCAATTGACTGCCGCTATGCCAGTGGGAGAATCTAATATGTGCAGATCTATCCAGTTCTTTTTTTTTCCGCCACCAGGTGGACGTGCTGAACCCCTTTTATACGTATCTCATTTGGCCACTCTGGCTGGGCCTGCGTAGGTAGCTGTTCCGAGGAACGGGTTGTTGTCAGACAGCCCCCATTTACTGCTTCTTCTGATAGACAAAGTCCTCCAGCTCCTTGTAGGCCTTCTCCAAGTCGTCGTTGACAATGATCTTGTCATGGACGCCGGGCGTCTTGCTGTACTCCAGCTCGACCAGTGCCTGCTTCAGGCGCTTCTGCACGTTCTCCTCGGTCTCGGTGCCGCGGCCGCGCAGGCGCTGCTCCAGGACCTCAACGGACGGCGGGGCAATAAAGACGTAGCGGGCGTCCAGGCTGCTACCGCGGGCGCGCTGCTCCTGGATCTGCTTGACGCCCTCCATCTCAATGTCGAGGACGACGACACGGCCCTTGGCGGACTGGTCCGCGACGGTCTGCTTGCTGGTGCCGTAGCGGTTGCCGCCGAACTTTGCATGCTCGACGAAAGCGTCCTTGGCGATGAGCTCCTCAAAGGCCTCCATGGTGGTGAAGTGGTAGTGCTCGCCGTCGTTCTCGCCGGCACGAGGGCCACGGGTGGTGTGGGAGACGGCTGGAAGAGAGGGAGAGGACAAGAGTTAGCAAGCTGGCGGTGGTATGAGTCAGACCGCCAAAAACGCGAGGACAGGACCACCTACAGGAGCAGAAGGTATCGGGATGGCGCTGGAAGAGCAGGTTGTAGAGAGTGCCTTTGCCGACTTTACAGACCATCGATTAGCTATCATCCGGACATAATAAGTAAGAATATAACATGAAGATGACCGTTCTTACCTCCTGACGGGCCGGAGATGACGATCGGACGGGTGTCGGACGGAGGCGCCATGGTGGCAAAGTGAGCGATGCGACCGAAGCGGAGGTTGCTGTTCGAAAGGCCGAGGGCTTGCGACAAGCGAGGCGCAAGACGGAGGGACCTGAGAGGAGACAACGAGAAATACCAAGGGCCCGCAGCCATAAAAGGAAAAGGAAAGAAGAACAAAAAGAGTGGAGGGGAATGCGAAAACAGGCAAGGGGTATCAGCACAAGAAAGTGAACGAAAGGAGGTCAACTGAAACGGCCAGGTCGGTGGGGATGTCGTCGATGTGCATTAGTGGGAGGAGACGCTGGCAGAAAAATCACAGTGGGGAGCTAAGGCGGTGAAGGGCGGTGAGCCCCCCAAGTAATGCTGCCCTGTAGTTTGTGAGTAGCTTGCGAACAGTACATATTTAACTCATGTTTAAATCCAATAAAATTTACTCTCTATTGGTAGGCCTATTTTGTATCTGTTGGAAACAACCCTACGTGTGGTACGAACTGCATGCACCGAATGGTAAATATTCTCGGCGTCGAGTTTGCTAATCGAGGTTGTCAAATGCCCTCTGAGACCATTCGCGGGAGTAATTGAATCACGTGCTTTCCCGTACTTTTGGCGTTGCCTAGCCAGCCAGATTAAAAGGAGCCATCGCTTTGCAGGCGGCTTACAAGCCACTCTAGCCCCCGCTCGAGTTCACACAGCGTCATTGGCAGTATCGCCTCTTGTTCTCTAACCATCTTTATCTCTATCCGCAAGCTACGAAACGACAAGGAGACATATATTTTACCGTTAACTCGACAGATTCTACTCCACCGCTCCGAACTCTGCCGCATATCGATCTACAATGCCACCGACAAGAAAGGTGTCTGGCGGCCGCCAGGCAACGCTCAGCTTCAACCACCGGGTGACCAAGCCCTCAGTGCAACGGCAGTCGGCTAAGGAAGCCGCACTTCTGACAGACAAGGCCAAAGAGAAAGAGGCCAAGGAGACCAAAGAGGTCAAGGAAGCCAAGGAAGAGAAACAGAAGGACGAGGAGGAGGTGGTTGAAGCCAAGAAGGCCAATCGCGAAGTTGCGGCCGAAGATGAGGGTGTCCCGGGCGCCGAGGACGAGGAAAACGACGAAGAACCAGCGGCCAAGGTTATCGAGCCGGCTGTTGTTATCCGTCCCGAAGCAGAGATTAAGGCCGATGCCGTCTCGGATGCGCAAGTCCGTCGGTACTGGCGGGCCATTGAGGCGGAAGGCACCGCTCGCCGGGTGCACCAAGAGGGTCTTGATCTGAGCGAGAAGGTACTGCGGCACTTTGACGTTAGTTCACACTTTGGAGTAAGTGACCGCCACGGTAACATTTTGTCACTGGGTTTTCCGTTTGCTAAGAAACAGCCGTGCGTGGGTATCACACGGAAGTCACGATGGCTGCGGGCACAGCGCCTTGGCCTTTCCCCACCCATCGAGGTGCTGGCCGTGATGCTGAAGGAGGAAGCCAAGGGCGTCGAGGGCATCCAGCGGTCGTCATTTGACGACATTCTGAATGCTCCCATGGCAGCATAGTTGACAGGGCGGAGCAATGGGGTATGTTTGTGGGTTTAATGGGACAGCGGGACAAGCAACGACATGGCTGTACGCAGCCGCTGCGAAAGTGTATTTTTATATTTTGCTATGGTTTATTTTCTGTCGGGATGTTGGCTGTTTCTGCATTTCACAATATTCGATTTACTTGAAAAATTTCGCGTGATCTTGCAAAATACGACAACTCTTCTTTTATCCGCGGCAAATGGGAATTCTATTGTGGTATCGCTAACAAAATGTAACGCAACGTAAAAAAAAGGGCCGCCCCGGTGAAGTGAAACAAGGAGATTAAGCAAAGTAATACGAGACGGACACAGACTACCAGGTCAGCTTAGTACCAGATGCTCCGTGTCCGGTGGTGCGGAATATCGTCCTTGCCAGCCTCTTCTAGCTCCTTCATCGTATCGTAGAGAAAGAAGTCAATGAGAATGGCGTTGACCTTGGCCTTGGGATGCTGTCGCAGAATCTCCCGTCGAATCAGCTCGACACACCAGATGCTGCACGCCCGCAACTGCATCTCCCAGCTGCTACCGCTCTCGATTGGCCGCTTTTCCTGGATCGCAGTCATAAGCAACGGGCTATAGTAGAGACAGCCCATGGACTGCAGGATCTGCGGCACGCGGTAGTCGGCGAACATGGTCAGCTTGTCAATGTCCCGGAACTCGCCGTAGTCCTTGCCTTCGAAGCACGCCCATAGTTCGGCGACCAGGATCTGAGCGCGCTTGAGGAATCGCACGGGCTTGCGGCGGTGTTCGTATGGAAACTCGTCGCGGAAGCAATCAAAGTCGCGTGCGAGGATGTTGACAAGCTTCGTGGCCGATCCACCGGCCGCCTTGATGACGTTTACAAAACTGCACTCGTACTTTTCGTAGAGCACCCGGCCCGCCACGCGCAAGCACTCAAGCCGCTCAGCCAGCAGCGGCATCTCTTCGTCGGATGCCGAACGGAATACTTTGCGCATGAGATCCATGTTGCACTCATCTTCGCTCTGCCAAAAGTCAGATGACGTGATGGGGATGTCTATTAGGACATTTGGTTAGCAAGAGAGAAATCATGCATTCATGTTTCGGTCCCTCTTTGTTACTCACCCTCTTCCAGCGCTCTTTGAAGAGCGGCCACCAGGCTCCAGTAGCCTGTCCACTTCTTGCCGCGGTAGTCGATGCCGAATCGGTCAGCGGCGGGCAGTTCCGACCAAAAGGAGAAGTTCAACAGATCCATTGTGAAGATGAACGCCACAGTGCTGTCGTCGCGCGTCTTTGGGTGCAGCTCATGCTGGGCCCACGTTGACGTCGTGTAGTTCTTGGCTTCCATCTGGCTGTGGATCGCCTTGGCCGCATTTTTGCACGACCTCATGTCCAGTGCTACGTCAATTGAGTTGTCGTAGACGTGCTCCGCACCCTCGAGCACGCCAGTCTCGGCATCCTCGTCGACCGGCGGCTTGCCAAAGTAGTGCTGCCGCAGCAGCGCAACCAGCTCGGGATCTGCCTCGTCGTCGGACATTCTGCGTGCGTATGTTAGAAATATGCGGGACCATATCAAGGAAATATACGACGACTGTAAACCTTATGCCCTATTCGAGGCGGTGGGGATTTTATTTGGTTTCTGTTCACCGAGATTTTCTTCGCCGTGACTTGGAGAGTCGTGTTTGTCCATGGCAACAGTGCCTTGCACGGTGACGACATGTCCACAAAATACACTTACTTGAAGGTGGTTATCTGGCAGTAAAGACGCCAATTGGCTTGTTTCTGTTTCAAAAACAGAAGATCACCAGCGACGTCGATGTCTACTTGTAACTACAGCGTCAAGGCGACCCCGAACGACCATCACACAACTTTTTCACCTTGGCAGCTGGCAGATATCGGAGGCGCATGACGGGCCGGCAATCGTGCTCTGTGGGGCCCTAAGCATGCACGCCACCTACAACGGCACGCATTGCGCCTTCCCTGTGCCTGTGCCTGGGCGCGTGCCTGCGCGACGACCGTCACTCACTGTGGTGAGTCGCTCTTTCCCTGCTGGTTCAGCGCAATTCAGGCAGTAGTCAACCCTGACTCAGTTCACTCGCGACGGCACTTTCAGTATCGCCGTGACACGATAACGGTTCCGTTTTGCTGCGCTACCTCGGACGAGCGTTTTGGTCTTGTCTGCACGCCTCGTCTCTTTTCACGCTCGACGACACTCCTTTTGTAACCAGTTTGCAATTGTGCCTTTGCCAGAACTTCAGCAACACTACTTTTTACGCCATTGCCCGACTTGCAGCACTCATTACGCTGGTCGTCGCATTCTGGTCCCGTTTTTAAATTCTCTTCTTTTTTTTTACCAGCTTCGAGCATTCTCTCGCCACCTCACGTTCACTTGGTGCTGCCTCTCTTGTCCTGTCTACCAACGCTTCTTCCTCGCATCGAAGCATCGTTGACACCCCGCAGTTAGCCATGGCGACGGCAGTAGACGCTCCAGCGAACGCGCCTGCATCACCGGCAAAACCAACACAAGTTCAGATGACACCCAATGCGCCCCGGGATGCACACAATATGGAAACCCTCGGCCGTGGCCTGAATGCCTTGGTCAAGCAGGTAAGTGGTTGCGGCCCTGCTTGTGGGCGACGGCCGTTCAGCTGACAGATCTTCTTGCGCTCTCTAGTCTCGCGTTCTCCTCGTGGGCGCCGGCGGCATCGGCTGCGAGCTTCTCAAGACCCTCGTGCAGTGCGGCTTCCGGGAAGTACACATTGTCGACCTCGACACCATCGACCTCAGCAACCTCAACCGACAGTTCCTCTTCCGTCACGAGCATATCAAAAAGCCCAAGGCCCTGGTCGCCCGCGACGCCGCCCAGCGTTTCAACCCGCTGGTCAACCTCGTGGCCCATCATGCCGACATTAAGACGTTCGACGTCGCCTTCTTTGCCAGCTTCACGGTCGTCTTCAACGCGCTCGACAACCTCGATGCCCGCCGCCGCGTCAACCGCATGTGCCTGGCGGCGGGGGTGCCTCTGATCGAGAGCGGCACCGCGGGCTTCTTGGGCCAGGTGCAGGTCATCAAGCGTGGGGTCACTGCGTGCTACGACTGTAGCCCCAAAGAGGTGCCTAAGTCGTTCCCCGTGTGCACCATCCGCAGCACACCCAGTCAGATCATCCACTGCATCGTGTGGGGCAAGAGCTACTTGCTCAACGAGATGTTTGGCGATAGCGAGGACGAGTCGGCCTTTGACCATTCGGACGACGCACAGAATGCCGACGAGATTGCCGAGCTCAAGAAGGAGTCCCAGGCCCTCAAGGCCATCCGCCAGGCCATTGGCACGCCCGGCTTCGCCGAGATGCTCTTTGACAAGGTCTTCAAGACCGACCTGTTGCGGCTACGGTCCATGGAGGACATGTGGAAAACGCGTTCGCCGCCCGAGCCACTGGCATATGCGGAGGTCATGGCACGCGATGCCACGACGGCGGCAATTTCCAACAAGACGGAGCTGCTGCGCGACGGACAAAAGGTCTGGACGCTCGAGGAGAGTGTCGTGGTCCTCAACGACAGCATCGAGCGGCTTTGCCACCGCGTTGTCGCGGCCAAAGCAATGGGCGAGGGAACAGAGGGCGCTATGATCGAGTTTGACAAGGACGACATCGACACGCTCGACTTTGTGGTGGCGAGTGCCAACATCCGCGCGACGTTGTTTGGCATCGAGCGCAAGTCGCGCTTCGACATCAAGCAGATGGCCGGCAACATCATACCGGCCATTGCCACCACGAATGCGATCGTGGCTGGCCTCTGTGTTCTGCAGTCTTTCAAGGTGCTCCGAGGACATTACGACTCTGTCAAAGAGGTATGTGCTTTTGTTTGTGTTCATCCTTTGTTAATATATCATCGTGCACGAGCCTGCTTACTGACGCCCATTTCGTAGGTCTTCCTTGCTCCAAATGCCACCGACCACATGCTTGCTTCGGATCGACCGCGGAGGCCAAACCCTGAATGTCCCGTTTGCAGCGCGTTCCAGGTAACACTCGACGTTGACTTTGACAAGATCACACTCCGGGACCTGGTGGATGACTTCGCCAAGGAGCAGCTTAAATTCGACGCAGACGGCGAGTTTGTCATCAGCAACGAGGTCGGCATTCTGTACGATGTCGACGAAACGGAAAACCTCGACAAGAAGCTGTCGGAACTGAGTATTAGTCATGGCACCTTCCTCACTGTCACAGACGATTCCGACGAGCCTTATGTCAATGTTGTTATCAACCTCCAGAAAGCGTAAGTCCAAACAATACGGATTGGTATTGCATTCCAGTAAGATATTGGATGGGGCCGTGATCTGTATGCTAACTCAAAGTACATCATGTAGTAAGGAGTCTCTTGGTGACAAGCCATATACTGTTGTCAGCATCAGCGACCGGAATTCTGATGGCTCCGCCAAAATCGCCAAACAGCCCAAAAAGGCTCCAAAGCCAGCTCCTCAAGAGAACGGCGCCTCCAACTCGAAGCAGCCGCTCACTGTGGACGATGACGACGATCTTATCATTCCCGAAGACACCCAGCCAGCAAACAACAAGCGTGCCCGGGAAAACGTTGGTGACGAGCCCATGGCCAAAAAACCCAAGGTTGCACCGGCACGAGCACCAGCAGTGCTGTCCGTTGCTAATGGCAATTCCAGCCAAACTGGCAAAGCCGTTATGATCGACGACTGATTAATCTCACTGCGCGGCTATGCGCCACAATGTGCAGCAAGGACATGCTGTATATTCATAACGCTATACTTCCCGCCATATCAAATCATCTCATGTCTTGGCTGCCGCGAAGCGACAGACGGTCAACTTCAAATGGCAGCTTCACGTTCACTCCACCTCATCTTTCTTGGTTTGAGAGCCGGGGCCCTGCCCTCGGTCACGACATAGCGCTCAGGCCTCCGTCGAGGTTAAGCACACAGTTGTTCGCATATCTGTTATTGATCAAGAACAAGGCCGCATCCGCGACTTCGCTAGGCCGTCCAAACCGACCTGCCGGGATGCGACCCTTGAGTATTGATCGATGAGGCTCTGACACAGCTGGGAGTAAGAGAAAGCAATGGATGTGACAACAGCCACACCCATGCAGTATACTGTTAGCCGAGCTTTTCTTTTCTTTTCTTTTTTTGTAATGTCGAGCATGCATATACAACAGTACGTGTCAGTTTGGTGGCAATTTGTGTTGATAGTGCTTTCTTCTTCTGTTTTCAGTTTCACGGCTGTAGGGCAGCCGTAACCTAAGGACGAGCGGGAACAAAGGGCTGGGGCGTTTATATGTGACCGGTGTCCTTCGGCGCTGGAGGTCATAGGACAAAAATCAAACAAAATTAATTCAAACAAGAGCAGGTCTAACTCACATTCTGTCATTTCGGTCTCGATGTAGCCCGGAACGATGACATTGGCACGAATGCCCCGCGACTTGCCCTCGTCCACAAGGGCACGTGTGAGGCCAATGATACTCGCCTTTGATGCAGCATAGGGCGCAGCGCCCATGCCACCCCGGAAAGCGAGCAAGCTGCTGATGTTGAGAATCACCCGGTCACTACCCCGGTTTCCCAGCCACCGGATCATCGCCTCCCGGCAGCCCAAAATGGTACCATACGTATTGGTGTCCAGCACGCGGCGGATATCCTCGGGCGAGATGCGCGACATTAATGCGTTATGTGTCACGCCAGCGGCGTTGACAAGGATACTGACGTCTTTCTAAGAGTAACAGTGTCAGAGCATGTTGTAACCATTTGTAAGGCCACGAGGCCCGGGGATGGAAGACAAACGTTTGCGAATAATTTGGGCCACATCTCTTCGTCTTGCACATCGCCCACGACATAAGAATGCACACTAGAACTTGAGTTGCTCTCCGTGGATGGCGAGACAGTGTTCTCGGGAGGTGGCATAGCATACTTTCCTTGCTCCCGCCAGTAGTCAAGGTTCTTGACGACATTTTTCAAGGCCATTTCATCGCGCCCGATAATGGTGCAGCGCACGCCTTCTTGGGCCAGCCGCTCAGCAATGGCCTCACCAATACCGCGGCTGCCACCTGTGACAATGGCCTTTTTGTTCTCCAGCCAAAGCGTCCTCGGCGATACCAAAGATTCAAAGGCACTGGAGCTGCTTCCGTCGCCGATTGCGTTCTTCTTTTTGCCGTTGCCCTTGAATAAGATGCTGTTGTCGTCGCTGATGCGGCGGCTCTGCACGAATTGGCTTTTAACTGCACGTATCCTCAAAGGCGCTGCTGCGAGTCGCGGTCGTATGGCCAATGCCGGCCACATTTTTTTTGGTGTGTGTAATCTGGGTATCGGAATGCGTCACTTGCTCAACCGACGTTGATGTCATTTTGTTTCTATTACGTCGTTTCTTTCTTTCACGGGGAATAGGTCATTCGCAAGCCGAGGCGGAAAGAGCAAAATTAGAGCTGTTGCCTGTCGAGCTTCGCATTGGCTGGCCGCACCTGCCTCAAACCGCTAAAGGACCAAAGGCGGACTGGCAAAGTGCGCTAAAATCCCCCCTTTTTACTCCTCAGCGGGCACACTTTCCCTTTCTCCTCAGCTTGCCCAGGGGTTCTAAAGACCAACCAGCCAATGGGAGAGCACTAAGAACCAAAATCTTTAAAGATCTAGGGAGACTGGCCGTAACATTGCATTTCGCGGGACGAAATGTGTGAATCGGCGGCTCGCATTTTCTTTTCGTGGACATACACCTTGCATCTTATTATCTAGATACACTGTTGATTGCGGCCTTCGTCCTCAAATCAAGTTACCGGCCGATCGCTCCTTCTTCCTCTTTCTGTTATCTTTCCATTGTGCGTGCTAGCAAGAGCCTCGCCCTTCGACCCTTCCGCTTTCGTACGGTCCCGGTCTTGACGTCCTTCGTTCTGAACCTCGGGCGACCCTTCTCCAGCCATTCATTCAATGCGGCTTGTATGAACGCCTCGCAAAAGACCCCATCGATGGCTTGACTGGCTGTCTTCTTTCTCAGAGATCACGCACATTATTTCTCGAGTCGAGTCTACCAGTACCCCTCTCCCCTCCCGCACGATACTCCCCTGGGCGGTCTCCCGTCTCTTTTATCTTTGCGATTGCCACATTATCACCCCTGGCGCCCCCATCGACGTCGACGATAAAGTGCGGCGAATTGTTCTTCGAATATCTTCCATCGATTCTGCTTCCACGTTCTCTATCGATCATTGGGTTCACGTCGACGGCTCGTCTATCTAAACCCATTCTCGACAGACGTTTACCTATCCCGCCTAACAGCCGCCACGACAAATGAGTGGCGCAACGTCAATACGCAACGGTGCAGGCCGCAGCGACGCGGGGCCTGATGTTCCGACGATCAAGATTGCCGAGGAACATGGACACGGACATGAGCACGGCCATGGCGATGGCGACGTGGTGGACGCCGGGTTGAAGAGTTTAGATCACTGTAAGTGGTGGTGGCTCGTGTAGAAACTGGAGGCGGACAGAAGAGAGAACTGACATGGTCACTAGATAAGCGCGCCCTGCCAAAATGGCGATATCGTCTGCGTCAGCGGTTGCTACCCCTCGTGCGCTGGGAGACGCCGTACCTTGCGTACTTCCAGAACGCGCTGCGGTCGCCGGCGCTGGACAGTTATTTTGCCATAACTGCCAATCTTGGCACGCACACTTTCTTCATGATCGGACTGCCCATGTTGTTCTGGTTTGACTACGCCAAGTTTGGAAAAGGGTATGTTGAGGATGGCGGGACGAAACGGCAAGACGAAAACTCCAGCTAATAATCTCCCAGCCTCGTCCACATTCTTGCCTCGGGAGTCTTCTTCAGCGGCTTTATCAAAGATATGTGCTCGCTTCCCCGGCCGCTCTCGCCTCCACTTCACCGCATCACCATGTCCGACTCGGTTGCCCTCGAATACGGCTTCCCGTCAACGCACTCGACAAATGCCGTCTCCGTTGCCGTTTACGCCGTTCTTATGCTCAGCGAGTCCGACCTTGCCCCGTCCACCAAGCTCTTCCTCGAGAGCCTCAGCTACTTTTATGCCTTCTCCATCATTGTCGGCCGCCTATACTGTGGCATGCACGGTTTTTTCGACGTTGTCATCGGCAGCGTGCTCGGCGCCGTCATCAGCTGGATCGAATTCTACTGGGTACCTGCTCTCGACGCATACATGCTGCAGAGTTCCTGGTGGGCACCCATCATCGCCGCCCTCATCATCATCGTACTCGTCCGTATCCACCCGGAGCCAGCCGACGACTGCCCGTGCTTTGACGACTCAGTTGCCTTTGCTGGTGTTATGATCGGCCTTGAGATTGGCACGTGGCATATCGGCCGTTTGCGGAACACCTTCTCTCTGCTCCCGGGCGGTATTGCCTCTCCGAGCTGGCCTATCGCACTGGCCCGTGTTGTGTTTGGCGTGCTGGTTGTGTTTGCATGGCGCGAGGTCATGAAGCCCACACTGCTTAAAGTCCTGCCGTTTTTGTTCCGTGTCATTGAAACGCATGGTCTCAACCTGCCTCGCCGTTTCTTCGTGCAGGCCAGCGAGTATGGCAAGATTCCCGAGGTGCTGCTTCTGCGCACCGACAACGTCATTCCCAGCGTCAGCGACATCCCTATCATGGTACGCAATATCCGCAATGCGCGGCGCGGACGGTCGATCAGCATCGGCCCGCAGAGTGCTGCCGATGCATATGAGACGCTTGCCTATCGTGAACGACGCCGGCGGGAGAGCATCGGTAGCCAGGGAAGCGCGGGCGTGCGCAGCAAAGGCAGCATGTACGACCTACGCGGCGAGCAGGGAGACGGGGCAGCAGCGTCCGCGGTATCGGTCGGCAACGGTGAAGCGGTGCCGCTCGCGAGAAGCGGTGGGACTGGTACGAGCAGCGGTATCAGTGCCGGCGGCACAGCCAACGACCGCGAAAGCAAGGGACGGTCGGCGTCGGTTGCGCGGAAAAACTCGCTGGCACAGTTTGAAGAGATGATGGGCCAGGGCACAGTGGTCGAGGTGCCGCAATCACAACAGACGACAGCATTCCCGCGGTTAAACACCGAAGATGACGCGGCGGTCGACGAGCCAGACCTGTTTGTGGGCCGGCAAGACGAGCTTGGCGAGCGGGAGATGTTTGAGAAGTTGGTGAAGCCGCGTGTGCGGTACGATGTGGAGGTGGTCACAAAACTGATTGTGTATGCTGGTAAGTGGATCCACGTATAGCGCCCCGGCAATGTTCTTATGGGATCTTCTAGCTAACACTTGTACCAGGCATTGGATGGTTAGCAGTCGAGATCATTCCTGTTGTGATTGAGCTCATCGGGTTAGGATCATGAATATAAAGCTCGCCAACCATTTGGACAACGAGTGTATATATGTTGATTCTAAGACGGCCCCTTTTACGCCTGAAATTTGTTTGTTTCTTCTCTGCTTATGCTTTGCGGACCCTTTTATTTTGACCTATAAACTATTTTTTGTTTCTCTTTTCTTTGTATATCTCCTATTATTCAAGGTCGATTCTAAAGACTGCACACATTTGAAGATTGTGCACATGATGATATAACTACATATTCCCATTGCTCCATGGCTTTGCCCTGACTTCTACGTGATTGTCACGCCTATTTCTCAGCGCCGAGATTTTGATCTCTTCAGGTTTCGCCTAGAGTATGGACGGAAGACTCCGACTTTCACGAGCCAAAAGTTCACGGGCTTCACATTCAGCTGGCGTATTACATATGTTGGGTTGTAGCAGCCGGCCTTGACACTCGAATCCGCGTTCACTTCTAGGGCGACTATGACGAACCTTGTACAATGAGAGAGAATGTGAGGTAAATACAACGGAAGAAAGATGTACCTTGCAAGTAATATGTCGTCCATATTCGTTACGTCTGGATGCGGTGCTCAGAGTATTGGCCGGATTCATCCAGCCAAGATTAGCCACCCCTCCCCGGACCCCGGGGATATGCCTTGTGTAAGTGTGTACGAGGAGGAAGCCACGGTCGTGGAGCGCAAAATTATGTACTCGCTTCTTTTGCTTTCACAGCTTGTTCTTTCTCTATTTTTTGTTTCTATCAAATTGAACGTGGCGGTGCGTCGTGAACTCTCGGGCTCTACCTCCACGGCGTACATCTCATAGTTGTTGACAAAGCCCCTGATATTGCACGACACGATACACTTGGCAAGACGTCGAACAGTCACCCACGAAGTAGATTGCAATTACTTTACTTTTGCTCGGTTTTGTTTGTTCTTAGGCAGTCAATTTGTTTCTTAACTTTTATTGTTTCGTATTTATGCCCAGGTCGTTAGCAACTTAACAAGAAAATATCTGACAAACTGATCCGTGAGACGGACCATCTTAGGTGTTGATAGCAACACCGTTCCATGTCGTGACGCGCAACAGAAACTCTCAAAAGACATTGTACGTTCCTTAATGTGCTCCCTTTTAAACAACAGAGGGTGAATGAATTGTACCATAGGGGGTTTAGCACAGACTATTTAGACTCTCCATCTTTGTTTGGTGTAATTGCGAGGCTGCTCGAGCCCTGTAGAGAACGGTCTGGGTCCTCGTGCTGCCTCAAGTGCTGTCGATTTCGAAAGGTCTAGCCAGGTACGCTGTGTCTGCCCTGTAGATAGAGTCATTTGGGCAAGATCGAGAGAGTCAAGTTCAAGACAGGCAGAAAGGTGTCTCCATTTACCCCACACGTGTTGCTATGTCTTTAGAGGCCATTTGATTTTCGAAAGTTCGAGGCAATGCGGGGCCGGCGACAAGCTTTGCTTTACAACGTATATTTAAAGCCTGCAAATACGTAGTAAGTACGTTGTGCTGGCGGTCTGTAACTTCTAGCAAAGCGGTGGTGAGACTTAACATTTGTACCTTCGTAGACGCAGACCAGACGATATTCTGAAAAAGGAAATTCCGGCGGTGTAATTACTTCTCAAAATCTCGGGGTCACTGTGGGACTGGACTCATGGCGGAGAGCATAAAACCCTGTAGGGCTTGGGCTGAGTTGCGGTCCGCCCAGTTCCTTAAAATAGCAACCCTTGGTGAGCGATCCGAGAGAATGGGACGGTGTGGCTGGCGTAAGGTGCAGGAGGCAGAGTTAACTGGGTTGGGGCAAGAACTGCTAAGACCATGTTTTGGATCCACGCTGCGTCGGTCCCAGAGAGTCTGAGCTGTGTGCCATTCTCCGAATCTATCTTACTTCGTGTTGTGAGTAAGACACATTCTACTTCTCTGCGTCTGGCTCGTGTTATGCGGGAATGGCAACCCCTGTCCGTCTGTCAAAAGGATGACAAGTATCTTAGGACTTTGCCGGTGCGCCAAAGCACACAACAGAAACCGCTCAATCCGGGTCGATGCGAGAAAACTGCATCGTAGACGCGCGCTCGCGCCGTGGATTTAGAGTTTCTCGTGTGAATGCAACAATAGAGAAGGACGATAAAAGGACCTCGCAATCGACAATTCGAGGATAGGACGGAACAAGGCTATTCCCTAAAACGAAGGAAAGAGTGACCGAGAGCGTGGAGAGAATGCAGTTTGGTAACGGCAACCTGCACCTTCCTCTCCACTCAATCTGGTTCCTTCCCTCTTGTCGACTCGGGTGCCCCATTTACCTACGGCTGCTTTCTGTCCTTTTCCCCAAAACATATCTCTCGTCAAACAACATGTCTTGATTCCATCGCTTCTCCTGCACAATCCGGGCAAACATCGAAGAGCACTCTCTGGTCTACGACACCTCCACCTCCCCCGAGACGGGCAGAACAAACATTGTCAAAGCACGAACACGACGCCAGCGTGCAGAACAGTCCAGCCACTGATTGTCGCCAATAAAAACCCTTTCGCAGCCGAGCGTCTTGAGAATCCTTCATCCTGCAATCCCGGCAGAGGAGACTGGGGCACGGGTGGAGACAGAGTCAAGTACTCCGACACGTCCGAGTATCTCCCAACAGGCGCCGGTGCGTCTCGGTCGGCTATCGTGTGGCTGTGGGAGAAGGCTCCTTGTTGCTTTTTTCCTTTTTTCTTATGGACCCTTTTCCCATAACTTGGCTGCTATATTCTTACTTGCGCCAAACCATGGATTTTAGCCTTTGGTCAACGCTTTTCTCGAATCGTTTACGGGGCGCGTCGATCATCCTGTTTTATGCTTTTGGCACTCTGTACTTGTGACAAACCAGCTGCACACTTTGTCACAGCTCCCAGTCGTCGTCCTTGTCGCTTGTCTTTCATTTTATCGCAACGCATCGAGGCATGCCCAAAATCTGTCAACTACCCCAGTGCAGGGTCACAAACCATGCTCGACATGGAAACCCCAGCGAGAAGTTATGGACAGGGTACATGTACTTCGTACACGCCCGGTAATTACGCCCCGTCCACAAGTCTGTTGATCCCTGGGATGCGAATCCTTCCGCAAGCAGGAGGGACCTCGAGGCCAGGACACGATCGCCTGAACAAGCACGGCAGGCAAACCCTGTTTTCGACTCGTCCACTCGCGATATAGTCTCCCCGTGTTTACTTGTTGTGGGTGGCCCCAGCCCCTTGACACAACAATTCAATGCTGCAAGCACGACTATGAGGCCTGGCCCTGGTCTTGGCCTGCCAGGTCTTGCCGTCCTCCCGTGCGTTGGAGGACAAAAAAAAAAACCTACAGGGGCTGAGGAGACACGAAAGAAGAGACAAACTGGCGTGACAACTGTCCGGTCTGGCGTTCGCCACAGGATTGTGTCTGCGCCACCATGTGATGCTGTGTTAACTGGCCTCTTTCGTCCTTTCCTCACCTTCGCTGGTCTCCCCTCTGCACGGCGACAACACAGGCGAAGAAACCTAAACTCTCAAACAAGCGAGCAAAAAGAACAGCGGTACTATTACTCCGTACCTCTTGGTACGAACCACACCAAAGCAGAAAGAAGGCAAAACATCGCAATTCTGTTACAGGAAGAGGCCCGCAGCAACAATTTCCAAGCAGCAAGCCCAGTGTAGACCCGATACTCACAAGTGTTGCACCGCGATTAAGTTGCCTACGAGGGCTATGCCCACCGGTCCCTCTTTTCACTTCTGTCAGCCTCTGCCTCTTGTCATATCCAGAATCCAGTACGAAATACGAAGTAGACGCACTCTCGCTTCAGTCTTCTTCATCCACTTTCCTGGTCTGTCTCTTAGCTAAGATACTTCTGGCTACGTCCTTCCGTGGTCTTGGCACCGTTCCCTACCCATTTCAGTATTGTACGGCGTAGTACCCTTTGGATTCTGGACGTGTTTCATCGCGACTCCGTCTATTTTATTATTTTATTTTTATTTTATTAAATTTGTCTCATTCCAAATTTTCTGCTCTCCTCTCTCTCGGTTGTTCTTCCTTGGTATCATCTACCTCCACTCAACCTCCACACCTTGACACTACCGGCTGGTCTTCGATGACGCGAGCTTGACGATCGTCACTCGTCCTTCTTTCCTCACTCCTTGCCCTCAATCTTCTGCTATCTCCATACCTCCTCACGAAACCATCAATACCAACATCATGTCTGACTACTTCGACGACTACTTCTTCACCTCCAATGTCTCCGACCATACTTGCCCGGGCTTCGGCAGCTTCGTCTGTAAGCCCCCGAACGCGTGTGCTCGCGACCCCAACACTGGCCGCCGCTTCTGCTGCGACGTCAAGGACGTCTGCTGGACCATAACTGAGACCTGCGCAAACGACGGCAGCACCCTCGACTGTGGCACCGGCACCACCACCTGGTGCTGCGTCAACGGTCGTGAAAGGTGTACCGCCACCAAGAACCAGATCAACATCTGCTGGTCCACCGCCCATGACGTTCTCAATAACATCACCAATAAGGTGCTGAACAACACCTACTCGTCTTTAAGCTCCGCTCACCCCTCGGCCACTACATGGGCTTTCAGCCCGGACGAGCTCATCGCCAAGACTGCGCCGCCCACCTCGCCGGCATCATCATCTGCCGCTGACAGCAGTGCGACATCCGGCGCCTCTTCGCCAGCGGGGCCCACCGGCAGCAATGGCGCCGGCTCGTCTGGGATTGGCGGTGGCGCCATTGCCGGTATTGTGGTGGGCTCCATTGCGGGCGTGGCGCTGATTGTGGCCGGTCTCTTCTTCCTGTGGCGCCGCGCGCGGAACCAAAAAGATGGCATGGCCGCCGCCGCCGGCTACCCAGACGGCACGGCGTCTGGTGCTGCCGCAGCAACCAGCGCAAATGGTCTCGACGACAAGCCACGCTACGCCGGCGCACCCAACTTCGGTGCGCACGGTCACACCAATACCAACAGCTACTACACCGGCTCGCCTTCACCTCACCCGCCGCCGTCGTCTGTCCCCACGTCCGAACTACATGGCGACAATCTAATTCCCCAGGAACTACCGGCAAACCAGGCCTTTGGTGCCAATCCCAGCGAGCTATCGGCAACGTCTCCCACGGTAGGAACACACTACAGTACCGTGAACAGCAGCGCCGACAGCCCCGCAATAACTCCTGCCGCACCGGCGGCTAGGTCAGTCGACGTGCCGCCCGAGCAAGCCTACCAATGGTCGCATCAGGCCAGCGGCACAGCACCAGCAGTGCCATTACAACAAGAGCGACACTAAATAACATGGGGACAAGTCTGGTAGGGGGATGGCGATACCCGATGAGGAGGTTGTATAACCGAGAACGTAGACAGCATTGTTTGCCCAGTTGCATCCTTTACGTAGTTTTCGATATATTTTATTTCCTTTTGTTCACTTTCTTTCCAAGATACTCACACCAGGGGCGTTCTCTTATTTATATCTACGTATATACTAGTTTCAACTTATCGACATGATAATTTCAACATGTTCAAACCTCAGTAAACAAAAGATACAGTAGAACAACGTGAAGTAAACAATGAGTACAAAGACACAAGTCATTTCACAAAATGCAACCCTCAGTACGAGGTGGCAGCCAGCTGGAAGGTGAGCTGCCCCGGCGGGCTGGGGTCCTGCGTGGCTACCATGATGGTGAGGCTCTTGCCATTCGTGGAGGTCCACGTAACCGTGTACAGGTTGTAATTGCAGTTGACCAGTGATGCCGTGCTGCCGCTGTGGTTCAGCGTACACGACACGATCTGGGTACCGGCCGCCGGCGACAGGGTGGGCACAACATAACCGCCGTCGACCACGGTCAGGACCAGCTGCGTGTTGACCTGGCCGGTGGACGGATAGCTGCGGACAATGACTGCCAGGTCGCCAGCGGCGGTGACCACAAACAGGTTACCGTTGGCGACGCCGTCGACAAAGCCCAGAGCGTAGCTGTACGGGAAGCTGCTGAGTGCCAAAGTACCGCCGGGAGTAATCCAGTCGACGTAGGCGCCGACCACGTTTGGCGCAGAGCCCGACGAGAAGGACTGGCTGGCGACTTTCATGAGGTAGGGCGTGGGCGAGGCGGTTGCCTTGGTGGTGGTGGTTGTCGTTGTGCCGATCGTAGAGGTCAAGATCGCCTTGGTCGTCTGCACGTCGGTCTTGGTGTACGTGGTCGACGTCGACGTACTGATGACCGTGGTCGATGTGCGGATGGCCGTTGTGGTGCTGTGGAGCGATGGCAGTGTCGTGATCGTCGTCTTGGTGCGTGTCGTACTGGCGTACACGGAGACATCAGCCGATGCTGTCGACAGCTTCGTCGAGCTTAGGACCTCACTGTCACTGGGCGGGACGATGGTGGTAATCGACGGAGTGGCGCCGAGCGAGATGCAGTTGCGGGAGTAGCGGTTCACATAAAGGCACACTCCTGCATACTCGGGTGTCTCCGACGGTACGATGGTCTGCGGCTGGGGATCCTCCTCCAAAGCAACAAAGGCTGGGGCGACAAATCGTTTGTGACCACCGCCGCCACCGCCACCATTTCTGGTCGTCGTCATTGTCGTTGTGGTCGAGGTCGTGGTGGAGAGCGCCGTGGTGGTCGTCTTTGTGAACTTGGTCGTGGTCGTGGTTGTGATCTGCTTGGTCGTCGTGTGCGTGACGCTATTGATCAGATCGACGGACGTGTAGGTCGACCAGATGGCGACGCTGGGCTGGAACGACTCTGTCCTGCTGCTTATCTCAGTCTCTGAGATCGTGTGCGTGTGCGTTTTCGTTACGACAGAAGACGGTGTGACGTAGTCGGTCCTAAATACTGTATTAGACCTGTCCTCACGAAACATAGCTCTCAGCATGCGCAGAGTCCCTTAAATTCTTCCAAATAAGATAGACCTACAGAGTAGGTAGGATGACTGTAGTCAAGAGGAACGAGCTACACTCCTCCATACCGTTGGGCTGCAGCTCGATGGCTGGTGAGGCAAGAGTCAGTCATATATAGTCGTTCATACGATACAGGTTGTGAATCTTGGACTCCTCTTCATTTCATGACCATCACTGCTTACCCTGCTTGCAGAGGTTCGGGCGACATACGGATGCCGAGACGAGCCGCTGGGCCAACCCAGCAACGGCCAGGATAGAGGCGAAGCTGCGCATGATACTGGAAGGGAGAGATGACTGGGGACAGGCCGGAAATAGACCAAAAGGTTGCTGTAAAGCAGTGTGAATAAAATACACCATAGAAGAAAAACTAAACGAGCCGGTCAGTAAAAACGGGTGTAGGTCCTCGTTTTACCCTGTGAGGTCGTGTGTGAGTTCAACAGAGGCCACGGGCAACTAGATGCTTGCCGCAGATGCCCTCCCTTCGTGCTTAAGAGGGAAAACGAAGAAATCCGGAGAACATGCGGCGCAACCCGCCGGACAGGCGCTTGGCCAACGGTCATGGCATCTTATAGTTGGACGACCCTATCCACAATAGCATCACGAAGTGCCTTGATGTCCACGTCGCCGCGGTTCGTCGCCATCCCTGCTCCTGCTCGAAAATAACGTGGCTCGCGTGGGCAAATATTGGTGTGGATTGGACCTGTCCGCCTCTTGTCAAGACCAGCCAGATCGAATTCGGAGGATGCTCCGGCAAGCCTGAACATCACTCCGTCCAGTGGAGTATGTTTGCGCTTGCCATCGAGTGGAGATGCGGTCCATGTGAGAGTGAAATGGGCTCACAAAACATTTTCGCAGGCAATCGGCTGGCATCGAATACTATTTAGAAGTGTTGGAAGGTCTGGCCCCATTCCAGAAGGATTGCCTAGTTTTCAATAGGACGAATTGCAATTTCCATACACATCATACCAAAACCAGTCATAACTTATTGGCTGAGACGTCTTCTGGTTGGCTAGCATTACCTACAACTGCCGCATGTAGTCTGACATGGCGGGACCACCCTGCTGATGAACAAAAGAGACCTCGACAGGGGAAGCTGGGCAAAGGAGCGATACCCTATCCTAGGGCCGATGAAGTTCAAGATGGTAAAAACAAGGGGGATGGAAAATTGAAGCGAAGAAGCTCGAGATGGTACTTTCGAGAGAGGTGAGGGTGATGAAAAGTGCAAAACCGAGAAAAGAACGGCAACGTCGCCGGCGCCGAAATGGACCGTCTTGAAGAAGCATCCCAGATCAAAAACAGGGCCAAACACACATCTTTGGACGGCCGTGTGTCCAAATCGACTAGCAGGGTAGCAATCATCGTGTGTGCATCTTAGCAGCAGCTCCAGAGCTATGATGCTTTAACAAGACGACGCCAAGAATATTGGCTTGCTATTTTAATGCAATTTGTTGGCTGCAGAGGCCAGTGCCCTTTTTCAGGTCTTTTTTTTTCCCGCTAATTGAGTTGGCTAAAGTGCCAGCAAAAGAAAGCAATATATGACCACATTGGGATCACAGGCCGCGTGAATAGTCATCGGAAATTCACGAGGCTAGAAGGAGTATGGAGGAGTGCAAAGGCATACAAAGCGTGGATACAAAGACCCTTGCTAACGCGCAAATGGATCATGACAATTATCGGCCAGTCACACTTACACGCAAATTAAATAACAGCCAAAACCTGACGCAATGGTCACTCGACCGACAAAATATAAAGAAGAAGGGACTGTGTAAGACACGCTGACGTTTCTCGCTGATATTTCGGTTCGTAATACGCAAAGCGACTGAAGCCTAATAATATAGAATAAAGGCACAAGCGTTCAACAAATCATCCTGACTGGTTCCGTGGTGCAGTTGGTTAGCGCATCGTACTAATATCCTCTCTTCTGAGAATACCATGCGAAAGTCGAGGGTTCGAGCCCCTCCGGGACCATTTCAAACAAATTAATAATTTGCTTGGTCTTCTCCAGTCATCTTTTTGCATTCTGTAACGAAGTTTCTTTTTCGTATTCCGTTCGTTTTCATCATCTTTTTTTGACAAAACCCCAACATACCATCCCCTATGTGTTTATTTGACCATTCTTTTATAATCTATGGCAGTTTTTATCTACATAAAGAATGTAGCACCTGTCGACATTCGTATTTTTCTGAATCGATAGTCGCGTTTAAACAGGATTTAATCAAATCGTCTTCCATCTCTTTCTCTTATTAATTATCAAATTGTTAAATTCTTTTCTTCGGCAATACTAGCAGGCGCAGTGTGCCCTACTTGCCTGAAAATTGTACCTTCACGGATGTCCATCATGTTTTTGATAACCATATAACAAATAATTCTTGTTGAGTATTGCTACACTATTGAATTCCTTGCTTCCAGTCATCACTTGGCTTGACTATATTTGTAGGTTCCGCCTATTTTTCAAGGGAGAAATGGGAGAACGAAGATGAAGACATATCCAAGCAAACCACAAAACGACCCTTTGAGAGAGGATGTGACCACGTATTCCATCTAACCCATCCTCGTCTCTACCCACAAAAGTTTTAAGTTTTATTGAAAATCTAGAAGATCACACGTGGTAGCGCAATATAATTTGACATTTCAATGTTACATTAATTGTCTAGTAATCAGTCATAAACAGTTTACTGAACAATTTTGTCAATAGACGTGGGAGAGTACACTTCTGTATACTTGATCAAACATCGTTTTATTGGCGTCCCCCCATGTCCACTCAAACTCATTTACTTCAGTAGAATTAAATAAAGATGTATACATAGTGTTAAAGATTCCATTGCGCTTCAGCGGTACATTGACCCCCTCCCCCCATCTATATCAAGAGATGGTATGTCGACTATTTTCACAGAAACCCATTCCGTGCGAGCTGGGGGAAAGAGTGTGTTCTAGTTTATGGTGATTTATCCCCTGCAGCCTCTAAATACTCTTACATGGATTTAAAACACCATCTGGTGAGCTACGTAAATTAGCCACCTATTTATTTGAATTGCCTCTCTACAGCGCCGCCAAAGCCTTTGTCATGGAGAGAACTGCTGGCGAGTATTTGCTTTCATAAATTATATGAATATGCCCAGATACCATTATTTTTTTGACATGTTTTGGAACTGCTGACAGTCCGCGTTATGTGCTATTATCTATCGTGATACACCAAATTTCAACAAGGGCTCTGACTATGAGACAGGTAAGAACAGAATGAACTTTTCTCGTGGTTATCATACCAGGTATCTACGCACGGTGGTCGTTCCAATTTGTGCTGGGATATTGTTTCGGTTACGTAGATAAGTACCTCGGGTGATGGCACTCATGTCGTACTGGCGAGTACAGGCCCAGGGCATATGTAAAACTCGACATCTTTGATCACGTTTGATTTCATGGTCACATCTCTACCTCTCTGTTTTTTTCTTTGTAACTCTTTGATCAATGTTGTCAGCTGACTGTTGAGAACAGTCAGCTTTGCTAATTTTCATATCCTGACCAGCTGTGGCTCAAGAACAATTAATGAATAAGTAAATAAATAAATATCTCTAAACTGGAAAATAACCAATGTATAGAAAATAATGTTCACAGTCAGACTGTAAGTAAAATGATCATAGTAAAATAGGGAACCTACAAAGACACAGCATCACCAAAACGTCCTGACCATGTGCCGAGATACTACCATAAGATATTCACCTCTTTAAAGCTTCGACACTAAAAAAGACATAATCCAACCACTCTGTTTTGTTCGTTTATCCTATTTTGTGATGCCCAAGCAATAGACAATGAGTTATCTGCTGCCTCGACGCCGTGCCGTTCGCAAAGGCAGGAATTATGCATATGATCTGCTTTAGTACTTTGGACTGCATAGAGCATCCAGTCCAGTCGTTTCTTGTCCTGTTTGCACACTGTCTCTATGTAGGTAACTGAGAATGAAGCCAATGCAGGACAACCGGGCGCTTCATTGTTTCGATAGGTACAACAACAAAACGTCGGCTTCCCGAAAGAGGTCCCTTGTCTAAGCCCTTTACGACGACCATTGTGGCACCGAAATATGCGACAGTCTTCTTGCGGAAGTGGAGAGGTTTCATGTCTTGCAGGGTTGATAACCGTATCCATGATAGAAATAGAAATCATGTTTCCTTCTTTGCATTCTCTCCAGTGCCTTGCGAATTTTTAGATGTAAAAGTCATGCGCCGTAAACGGACAGCCATTCTCCACGTTGCTTTATTGTTTGTGTCCACGCAGCTCGAACATGATATAGTGTACGACATGCATCGTCCGACATACACAATCCAAGACTGTGCTTAACAGCCATACAAGCACTCTCTTCTCACGCGTTTCTGCCCCTCGTACGCTTTGAGGAGCCCCGGTCAAAGTTTTCACCTCCCTGGTGTGCTCCATAGTTGTACATGAACCCAGGTCTCAGGAATGATCAGGGTGACGCTGTGCGTGGGACAGTTTCGTCCTGGGTTCTGGTCCGAGCTCTGGTTTGACCTCTCTTGTCGGAGGAGGAGGGACGTCTCAGGAAACAGAAGACGACTAAGGCACTGAGGCCGAGAACATGTGACCGATCATGCTTTCCCTTCCTCCCTTCTTATTCTGTGGTATTCTCTCCTGTTCTTCAAGAAACTGGGCATGTAGCACCACTTTTTCATCTACTTTTTGTGGCCTTGTTATTTGATCGACGGCCGTTGCTCACACGCGGTCAATTGAGCGGTGAAGGACAAGCTAGAAGCTTGGAACAAGGGAGGGGTGGGCGAGACGCGGCGCTGATTGGCGCCCGGCGTCATTAGCCTGGACGCAAAAAAGAAACGACAAGTGCGACCATGCCCAAGTGTCTGGCCAATGGTACGCACGCACTTAACTTTGAGATGCCTCGATGCCTAAGGCTGCATGGCATTGGGCGGAACGAAAGACGTCACACAGGAGGAAGACAATCCCGGAACTGCAGGACGACGCAAAAGAAACATGACCAAATGGGCGAGAACGAAGGTAGAAGTGGTGCGGATGTCCCGTCCTGCCGTTGATTCGTATTTTGTCTCCTAGAAGACAGACACTTTCAAGATAAAATTATCCAAGCAAGCGAGCTAAAATCGTCATAAAAATGACACTATGAAAGCTCCAGCTGGCAACACAGGTTGCATGCTACCGCGAGCCCTGCCCCGTCGGTTTTGCCCACTTGTTGCCCACTCGAGTCAAAAGGGGTTGGTGGCCGTTCCAGAACTCGATCCTTCGTTTCTTCAGCCTGTCCACTTTTGCTGTTGCTTGTCCCTGCCTCTTTTTCCATCATTGTGCGGTCGTTTTGTCCCTTTCATGTGGACTTTTGGCACTTTGCGCTTTTGCCGTCTGCTGCCAGCCACTCACGACCCTAGCATGGTCTGCGTGATGGAGCTTCATGCACGTCGTGCAGTAGGAGCATGGCCAGGTCCGGATGTAAAGACCAAAAAGTTTTCTGCACAAAATCATGGACACAACTGACAGAGCCGCCCATCTCGGCGCAGGTGCAGAGCTGTGGACAGGAGAAGCTTGCATGAAACGGTGAAGAGGGCCAGGGGGAATGGGACAAAAACGCTACCCCTCTTCGTTCACTCCCGTCTCGAGGGCGACGCACGTCGCGTCGACGTCGACGCATCACGGCGTCATGGAGGGGTACGATTGTGATGGTACGCGAGAGTGAATGGGGATGAAAATGAGCACGGGAAAACTCTCAGGTGTCAACCACCGGTTGTTGCCGTGCGCGGATAACGGGGCGCGAATCGCGGCTCTTGCCAGACAGCGGACCACTGTGATGTCTCTTGCCCGATTTGAACGAAGCTCTGTCCTTGCCCGTTCCTGCCTCGAGAATACCCCCTCAAAGGCTCGGCGACCAGTCCGTTTTCCTCTCGTCATCTGTCATCTCACGATCCTCAAGCTGTCTGCGGGCCTTTGTCTGTGGTGCCCCTGTTCGTTTTTTTTTTTTTTTTTTTTTTTTTTTTTTTTTTGGNGTGTGGATATTCTGTCCCCAGGCCAGCCTAGCGTTTTCTCGTCTGCTGCGCACTCGGCGCCATCTCGAACAATTGTGGGCTAGGCGCACCGTCTAAGTTTTTGGCCGCCTGCTTAGGCGGTAACACACGTAATTACAGTGTGAATACGGGAGCTACGAAAACGGCAGGTGACAATTCCAAGCAGCCAACCAACCTGCGAACCCAACGTAGTTGATAGAGATACGCAATAAATTTCATACGTCTGAAGATGGTGAGTGAGCAGCCAACAAGCAAAACGGAAAACATTAATATTCAAAATCCCACCGTGGCGGGAAATGATGCCCATCGAAGGCGGCATGTATTGGCCACTATGATTGGCGCAAAAGGCTCCCAAGTTAGCCAAAACGGACGCTTTTGGCGGCAGTCGATCACGGCGGGAATTGAAAACTGCGCTACGAGTTGCACATGTGCGACTTTTGCGGTGCTCCGTATTTTCCTGCTGCCCAGATGGTCGCCGTACGCGATGTGACTGGCTGTTGCCCAGATAACTATGTGGAACAGTGCAGAAGGGGCAGGCAAAGAGGCCCGCGCCGAGTCTACGAAGAAGGTAGGAAAGGACGAGAAGTTAAAAACAAGTAACGAGACAGAACACGAGCAGGAACTCGGTTCAAGGCAGGTGCAACCATCGTGTCTCTCGATGCGCCTGCTTCCGAGTCCACTCTCTAACTGGGGCTGCGTACCTTTCCCACCTGAACAGGCTTGAGCCGTACTTTGTGTGTGCAACCCAATTACATGCCCTCTGTTCAATATTTCGTGGAATCGCGGGCCACCTTTGCAGTAGCCCACTCGTTCGGGAGTTGCTTTTCGGGTTGTCTTTTTTCTTGATTTGTGCAGGCCATTTTGCATCGAGGGTTTTATTTTTGTTTTCTGTACTTTTCGTTTCCTGCCTCCTATCGGCCGGAATCTCAAAAAAAAAAAGAGAAAAAAAGGAAAAAAGAAAAAAAAAAAAAAAGAAAACGCAGTTTATCCTCGGTCATCGGCGTTTCCCTTTCTCTTCAATAGTTATCATTATTTCCCCAGTCCCTTTTCGTCCTCTCTACGCTCTTTGTTTCCTCCTCCTTGCATCGTGTCGTGTTCAGTTTCCGATATTCTGGTCTCACAGCGCCAGCCTCCTGCCGGTTTCCGTTGCGGGTGCCAGAGGGAAATTAGCAGCAATGATGGAATATCTGTCGCGGCCGCTAAAGCCGCACTTTGCCCCAAGCCCAAGCCCTCTCGCTCGGCTCTTCTCGCTTTGCCTAGTCTGCACCATGCTAGCACACTGGCACGGCTTACGGTGCGCCTGAGCCGCCAAGGCCCCCCGGTCAAACTAAAACCGCTCCTTGAGAAACAGCATCTCACCATTTCAACGAGAGCGCGAAGCTTGCGAGACAGAGCTAAAAGATAAGAGAATGCAGAGAGCATCTCAGTAAGGCAACAAAATGCTGAAAGGCAACACATGGAAAATCCATGTCTACCGTTGCGACGTGCGCCGTACGCCATATTCGACGGAGCGGATGGCGAACAAAGAAAAATACTTTTCCACTTGAGCAGCATCATCCGCTGTCGGCACTGGTCTGGCAGATCATTCGAAGCAAGAAACAGGCGATGGAAGGGCAAGAACCCGTCTGAAACCGCCAAAGAAGGCCCATTTATCATCCCTTAGACACAGCTGTCGCGTCTGTTCCATGCCGTATTCGTATGGATTAATCATTGCACTGTTCTAGACTCTAGATGCACAATTGCCACTGGCTACTGCAGTGTCGTACTGCTCACGTACGAAATACTTTGTTGCTCAATCTTCAATTCTCATTAACTGGCCATGGCTTTCCGTAAGAGTCAGGGATGCTGACCAGGCTCCAGCACTACATACAGTACATATCAGTGTATGCACACAGTGCGTTGCAGAACAGCGTGAGCATTACGCTCCCTGGCTCCGCCAGCCCGCCCACATACATAAACAAAATTTGCACAGTTTGCAACGGCACTTTCCGTACTGTGGAACTTATCTCGCTTTCTCACTCGCCCATTCACGGCCGCCGTTCCTTCCTCGCCCGTTTTTGCACTTTCGCTTGGAAACGCTGCCCAACCGGACATCTCATTTCACTGCGTGTGGGCTCCATTTTTGTCGGTCGCTCCTGCCCTCTTCCACCTTATGCAAGCATCCCCCCTTCTTTCCCTATCAAATCGCCCCTCTCACGCACCATCTCTCCTCCGAGCCAGCCAAGGACGTTCCTGCCACCACTTTGTTCGACGTTTCCTTGCTCCGTTCTTGCATTTTCCCCTGGCCGACGCTGTTTCGCCCTCCTCTCCTCGTCTCCTTGTTTGTTGCGATCTCTCTGCCTCCCCTTCGCATCCGACACGCAACGACCACGTCCGCATCGCCAGCACGCCATCTAGCGTCTCTCTCCGCCCTCTCCTCATTCTCATTCTCACGCCTCTCTCGACGCTTCCGACCAACGCCTTCCTCCCTCTCAAGGCAACTACCTACCGGAGGTGCCTGCAGCAGCCAGCAGCCCTCACGAAAACGCTTCACGGTCTGCACAACCTCCCCCCAACACGCAGCTTCATTTTTGACGCTGCGTGTTATCGACCGACCAACCTTCGCCCTGTTGTCACCTCCGCCTCGCTCCCCCCCTCACCTTCAGGCTACAAACCCCCCCCGTCACGATCGCGTGTAGCCTTTGCGGTTGGCCATGTCCAGCAAAGCGATCAGCGCTCAGGCGCTTGGGGGGGAAGCCGACACCATCGCCGTCGCGAACTCCCTCCAACCGCTTGATGCCAACGTCCTTGCCTCCTCGACTGCGGCTGCCGCTCCGGCCTCCACTGCGACGACGATGATGCCGACTACCACTCCTTCTCACGCCTCCGCCGGTAGTGAAAATGTCAAGCCCGACCCGCAAGCTCCCGCTCCGGCTTCCGACTCTTCTCTCCATCCTCCTCCTGCTCCCTCCACCGGTCCTGACGGCGCGACTACCGGCCTTCATTCGCCGCCCGACAGCAACAATGCGTCGAAACTCGACGGCAGCAGCTCAGACTCGGAACTCAGTGATCTTGACGATGATGCTCTGGCCGAGAACTTGAATGGCATCCAACCCGAGGACGTCGATGCTACCGTGACCTCCGTCACGACCCCGACAGCTGCTGCGGCTGATACTGTCTATGCCGCGTCCGCCGCTGCCTCCGAGACTGTCCCGACTGCCGCGACTGCCCCGGCTGCCCCGGGTCCGGGCTCTTCGACGACACCTGCGTCCGACGATAAACCCACCGCGACCGACGCGCCTGCCCCCGAGGAAGAGGACGATATCGGCGAGGTCGAACCCGACCACTACTCTGGAACCGTCCCCGTGTTTCGGCCGACCATGCACCAGTTCCGTGATTTCAAGAAATTTGTGCGCTCTCATCCCTCCCCACTGCTTTCTGGCTTATCTTCTCATACATGCTTGCCTTCCCTTATCTTGCCCTGCCCTTTCACATGCCCTACCACCCACTCCACTGGCCTCATATGTATCAGTGGCCTAGGGGCCCTGATACGTTTTGCCTTTACCCTTACTATCTCCCTTCTCTCTCCTATGACGTCGCCTATGATTGCTTTGGAATTCGATTGTGGATAAAGAGTCTAACCGTGCTGCGTCTTGCTTTGTGCTCCCCTCCTCCCTTTTGTATAGATGGGCAAAATCGATAAGTATGGCATGAAGTCAGGCATCGTCAAGATTATCCCGCCCCAAGAATGGAAGGATGCCCTCGAACCGCTCGACGACCTGGTCAAGCCCATCAAGGTCCGTGAACCGATCAAGCAGGATATCATGGGGTCCAACGGCACCTACCGTCAGGTCAATATCCTCCACCAAAGGACATACAACCTCCCCCAGTGGCGCCAGCTGTGCGACCAGAGCGAGCACCAGCCACCTGCCCGCCGTGGAGAACGCCGTGCCAACGCCGACAAGCCGAAACCTGCGCCTCGTGCTCGTCCAGCCGCTGCTGCGGCTCCCGCCGGAGCTGGTGCGTCGACAAAGAAGGGAGGCACCAAGAAGGGCCGTGGCGGACGCAGGGGTGGCGGTGGCGGTGGCCGTACGCAGCGCCATACTGCCGACGACGACAATGCCTCCACGGTATCTGAGCCGCGGCCTATGACGCCTGAGTCGCAGCGTGGTGATGACGAGAAGATGGTCTTGGACGACGACAAAACCTGTGTGGAGTCGCCCCAGGATGCTACCGGCAAGCACCAACACGACGACCGCGAGGATGCCGACAGCGCTGTTATGTCCTCTGTTGAAGTAGAGTATCCGATTAAGCAGGAAGAAGATGACGATATGACCGACATCCCCGCGGCCCCACGCCGGATGGGGTTTGTGCGTCAAGAAGCGACCAAGAAAACCCAGTCGACGTCGGCTCGCCGCAAATATAGCAAGCGCGAAGGTTCTGCGAAAATTGACGAAGCCGCCTTCAAGGACTGGGACTACCGCATGGACGTGTCTGACTACACCCCCGAGCGCTGCGAGGAACTGGAACGGAGCTACTGGAAGACGCTGACGTATGCGCCGCCACTGTACGGAGCCGATCTCCCAGGTACCCTCTTCAGTGAAAATACCGAACTCTGGAACCTCAACAAGCTGCCCAATCTGCTGGATGTTTTGGGTACCAAAGTCCCCGGTGTCAATACTGCGTACCTCTACCTGGGCATGTGGAAGGCCACGTTCGCTTGGCACCTGGAAGACGTCGACTTGTACAGCATCAACTACCTGCACTTTGGCGCCCCCAAGCAGTGGTATAGCATCTCTCAAGGCGACGCCCGTCGTTTTGAGGCTGCCATGAAGAACATCTGGCCTGCCGATGCCAAGGCCTGCGACCAATTCCTGCGTCACAAGGCCTTTTTGATCTCACCATCGCACCTCCAGCAGCACTACAACATACGGGTCAACAAGTGTGTGTCCTACCCGGGCGAGTTTGTCGTCACCTACCCCTACGGGTACCATTCTGGATACAACCTTGGATACAACTGCGCCGAGGCTGTCAATTTCGCCCTGGATTCTTGGCTCCCCATGGGCAAGATTGCCAAGAAGTGCGAGTGTGCCCAAGCACAGGACAGCGTGTGGGTCGATGTCTACGAAATCGAGCGCAAGCTGCGCGGCATCTCCACTGACGACGAGGATGACCTTTCCGACGAGGACGATGAAGAGTACGACTCGGAAGAGGAAGGCGATGGCGACGATGCCAATTCCGTCGCTGGTTTGCCGACCCCACCCTCTGGTGGCCGTGGCCGGCGTGTGAAGTTCCCAGGTTCCCAAAAGCAGAAGCGCATCGTGCGTCCTTCCGCCAAACGCCGCAGAGCGCTGGGCGATGCCGACATTGACGATGCCGACGACGATGAGGGCAACCGAAGGCTAAAGAAGATGCGGACCCGGCTTTGGTCCGGCGACAGTTCCCCTTGCTGCCTGTGCCCCAATGCCTTCCCTGACTCCGAGCTATTGCCTACCGACGACGGTCGTGACGCCCATCGTCTTTGTGCTAGCTATCTCCCCGAAATCCGCATCGAGACGATTGACGGCAAAGACGTTGTCAAGGGCGTTACGGATATCCAGATGCCTCGCATGGAGCTGCGCTGTCTGTACTGTCGCCTTCGCAAGGGTGTCTGCCTCAAATGCTCCCACGCCAAGTGTACGCGGTCGTACCATCCAACCTGTGCCGCGGCCGCTGGTGTATTTATCAACGAAGTTGACGCTTCTACGTCCGGCGACAGCGACACGGAGCATTCACATTCGCACCACTCGTATGAGTTTACTTGCCGGTTTCAGCGCACCAAGCGTAATCGGAAGTTGGACGCGCTGGCCCTCGAAAAGGTTGAGCACATTCGCAATGCAGCTGCCGCTCTTCAACCGGGCTCCATCTGCCAAATGCAGCTCTACCGCAGCGACATTTTTGCCGGCGTTGTTGTCGAAAATCGACCAGACGAGGAGTCACTGCTTCTTCGTATTGTTCCAAGCGGGTATGTTCATCTTTGGCATTTGATTTTTTTTTTTCATCTGACACACGCATTCTTTTTATTGTTTATGATTGTAACTGACCATGTCCCCTCCCTGTGCAGTGAGGAAGTCGAGGTGAGCTGGAAATGGCTTCTGGTGCCTGATGCGGTCGATTATCGTAGACTGCTCCAGTCGGCCACACACCGCGACGCCACGTCACGTAAGGAATCCGAGCGAAGTGCGTCGCTACCTATCATGGGAGACTTGTTTGTCGAAGGGTACATGTGGAAACAGTTCCAAGATTGTGAAGGAACGGCGTTTGTGCCCGCCCCCGAGCAAGTGAAGGTCGACCTCGACAAGCCCAACCAGCTGTGGCACTACCTTGGCAAGCCGTCCACCGAATCCAAGGACCAGTACACTGGTGACCCTGCGAATCCCGTGAACGACCGCAAAAGTCACTTCCTCGACTCCTTGCCACCAGTTTACAACTCAGTCATCCCTACTCCCGCCGTACCGCAGGCTCCCTTTGTTTTCACGGTGCCGGCTGCGCCTTCATCGATACCGAACACCCACATTCAACCAGCACCGGGCCAAACTGCTGGCCAGTCTGGCATTCAACCCTCGGTAGGAGAACCTCGTCGGTCATACAGTGTCATTAAGCCGCCCTACGTCCCGCACACCTCACCGGTCGTCTTGGCATCTCCGGCGCCTCCATCTGCATCCCCTTCTTCTGCCGCGGCGACTGCCATCTCTACTTGTTCCGCCTCCTCCACTACACCGGCAACCGTGGCAGCAGCACCTGCTTCTATATCTGCTCCTACTACAGTAACACCTGTTCCTGCGACACCCTCGTCTGCGGCTCCCATAGCTGTAGCTTCAGCTTCCGTCCCTCCCAAACTCGCGTCCACGTCGGCACCCGCTCCCACTGCCATTTCCGCCCCTACCTCGGCCTCGGTGTCGCCCCTTACTCCCCTTGACGGAGGTGCGAATAAGATCCGCAAAACCTCTGACGGCTTTGTTCATCCTCAACAGCCAGCGTCTAGAACACACCAGCCCGGCCACCGGAACCGTCATCGCTCCGCCTCGGCGAGCCAGAAAGTGCCGTTTGGACCCTTCTTCTCTATGCCTAAGCTGGGTGGCGCTAGCAGCAAGTTTCCTCAGATTCATCATCCGAACTTGTCTCATGGATATGCAACTGTTTCCACAGGCAAACCACAGACGGCCGGTGGTGCAATGTCCCCCCCTTCTGGTAGCACGGCCACCGGAGGCGAGAAGAGTACTGATTCCAGCAACAGCAGCAGTCGGCGGAACAGTGTCATTCACGGCCCAAACAGGGTTAGGAAGAGTAGTTCAGGTGCAGCCTCTCTTGCGGCAGCTGCTGCAAAGCTTCACAAGCGCAGTGCCAGTAGCATGAGTAGTGTCAGCAGCTTTGGCCTTGGTTTGGGTGGGGGGCTGCGAGGATTGAGCCGCCCGTCACCACATACGAATTATGTCGGCCCGCCGCCAGTGCCCTCGTCGACGGCTTCATCCCCGCTCTTGTCGGCACACAACCTGAGCTACAACACCCGCCCCGGCTCCGTATCCTCCTACGCCTCGTATGAGTCGATAATGGGCCCCGGAATGTCACCTCACTCGCCCAACGGCATGGATGCGAGCCCATTTATTGGTAGTCCCGGTCCACAGATAGGCTCTTTCGATTTCCCCACTCCCTCGGGCTCTACAAACGGCTACCAGCACCCCGGCCTGCGGCCCCAGTTTGGCGCCGCGTGGCAGCAGAGCTTCCACGCGCCTCTGGGCTCGTTTGCACAAGACATGGATATCAACTTCTCGCCGCCATCGCCCATGTCTACTTCCCTGGGTCTACCAGCAGGCGGTCTCGGCGCCCCAGCCAACATTGTCTCTAACCATCAATCGTCTTACTCCTTTGGTGGTCCAGGCAACCTCGGCCCCGACTCGATGCTCCTCGGCGGCAGCGGCGGCGATTTTGGTGGCTTTGGTACGATAAGTCCTCCTTTGGTGCCGGAATCGCCCATGGCTATGATGAGCCCGGCACTGGAGGATGTCACACCCCCAGATGCGGGCACCTCCCAGTCACCGGCCGAGCAGCTGAAGCAACAGCTACGGAGCATCTCGGATTCGTCCCTACCGTCGTCTTACCGGCTGCGTTGCCTTCACCAACCCCGACGCCGCCACCAAAGCCGCAGTAGCTTGAATCGTATCTTTACGAGTCAGCTGTTGGACCTGAGTTCGAACCCGACATGACCGGCCGCATTTGCAACATTGAGCTCAATCAGTTCTAGGGGACCTACAATCGGCTTCATCCGAAAAGTCGTCCGAACGATTTAAGTGACGCGCCCTGGGAACAATTTACAAATATCGCTTCAAGCATCCCTCGATTTCAGATCTCAACACCGCTTTTCTGGCGACAGCATGTTCTCCGATTTTTGGCACGCATTGGATGAGTCTAAGCTGCTGTGGCAGATGTTGTACTTTTCTATTTGTTGCGTGGAGCAGCATTGGAGAGAGGGAGCCAAGAAAACCTCACATAACTACGCGCTATTTCTTGGAACACACTCGATAGCTGACGACACTTGATTTGCGTCAATATTTACTTCTTCGCCCCGGTGGCTACGATTTTATGCCGACGCCGTATATGAGACAAGCACGAAAGAAAACGTGACTGGTGTTGAACTGTTTGTTGGCGCAATGATTTGGAGCCCATTGTCTTGGTGTCACTTGGCTTTTGCCTCCTTTTTGGAATGCCACGGCGTTATCGATTATTTTTGTTTCGTCATTTCGCTATTATGCATTCATTTATCTCGCCCTACTCCAAGCGGCAATTGTGGTGCATCGTTTTGTCCCATTTCATTCTCACAATGCTTTGGAGTGCGCACTGCACCATTGGTACCGATTAAAGAGCAGTCTGTTTTGTTCATTTCTACGCACATCGAGCAAGAAGGCTCTCACCATAACGACTCGACAAAACGACAAGGTGGAAAACCCCGAAACAAGAATACGAATGACTTGGGACTGCGCCTCAAAACTTTATCGACATGGCAGAGGCCACTGAGAACCGCGCAACATGCCCGGCCTTCTTATATTTTCGTTTTTCACTTTTTCTGTTCGGCATCGCTTTTATGCATTCGTTTTTCATCATGCCCCAACCAACAACCACACAGCCGCTTCCTTCAACATAAGGCGGTACTAGATAGATGTTAGGATAGATAAAAATAAGGAACGACCAGCCACGTTGAAAGAGGAGGACATATATCAGCTCTCTCAAGACATGAGCGAGGCTGCGGGACTGGCCCGGAAGAAAGAAACAGGGAAAAGGCGGGAATCAACCCTCAGGGGGAAACACAGGCCCCGATCACGCTGGTTGAACGGGAAACAAACTAGGCTTTAAAAGGCAGTTTACAAAGGTACCAGAAAATAAAAAAACCAAAGCAAATAAAACAAAACAATTCTAAGCAATTTATTGTCGGGAGAAAGTGTGTAGATGAGTGATTATGGAGGCTAATAAGGAACGAGTCGAACTGTGCCATGAAATACTTTACATGTAGTCAATTGGGTTGATACTTGACGTTATTATCTCATATGCCCAGGTCCTCTCTTGTTTTGTAAGATGAAGCCTTTTGTAAGACGAAGCCGTCGCAAAAATAATAACATTAAACACATAAGAAATCCACTGTATCAATAGAGACCTGTTACCGTGATTTCCAATTTTCAAAAGATTTTTCCTAACGCAAGTCTCAGCCTCATTATCATCATTTCGTCGTCGTCGACAGGCCCAGCAGCCCGCTGGCGTGCACGACCGCTCTAGGAAGTGTAGCCGTGAGCCACTAGCCAGTTCTTCAGCTCCTCCGAGTCGCGTGTGCGGTAGGCTGCACGGCCGCGAATTGTGTCCTTGACCGTCTCCAGGGTGCGATCAAATGCTTTGGTGTTCTTGTCGGCAAAGAACGTGTCAATCTCCTGCAGCGAGGATGTATCAGAGAACTGCGACAGCGCCACCTTGACAAAGCGGTCCAGCAGGATTGGATTGCCTGCCAGCTTGCGCTCCACGGTTCCGGCCCACTCCTTCTGAATGTACTTCCACAGCAAGGGGCGAGCATGAGTGCGGGCGGCCATGCCGTTGGCCAGGATGTGTACATCAGCGCCGACGACCGTATCGGCACCGTCGCCAAACAGGAATGGCAAAAGCTTGTCCTGGACCACCTTTTCGTTGTCCGAAGCGCCTAGGGCCAGCAAAGCCACCTCCTTGCCGTCGGGTGCAACGGTTGTCTTCCACTCCTTGAGAAGGAGCGGGACGGCCTTTTCCGCGCTGTCAATTATGGCAGCCAGGAAGACAGGTGTGCGAAGGTCACCCTGAAGGGGGTTCTTCACGGGGTCGGCAATGTATGCTTGGAAGAGCTCAATAGCCTTCTTGTTGAGCCTGTAGTTGTGTTAGCTGGCTTGTCGTATTGTAATTGGCGTGCCTTAAACGACCCTCCCTCCTCTTCCAAAAAAAAAAAAAAAAAAAAAAAAAAAAAAAACTTACGACGGATGTTCGCTGCGAACGGCGGAGGTGAGGAGGCGCTTGCGAAGCTGTGCCTTTGTGAACTCTTCGTTCTCGGGGAAGTTGAGGCTGAACTCAGCCAGCGGCTTCTCAATGAGCTTAAGAGTAAATGCTTTCAAGCCCTTGTTGATCGTCTCATCGTCACCAAAAACGCTGCTTATGACACCAATGGCATCAAGTGCTTGGGACAGAACACGGACGTGCGACTCGTTGCCAAAACCCTCGAGGAACGAAAGCAGCGCGGGGGTTTTCGCGTAGCCAGCAAACGCAAGTTCGGCAGCAGAGCCGGCAATCAGAATCTTGTCAGACGCACTAAGTCGATCAAGTTGTGAGCCAAGCTTGGCCAGGCGCTCAGGAGGATAGTTGACACGGTAGAACCCGGTCGAGTCTGTGTTCAGCTTGTAGAAGTCTTTGCTGACATTGGCAATGACATCCTCCTTCTTTGTCAGGGCCAGAGACTCGACAGAGCCCTCAGCCGAGCCAACACGGCCAGTCAGACCCAGTGGAATCCACCATGTGGTTCCGTCATCTTCTGGCATCACGTCGCCCGTGGACAAGAAGCGGGACTGCTTGATGACCAGTTGACCGTCCGCTCCCTCGGTGACGGCGACAACTGGGAAGCCAATCTTCTCAATCCAAGAGCTCATAAGCTTGTTAACATCCTCTCCAGACGCTTCGCTTAGGGCATCCCAAAGCGCGGTGGTCTTGGCGTTGCCGTACTTGTGTTTCTTGAGGTAAGCGGACACGCCCTGCAAAAAAACATCGGTGCCCAGGTGGTTTGCCAACATGCGAATCACGGAGCAGCCCTTGAGGTAGCTAATGGCATCAAAGACCTGGTTGACGTCGAGCGCGTCACGTACGGGCACCTGGATTGGGTGCGAGGCGCGCAGCGAGTCGAGCTTGAGGGCCCGCTCCATGCCCTCGTTGACGAACTGGGCCCAGACGTCCCAGTCCGGATGCAGGGCCTCAGTGGCCAGCCAACCGGCCCAGGTGGCAAACCCTTCATTGAGCCACAGCTCGTCCCACCAGTCCATGGTCACAAGGTTACCAAACCACTGGTGGGCCAATTCGTGTGCCACGACATAAGCGATGCGGTTGCGGAAGCGGCCTTCGGAGAGCTGCTCATCAAAGAGGATGGCAGTCGTACGGTACGTCACCAGACCCCAGTTCTCCATGGCACCGTGTGTGAACTCGTGAGCTGCCAAAATGTCAGACTTGGGCAGCGGGTAGTCGATGCCGAAGCGCTCGCTGAAGAAGTCAATGTACTTGGGCGCGTGCTCCAGCGCCCAGCGGCCCTGCTCCTTGAGGCCGCGGGTGGTGTATACGCGCACAGGGATTTGTTTGCCGTCATAGCGGCGGTCCGTGAGCGCCTCAATGTATTCGAAGTCGCCGACAGCCCAGGCGAGCAGGTAGGTGCTCATGATCGGGGTGCGCTCGAACCGGACAATTTTCTTGCCAGCTGGGGTGGAAGCAGTAGCGGCAGACGTGCCCTCATCCTTGATGGGCATGTTGCTGAGTGCCACGAGATCGTCAGGGATCTCAATGGCAAAGTCAAAGGTGGCTTTGAGGTTGGGCTCGTCGAAGCACGGGAAGGCACGGCGAGCGTCGCACGACTCAAACTGCGTGCTGAGCATGTAGTGGAAGTCATTGTCGCGGGGCGTCGAGGCAGCAGCTTGCGGGGCATCGGCGGGCGGCGTGTACTGAGAGCGGTAGAACCCAGCCAGGTCGTGATTCAGTTTTCCAGTGAAGGCAATGTAGAGGCTGGCCTTGGCCGATGGCGGGAAGGCCTCGGCACCGGGCTGCACAAATGTGAGGGTGGCCCGCTGGGACTTGGCATTATAGGCAATCCCGACGGCCTTTTCAGAGCGCGTGCCCTTGGTTGCCTGGGCCTCAAGGGTGGCCGATGCGATGTCGAGCTCAAGGGTGTTGAGAACCACCTCGGAGGTCAGCTCGGTCAAAGCACCATCGATGGTGACGGTGCCCTTGAATGTCCATTCAGCAAAGTCAAGGTCGGTGATCGTCAGGTCATAGTGGCTAGGCTTGAAGTTGCCAGGTAGGATGTCGCGATCGGAAGCCATGTTGGTATGGGATGCCGAGGCGAACGACGAACAGCGGCGAATTGACGAGAAAGCAAGGAAAGAAACGTAAGAAGTGAGCTTGCTTGAAGACGAAGAACGCCGCCTTGCCGACGAAGTGAAGAGCTTAGTGAGATGGCGGTTCGGCTGGGCAGAAGACGCTGCTGTCTGAGGCGTGGGGGAGGAGGGCGAGTTTGATGCCGTGGGAAAAAAACAAGTAGGAGAGGAATGTGAGAAAAGACGATGGAAAGGAGACAAAGAAGCAGAGCTGGAGCTAAAATCAGAAGAAGAAATCTTAACAGGAAGGCAAGCCTGAGCAGGAGGTGGTGTGGTACGCGGCCGCTTTCTGTTTCTGTTGAAAACGGAAGTGACGAAAGACTCGGTCGAGCTTGCTGAGTAGCTCGTTGTTGAGTAGCTCCTGCCGCAAGCAATTGCTGCTGCTGCTTGAAGAAGGCGCGGCCCACTATTGGTTAGTCGCGGCTGCCGTGGCGATTGACTGTGGAACGGTTTCAGGCTCATTCTCAGGCTGTTGTCGCTAAGCTCAAGCAGCTGTGGGGAGCTTGCGAAGCCCAATGCTTTGACTCCGCTCTGAGCCGTTCCTGATCCGAGAGTGAGGGTTTCCCGGCCACAGTCGGTCGTGAACCCACGAGCCAAGTAGGCAAATCTCTCTGCCGCAGGTGAAGTGATGTGGCTATCGAGCAGTTGGTGGAGTTTGGGGTGACTGTGATGGTTGCAGTATGGGGCTAGTTGATGTGACCCGAACAAGACTCTGTTGGAGGCAGGAACGGCTGGCCGCGTGCCACCGAATACCCTATGGCTGTTGTTTCTGACCGTCGTCCATGGCTCTTTCCCTAGTTGATGGTGGTGGTGATTGTGCACTTGTTTGCGCCTTCCTCTTATTCCCCTCTCCAGTCCGCGCCGAAACGGTGCTGTTGCTCTCGCCAGCAAGCGGCACTCTACGGCCATGGCAGGCTCCTTTTGTCGCTTGGCTGCGGGTCTTGAATTAGTCTCTTACCCTCCTTCTTTCTTTGCCCTTCTCTCCGGCGATGCTTTGAGGCGCGGTGTCCGAATGTGGTAGCTGCCGTGGATTGGTGGCACCAACGTCGGAAGTTTTCAGTGGCTCCTTCCTTTTCTGGGGAAGCAAAATGCAGCTGCGAATGGAAAACGGCGCGGGAAACGAAATGTTCCAAAGGAACAGCAAGAAAGAAAAAACGTGTCCATGAGAGTCCATGGAGCACACGGAGCGCATTAAGAATCTCACTGACCAAATCGAGTAAGGGCTGTGGAGCAATTGCCGTCCATCTCCTTCTGAGAAAGGCAGTTGCTGACCACTAGGGTGTTTTTCTACTGGGTAAGGGCGGCCCTATTGCGGTTCCTCTTGTCATGTAACATACGACATACTCGGTACTTTTCTTGCGACCTTATTGCTTGGATCTGCACTAACAATGTCGATGAACCAGCGGTGTCGAAGTACGGATTACCAAACCTTTCCAGAATGTGAAGATCAGTAGTAAGTATCGACGTGCTGCGCTACCCATTTTATGTCGACTGTCCCACCTCGTCGGCCCAGCGCAGCATGGCATCCGCCATGACGCCGCCCTCAATGCCTGTGGCCAGATCGACGACACCCTGAACGTGTACCTCGTGGGGGCATACGACAACCTGGACAGCCGGCTCGCCCGCCGTGGGCGCGTCCCCAGCACCCATCATCTCGGCCGTGTGGACAATGTCGTCTCGGTAAATCTCGTCGCCGCCCGCCGTCAGCAGCACGCGGTCTGCGCGCAGACCCTGCCAGAACGCCCGGTCGCCTTCGTCGGGTGCTGCCCAGACTTCGCCCGACACGGGTTTCCACGCCTCGGCAGTGCGCACCATGCTGGCTCTGCTCAGCATATCTTTGCCCTCGTTCTCGATGTGGCTGGGCCGTGTGGGCTCGTTGCGTGTGCGCGGCGACACGACCAGTGCACCACGGAGTCGCTGGGACGTGTCGCCTGACTGTCCAGGTGGCTGTCCAGGCAATGCGCGGATGCGAGGGTGCGGCTGTTGCATGTGAGCGAGAAGAGCGAGCAGCAGGTTGCCGCCGGCAGACTCACCCGCAATGGCAATGTCGTGGAAGGCAATGCCGTCGACGGTCACGAGGTGCCGCAGTGCTGCGGCGGCCTGGGCAAGCTGGGCTGGGTAGGCCCTGGCCGGGGCCAGGCTGTACTCGAGGACGGCGAGCTGGCTGACGCCAGCGCGAACGGCAAGAGTATGGCCGGCCGCCGGGTTCGGGAGGGGTGTAATGTAAGCGCCGCCATGGAAGTAGAGGAGGGTGGAGGGGTCGCCGCCGTTGCGGACCGCATCGTCTTCGACAGTGACGATGTGGAGGGTGGCGGGGCCGTGGCCATCGGTGTCGGAGTCGGTCAGCAGCACGGACCGCAGTTGCAGCTGCTTGGCCTTGGCGTAGGCACGAACGGCGTCACCGGTGGTGCGGCGCTGTAGATATTGTATCTCGCGCAGGCTCGGAATGGTCATGAGCGAGCCGAGGGAGGTGAAAATGTTGCGCTTAAGCGCGGTGCCATCGAGGCGGCCATTCGACCAGGACGTCAAAGTATGGCGCAGGTACTGGTAGAAGAATGTGCCCACAGCCACAGGGAGTGATACTCCGTAGAGGTGCAGCAGCTCGCCCCTCGAGAGCGTTGGTGGTGTATGGCTGGCCATGTGTCATATGTGAGAGTCAGCGTCGGAAGACGAATTGAAAACGAGTTGGAACCCCGTTGCTGACGGACGTAATCGGCCCTGAAGACAAAAAGGGTTGTTGCGACAATAAGAATCACAAGGTCTTGTCAACACTGCTATTGGTAGCTGTAGCTAGTGGATTAAGGTGGAGACGCTCATGCCTCCACGACATACGTTGTGCACCGCACGGGACTAGGCAGCTATTTTATAGCCATTGCTTTACCCCGGCCGGTGACTTTCCGCCCGAGGCTCTTTTTCGGAGAATAAACAGACGTTGCTGCGGAAAAACCATCCATTGCTTATTGATGCAGATCAACTTGAAACTATGACATCTCGAACACAATACAAGGGAATAAAAATCGCAGAAAGTAAAAAAAAAAAAAAAAGAAAAAAAAAAAAAAAAAAAAAAAAGAAAAGAAAAGGACAAAAGAAAAGAACAAAAGGCTAATCAGGGCACGAGAACATGACCCAAATGAGCTTAAACCAGCTCCGCCTGTTACGAACCAGGCTTTCATCTAATTCATCTATTTGGATGCCTTCTTGGCGGCTGCCTTTTCAAAGCGCTGGTACCGCTCCTCGCGCCACTTGGGTCCCCAGCGGCGCACAATCAGAACAACGGGACTAACGGCCAGCACGAGCAGGCCCATGAACAGGTAGGTGTAGCCGTAGCCCCAGGCGTCGATTATGTATTGCACGATGGCAGTGCCGATGGCGCTGAGAGCAGCACGCGTCAGGTTGAACGTCGACGAGACACGGCCAGGGTTCATTGGGTAGAGGTCGACGAGCAGCGTCGTCAGAATCGAGATGGGCCCGCTAAGGCCAGCGCCACTGAAGAAGAGGACGATGAGTGGGCCGGCAAGGCTGACGCCTTCGGCGGCGACAACCCAGCCCCAGGCAATGATCATGGCGACGGCCAACAGGGTCCAGGGCCACATGAGGTCGAGGCGGGCGCGCTCAATGGGGAAGCGGCGCATGTCGTCGCCCCGTTTGCGGTCGGGCGAGACGCCGATGCTGCGCGCGACGCGGGCGTAGTTCCAGTTGAGCAGGCGGCCAACGGCGACGGCGCCGACGACGGACCCGACGGCAAAGGGAATGTAGCAGAGGCCGACCTGCAGATCGTTGAAGTTGTAGTGGCGACGGATGACGTCTTGGAGAGGCACAAGCATGGCGTAGTTGGCCATGACGAAGAGTGACATGAAGAACATGAGCAGGCCGACATCTTTTTCAAACATGATGCGCACGGCAGCAACGATGTTGGGCACGGGGATGCGAGAGCCGCCCGACGAGCGGCGCAGCTTGGCAAGAGCGGCCTCCTGCTCGCGGCGGTGCGCGTCGGCGGCTTCGGGGTCTTCCTGCTGCAGGCGACGCAGGTGGCGCACCGTCGTGAGGGACATGTTGATGGCCGGCGGGCGCACAGAGCCATCGCCGACGACCTTGCGTGCGGACTCGGGCACAAAGGGCAGGTAAATAACTATGAAGACGCCAGCGCTGATCGTCAGGAACCAGAATGTCGACCGCCAGCCCAAGAACTGTGTCAAGATTCCGCCCAGGACGGGAGCCAGCGCGGGGGCGAACATGACGCTGGCCTGCACGGCAGTAATGTAGCCGCCCCGTTCGGCGCTGGTCGTGCAGTCGGCCATTACGGCGCTGCCAATGGCAACCGTGGCACTGCTTCCTGTGCTTTGCAGCGCCCGCAGAATGAGGAGGGCTGCGTAGTTGTTCTGCAGGGCGAGGCCGATGTTGGCGCCGATGTAAATAGCAAAGGTCAGCATGTAGACAGGGCGGCGGCCGAGTTGGTCGCTGAGGTCGCCAAACACGAGCGGCGCGACGGCCTGCATGACTTGATAGAGAGTGACGCTCAAGTTGATGTCGGCAATCGAGCGGTGGTACGCCTCGGCGATGGGCGTGATCGCCGGCAGGTAAACAAATGATGAGAACGGCGAGAAGAAGGTGGCGAAGACGGTCATCAGGACTAGCAGTATCTTGGTGCCTGACGAGAAGGTCGAGTAGGCCGTGACGGGTACCTCTGGGTGCGTTGATGCCTCTCCATTGGGTGCATCTGCTGGTTCTGGTGCAGCCTCAGACCCGGGATCACCACCACCTTCGATGGCCTTGTCGGTGGATTCATCGAGGATGCCAACGCCAGATTGTCTGCGAGCCGGCTCGGGCGAAGATTCGGCAATCTTTTCCAGGTCTGCCTGTTCGTTGATGGCCATGGTCTGCTCGTTGGGTGATATTGGCCGAGGATATAAGAGAGGGTCTGGGAAGGGAAGGGTCTCCTGGTCATCTGCTTCAAGTCGGCAGACGACGCGACGACGGGTGGCCGCTTGGCCTTATATTGGTCTCTGGCACCATGAATCCATTGACGAGTACTACGATCTGAAAGCCGCTGCTTGGCCGAGACGGGCAAAAGTCACAGGAATGGTGAAGGCTCTGAGAGGAGGCCAACATACGTCAAAACACTTGGTTTGGTTGTGTTGTGTGTGGGTTCGCGCCGTGGTTGTCGTTGGATGCCGGACTTAAACGGCGTTAAATTCACGGGTTTACATGCAAGTTTCGTCGAAGGTCCGCCGGGTGGTAACTGAAGACGCTGCAACGCTGTGGCCGGCTTGGAAAGCCCCTGTAAATTACTGGGGCGCCCTAAAATCCCAAACAGGAAGCGACGTCAACACTACCAAGGGCAAAGCTTGGGCCAAAACTCAGTATCAGCTTCTGACTATCGGCGCCGAAGCGGCCACAGCGGCCACGATGGACCCACAAGGACGGTCAGAGCCAAATTGGCAGCAGCCTTTGTCGAAGAATGCTGTCGCTGAGTCATGGAGACGCCGTGAGGTCCCGAAAGTCATTTCCAGTCCCGACTCGACAAGTTTTAAATGAGTTCATATTGCACGTGACATATCACATGCACTGGAATTTTTATTTGCTTCCCCACTATGACCCCTCGGGACTCAGGCGACATTCCGCGTGTTTGCGCCGCTACAGCGGAGAGCGGGGCGGGGAAAAGCACGGGGAAACCTCCAAGCTCCTCTGGCACCTTCCCCAATAACCACTGACAGGCGCCAATTTGGTGACACCCCAACGCGCCCAACGTGGATGTCCAGACACATCCTGACGATCCAAGGTCAGACGGCGTATGAGGCTCTCAGATGGCCGGCCCACGGCCCACCCAATAATGCCGTCAGGCGGATTGACTGCCCTAGTTTCCGCTGCGGAGATCGAGGGGCGATGCCGGTGACTCTTGTCGGAGCTGCAGCGGAGCCAGCTTGAGAAGTCGCGCCGGTCGCGGGGTGCGTCGTACCTTCCTTCCTAGGGTATAAGAGGGGAGCCTCTCTGCTCAGGGGGTAGCTCTAGTTCCCTTTTATTTCTGTCTCCTCCTCGAACGTCTTTTCAACGTCCAACTGAAAACCCAATTGACAACGACAAGCTGTTCTCCGCCAGCGCACTCGCCCTTCAGCACACACACACACACAACACACACACACACACACACACACAACACACACACACACACACACACACACACACACATACACACAGACATACATACACACAATGGCCACCAAACCTGAAGGCCTCCCCGAGATGGAGTACCGGTTCCTCGGCCGGTCTGGGCTCAAGGTGTCGGCGCTGTCGCTCGGCGGCTGGCTGACATACGGCGGCCACATTGACGAGGAGGGCACGCTGGCGTGCATGAAGGCAGCGTACGACGCCGGCGTCAACTTCTTCGACTGCGCCGAGCAGTACTCGGAGGGCGACAGCGAGCGCGCCATGGGCAACGCCATCCGCAAGTACGGCTGGAAGCGCAACGACCTCGTCATCTCGACCAAGATCTACTGGGGCGAGGTCTTTGGCGACAACAAGGCCAACAACGTCGGCCTGTCCCGCAAGCACATTATCGAGGGCCTGGACCAGTCGCTCGAGCGGCTGCAGCTGGACTACGTCGATCTCGTCTACGCCCACCGCCCGGACCGCCAGACGCCCATTGAGGAGACGGTGCGCGCCTTCAACCACGTCATCAACCAGGGCAAGGCCTTTTACTGGGGCACCTCGGACTGGAACGCCGACGAGATTGCCCAGGCGTGGCGCTACGCCGACAAGCTGGGCCTCATTGGCCCCGTCATGGAGCAGCCCGAGTACAACATGCTGAACCGTGAAAAGGTCGAGCGCGAGTTCGCGCACTTGTACCGCGACGTCGGCCTGGGTCTGACCACCTTCTCGCCACTGCGTCTGGGCATCCTGTCGGGCAAGTACCGTGACGGCATCCCCGAGGGCTCGCGTCTGGCGCAGACGCAGCTTGAGTTCGTGTCGGGTCTGTGGAAGCGCGTCGGCAAAGAGCAATTTGAAGGCATGGCCGCGCAGGTGCGGCAGCTGGAGCCGATTGCCGAGTCGCTGGGCGTGTCGCAGAGCGTGCTTGCACTGGCGTGGGTGCTGAGCAACAAGAACGTCAGCTCGGCCATCATGGGCGCCAGCAAGCCGGAGCAGGTGTTTGAGAATATCCAGGCCGTAGCCACTTACAAGAAACTGACACCCGAGATCCTGGCGCAGATCGACACCATTCTCAACAACAAGCCGCCGGCCGTTGTAGAGCGCTTCTAAGACATGATGTACGATGGAAATGAATTAAATAAAAAATAGGCTGCAGTGACGGTATGATCTATATTACTGGATACGAAATAAGACAAAAACTAAATGGAACATGTCAGGTCATACTGCATGCAACCCCGATGAGGATATCCCGGTTGTTGACTGCGCGTCTGATGACGCAATGACAGTCTGAACTGATCTATGCAGTACGAAAGGAAAGGCGTGAGAACTTTAACAAGAAGCAAATAAAGAAAGCAACGAAAGGGGCCAGAAGTTGACGTATTCACGTCCGATACCCCGACATGCAATTAGGCGAATTTCCTCACCAACTTTCACTTAAGTGTCACCAAAATTTCAAGACTCGTCACAATCGATAAGCCTCGTGTCTGGACCTGCGTCATCGGCCCGCAGACCCCTCGCATTGGACGGCACAGCCAACTGCATAAGGGACTGTACGTTGTACACCTGCACGGACTACTGCACACGCGGTATTTAGCTCTCTGGTCTTTGGTCCGACAAGGAATGAACGGAGCTGTTCTTGGGGCTCTTAACTGCTGCCGCCGCCGTCTGCTCTCTCCAGCATTTTTTCCCTCGTCCTTGTCTGCGCCAACTTTCACGTCGTCAAATTTTCTCGTCCGCTCCTTCGTCTCCATGGCCGCACAACCACCAGAGGTGGCGTCGGCCGCAGAGCCAACGTATTCCGACGCCATCTCGTTGCTCAATTCGACGCAGACAGGGTACAAGGTGCTCGAGGCGCGGCGCAAGGCCGGCATCAGGCTCGACACAACAGACGACCCAATTGCGCAGATGAAGGCATGGCTGGGCTACATTGGGCATGCGCCAAAGGACCTTGACCGGCTCAATGTTGTGCACGTCGCCGGCACCAAGGGCAAGGGCACGACATGCGCATTTACCAACTCGATCCTGGAGCGATACCGTTCCGCATCGGCAACGTCGGCGTCGTCGGCGCCGTCGCTGCACAAGATTGGCCTCTACACATCGCCCCATCTGGTGGCCGTGCGCGAGCGCATCCGCATCAACTCGGAGCCCATCTCAGAGGCGCTGTTTACGCGCTACTTTTTCGAGGTGTGGCGCGCCTTCGAGGCCGGTGCCACGGCCAGCGGTGCCGACCCAGCCATCAAGCCGTCGTACTTTCGCTTCCTGACACTGCTGTCGTTCCACGTGTTTTTGCGCGAGGGCGTCGACGCCGCCATTTACGAAGTAGGCGTGGGCGGCGAGCTGGACGCGACCAATGTCTTTGTGCAGCCGGCAGCGACGGCCATCACGACGCTGGGCATCGACCACGTGGAGACGCTGGGTGCGACCGTCGACAAGATTGCCTGGCACAAGGCGGGCATCCTGAAAGAAGACTGCCCAGCCTTTACGATCCCGCAGGACCCGTTGGCGATGGCCGTGCTGCAGCAGCGGGCGGCGGAGCGCAAGGTGGCGGCGCCTGGCCTGCGCGTGCTCGAGCCGGAGCTGTACACGAAGCAGCTGGCCAATGTGCGCCTGATGCCAGCCGAGGAGTTCCAACGCAAGAACGCGGCCGTGGCCGTGTCATTAGCGGCAACGGTGCTCGGCCGGATAGGCGTGACAGGCGACGACAACGGGGATGTGGTCGGCGTGCTGACGGGCGGACCTCTGCCGTCACAATTTGTCGACGGCTTGGAGCAAGTCGTGTGGCGTGGGCGGTGCGAGACCAAGGTGACGGGTCGGCAGCGGTGGTACCTGGATGGGGCGCACAATCAGCAGAGCCTGGAGGTTGCGTGTCAATGGTTTCGTCGAACCATCTCCGGCGAAAAGCCATCCAGAAAAACGATCAATGTCCTCATCTTCAACCAGCAGTCGACACGCGAATCGATAGAGCTTCTGCATGTGGTGCACAAGACGCTGTTCGACGTGACGTTTGGGTATGCCATCTTCTGCACGAACGTCACGTACAAGAACAACTCGTGGAAGGTGGACTTTGTCAACAACAACGTTGACCCAGCGTTAATCAAGAGCCTGTCGTTGCAGCAAGATCTGGCGGGTGAATGGCGGAAAATCAGCCCCATGACCGAAACGGTGACGGCGATGCCAACAATCGAAGATGCCATCGACTACGTGCGCCAGATCGAGGGTGGCGACGTCGACGCGCGCGTGCTCATCACGGGCAGCTTCCACTTGATCGGCGGTGCCCTGACGATCCTCGAGGATGGCGAAGACTTTGCCCTGGCTAACATGTCGGCGGCGAAGTAGGTGTTTTTGTTGTTGAAGAAGAAGCAAGGGGATGGCAGAAAACGGACTCGCATAATACCCAGGAAGGCAAACGTTCAACAGAACCAAAAGACAAGACTTTATGATAGACATGGAGCTTTGACGAGCACAAGGATAGACTTGCAGGCACGGGGCAGCAGGCCCAAATAACGAGATTCAACTCCAGAAAATGACGAGTTATGATGATAGCTACATTCTCCCTCCACCCTCGTTGCGGTTCACTTTAGAAATCCTCCATCTTGACCACTGAATACGCCACCTCTTCGTACGGATGGGCCCTGTGATGTTAGCAGAAAATATGGAAAGGAGAGGAAACAGGAAGCAGAGCAAAACCATGCTGCCAGGGTGCACCCACTTCTTTAGAGCCGCCACGGCCGCCCGCGCCACGTCCTCACCAACACACATCGTCTCCACACGCGCCTCCTCGACATACTCGAGCGCGCCCACCGTGCCAATATGCGGGTTCGCGCCGCTGCCCGGCCGGAACTGGCCGAGACCGCCGTGCGTAATGGTCCAGCAGCACTCTGTGTAGTTGCCCTGGCCCGGGTAGGAGCCAGCACCGGCGGCGAAGATGGCTGCTTTGCAGGCCTCGAGGTTGGCAGGTGGCACGACGAACGAGAGCTGGTACTTGACGGGGCTGGGCGACGACGAGGCCATGGTGGAGTAGGTGTGGAGGTTGAGCCGGCGGACGAACGAGGTAGGGCAGCTGTGTAGAGTGTTGATGCGAAGACGGGCAAACATGAGATTTTGTGGCGTGGCGGGCGTTGACGAATTTCTGAGAATATGTTTGGAGGCACCGTGGAAGACGCGCGATAATACGTCGCTGTTGGGTGGTTCTTAGTCGTGGCCGAAAACAGCAGGTGGTGGTGGTTGCTAAAAATCAATCCGCACTGTTATTGGCGACTGCGGATTTAGTGGGTCTCATCATCACAGTTCATACACAGGATGGACCCTTTCCCATGGTCGGGCTTCTACCACTATTGAGGGCTATTTCAATGTGTGCTGCTGTTTTCGTGACATTTAGATAAGAGTACCATTCTGTATTGATATATGCAGTTCTGAATCAGGTAAGCAAACCCGCTGTGCGTAACGATGCTGGCAAAATAATAAAAATAACAATAAAAAGAAACCCGCGGAAGAGATCTCGCAACAGAGAAAATGCTCGCTGGTTGTCATCTTCCTCCCGATATAAACTCCATGCTGCCCTTGCAATACCTCCCGGGGTGGATGTTGACGCTTTCTGGCCGTGCCCCCTTGACTGTGCACAAAGAAAAGAAAATAAGAATAAAAACATAAAGCAAAAGCCATTGCCAGAAACCCTAAACCATAGCAAGGAGACACAGTCCCTAACCAGTTTCCCACCGCATCTCATAATCCAAGTGTCGTAGAACTAAACAATCATGAGAAGAAATATAGCTTCTCGGTGTGCTATAAACCGTGACAAAATACGCCATAAAGAAGCAAAATAACACGCATAAAGCACATCAGACGTCGGCATGGCAATGCTCACCAAGCTGCCTGTCTAGCTCCGAGGGCTCACCGACGTCGCCGCAGCCTCGCTCTCGATATGCGAAGAAACGGCCTCCCAGAAGGCGCCGTGAGTCTCACGGTCAACAGTGCTGATGCGCGTCAGTTCCTCCATCATCTCGCGTAGGCGGTCGACAAACTCGGCTAAGCCGAGGCCGGTCAGACGGTCGCCTGCGGCGCTGGTCTGGCGCGTACGCTCGGCCGAAGAGATAGCAGCAAGGCGGGCAACAAGGTAGCCGCGCAGGCGGTGCAATAGCAGACGGAGCACGGGTTCCTGGGGTATCGCATCACCGCCGCCAGCCTCGGGGCTGATGCGTGCCACAGCTGCTTCGGCACTGGCTGCCATGGTGCGCTCGACAATCGTGCGCAGCTGTGCCTTTGTAGAAGCAGGCATGGACCGGCCGGACTCGAGGGCCGCCATCACGCCGTCGATCACGGTGGTGGAGTTGAGTGTATTGAGCGTCTTCTGCTCCTTTTGGTCCTTCGGGACTTGCTGTTCCTGGGCAGCGTCATTCTCCGCCTTCTCCAGGACAGCCATGACGCGGAACGCCTCCGTCTTCCAGGGTAGGCGCACGTCGCGCTTGAGCAGGTTCTTGCACTGCAGGAGCACCGCACCCGCGGTCACAATGCGCCGAGTCATGGCACCCCATTTCTGTGCACGCTCGTGGTCGAGGCGCAGCATCTCGGGCATCTCACGTAGCGGGATGGGGCCGAGTTGCGTGAATACGTCCACCAGCATTTGTGCGTAGAACTGGTCTAGTTTTGGCCGGGACCGCGGATGGTTAATGCCCTCCGCGTCACGCTTGGCGACTTCGGCGACCACTTTGTTGCGCGCCACCATCCATGCAGCCGCCGAGGCTGGCAGCTTGTCCCCGACCGAGATGGTGGCCGCAATCCCGGAGATATTAGTAACGTCGACATTGTTATTACCACTGACGAGAGAGGCGAAGCGGCGTTGCTCGTACTGCGTACTAGACGCAATTAGCTCAGGTGCTGCCATTTTGATCATGAAGTTGATGTGATCGGTCAACATCAGGTCAATGAAAGCCATGAGGGCCACGAGACGGTCGACGTAGTCGCCCTCCTGGAGCTTGTTGTCAATCAGGTCCTTCACCTCTGGATCGCGGAAAGGGGCACAGAGCTGAGGAAGCAGTCCGCCAACTGCAGAAAAGAACTTCTCGTACGAGAAGCTCCCTTTTGCAAACTGCCGCTGGGCCACCTCGGTATCCAGCAGCTCACCAATGAACTGGTGCATCTTTTTGCCGGGAATGGTCAAGCGCTCCAGTTTCGACCGGATGCAGTCGGCCATTGTGAGCAGGTAGTAGAAGTGTTCTTCCTTCATTTGACCGTCGTCGGCCGACATGGTCTTGCGCATGCGCTGGACGATTGGCGCCATCCAAGCTTCCTGCTTCTTCTGGAACTGCGTCGCCGAAAGTACATATTCACGGTTGAGTGTGAGCTCGTGTACCACGATCCGGTTCTCCGGAAGCGGGCTGCTCGAATATACTTCGTCCGCAGGCTCAAGGTGGAGATCACGTAGCGTTGCTCCTGTTCTGGCCTCAGCTGAGGGCTTCGTTTGGGGTAAAAGACCGGCTATTGCAGCATCATTCACGGCGCCTGAAGCAGTGCCCCGGCCCAGGGGGCCCACATTGCGCGAGAGCTGAACGCCTGTGGCAGATGCGGTCGTTCCAGTGGCCGCAGTGCTATTGCCGTCGCTCGTGAGATCACCCATCGCCGTTTCGATCGAGGTGTCATGTGCCTCACGCGGCCGCATATGGTTGTTTGCAGAGGTAGCCGCAGCCTTTCGGTTGGCTTCCTCCTTGGCTTTGCGAGCCTTATGTACGGCAGCAAATACCTTCTTCTTTCCCTCTTCGGCGCCAGCCAATTTCTTGATGCGTACTAGGAGCAAGACCTGGTTTTGTTGGATGCTCTGGCGGTAGGTGTCGGACACGGACGCATCGGTGCCATCTTTGACAGTCTGCCAGATGGCGTCCAGCTCCACAAACTGCATGACCATGACATCGACCAGGGCCGATGCATCGCGCGCCTTCCAGGCAATGAAAGCATCGTAGAAGCTGTCGTAGGAATCAATCAACTCGCTTGCGAGAGTGGATGGGGGCGTGTAGTTATTGGCAGGTGTGAGGCGGTTCACAATGGTTTCGAAGCAAACTAGCAAATCCTTTGCTTTTCTAACAACGTCTTGTAGCTGCGGATTTGTGACGTCAGGCTCTGACGGAGAAGCTCCATTGGCGATGGAGTTGGAGTTAGTGCCTGTGCTCGTAGTCGACGATGAAGTATTTCCACGTGCAGCGGCACTGTTCAGGGCATAATTTATACTTTGACCACTGGTCACGGCATCTTGGCTTTCCTTGCTGCTCAGAACTTGTGTTGGATGGCCAAGAATCAGGAATGCGCTGAGAAATGCACGGACAACGACGATTTCCTTGACTGAGCTTGTCTTGCCTTCTTGGATGCCACACAGGCGTAAGACTTTGCCAGTCGTCATAAGCACCTTGTCCTGAGCCAAGAGCTGGACAACTTCATCAAAGGAGGTGTTGCGTACGCTGTCGACAGCTAGCCCCAGCTGCTGAAACTCAGCAATGGCACGTCTGCGGTGGCTCCGCCGCCACCAATGCAGAATTTTGTAGGCCGCTTCGTCTGGGGTAAGGGCGGGGGCGGGCGTGTCGCGGGAGGGGCTGCTATTGTTCTCGCCAGATGCGGGTGACACTGTCTCCTTAAGTTCGGCCACCTGGGGCATAACTTCGACCGTCTTCCGGGTACTGGGGATGCTCTGGCCACGGGCGCGTGTGCGGCCTGCGGCGTTGTTACGACGCAACTCTTCGCGGCGGCGCTCGGCCTCATCCAAGCGGTCCTTGATCTGCTGCCGCAAACGAAGCAGGTCTTGTTCTCGCTTCTCCTTCATAGTCTCGGCGACGGCCTTGGCACGCTTGACCTCTTCAGCACATGCCGCGGCAATCTCCTCGAGCTTCTTCTCGCGCGCCTGGGCTGCCGCCTGGGCGCGTTCTTCGCTAACAGAGATGTCTCGGACAGCAGCCTTGGCCATGGCTGCCCGCAGACGCACCTGTTCGGCATGGGCAGCGCGATCGGCAAGGCGGGCCTTGCGGTCGGCAAGAATCGACGCCCGCCGCAGATGTTGTGCAACATGCTTGCTCTGGGGTGCACCGCTTGTGGGTGAAGAAGATGTGGGGTAGCCGAAGCCATGTGAGGATCGCGAATGGTTGGATGAAATCGAGTTTCGCCGCGAGGATGCGGCTGAGCTTTTACGGCGCGCCTGGGCCGAAGGCCGGTAGAAACGCGCCGCAATATGCGGCGGTGGTGTGTATATGCGCGCGGGAGGAGTATCTGGAGGAGAGGAGCTGTCGGCCATGTGATCCTCGTCGATCTCGGTCTCGTTCATGGCGAGCGGCACAAGGTCGTTGTTGGTCGGTCCGGAAATGTTGGCCGAGTCGTCCATCGTGACTGAGAGGGCGGTCACTTGCGGATGAAGCGAGAGAGGTGCTTGGGGTTCCTGCTGCTTGCCCATAGCAAGGACAGTTTGGCCAAGTGGTTGTGTACTCATGCAAATGCCGCGTTTACGTTTGTTGCGTCCGAGGCGTGTCGATACAGGTGACACGAATGGATCAGGTGGGACGCGCGAGAGGGGGGCTTGTCGTGATCGCGTAAGCTGGAAACGATAACGGTCTAGGGCCGAGGTCTATGTTCTACCAGACAGAAAGGAAACCAGCCGAATCGTTAAAACAGAGCATGCATTCGAAAGCCGCTGCTTTTGTTGACGAGGCAAAATCTTGTGACAAGGTGACCATCAATCCGAAAGACGATAAGATAACAAAAAGGTGATCGCTGAAAAGGCAAGGCTGATCGTTACTGTTGTTGGCGAGGCGAGCGAAGGTTTCCGGAAGGTAATGTCGGGACGGCAGAGATGTCGAGGGGGACGTGGTAGTCGGTATGAAAAGTATAAAAGGTTGAGTGAAATGGTAGCGTGCACACGGAAGCCACGCGAATGACGGGGAAGGAACCGGCGGGAATACCAAAGAATCAACAAAGGCTGAGTCAAGCCGAGAAAAAGCCCAGACCAAGTACTCCAGCTCTAGAACGCACACCGAGCAAAGGACGCCCAGGGTAATACTCCGTGCTCAAACAGAGGCAAAACAAGTGCGGAGAGTGGCGATGCCAGACCTGGCAGGGGGGATGAAATGGGAGTCAGAGAGACACGAGGTGGAAAATGAGGGTATTGATAAGACACGAGAATGCCGAAGATCTGTGTTGTTGGCCTGAGCTGTGGGAGGGGAGGGAGGGAATAGGAAGAAGATGAGAAAGAAGACGAGAAAGAAAAGAGAAGGAGAGAAAACAAAGAGATCGGAAAACACACTCGAAGGGGCCAGGGAAACAACAGGATGGGTGCGGCAAGGCGCGATGACGAGAATGACGGCCGTATGGCGCGGCTCGCCCAGTGGTTTCGATGTCATCAAAGCCTGCAGGCTGGCCAGAGGAATCGAAGATTGACAAAAGGAAAAGAAAAGACGAGCGGGGAGAACAAAATGGCGGCAGAATGACAACAGCGGCGGGCAGTGCCACAGTGAGAAGTGGCAGGAGCGGAGAAGGGCGGTCGAAGGAAAGCCCGCCAGAAGGGGAAAGAAGGCTGGGGAAGTGCGGACAAATGGTTGTCATTGGCTGGATGCTGGATTTGGGGGCAAGTGGGCCTCCACCTTCCACTGTTTGCATTTGTGAGCAACTGCCTCAGCGCTGCCAAAAGTAAACAAGGGTATTAATTGCAGGCAGGAAATAAATTCAAAACTAGACCACCAGCGTGTCTTGCTTACGAAAACGGGGGATTGGAATAACGGGTCAAATGGAAACCACAACGGATTGTTTCAACTGAAGCTCCGCTGGCACGGATGACTTAGTGAGGTCGAGTCTTCGTTTGGCTGCCCCAGCTGATAGCACCCGCAGAGCATGCAGACGCTGCATATTGTCTAGACCACACAACATATATATCATTGTTGACGTCCTCGCTGGCCGCGATTTGACTGGTGATATGGTTGATTCTGGTCTAGTGGCACGGAAACGTCATAAGGAAGAAGAAAATGTCTGTCACTTGTTTGACCCGCGCAGTACTTACGTTGGCAAGCATCATTAAGAAATGTTTTGATTTGTGAGATTTGACGATAATAATGAATGCTGATGAAGCGCAGCTGTAGGGGTCTACGACAGAAGGAAAGGCAAGGAAGGGCGGGACTCTCACAATTAATCGTTCAAAACAAACCAAAGCCAAACCTTCATGTACTCCAACCATTGAAAAAACGCCCGCTACCAATTGTCGTTACATATCGTTAAATCAAATGGGCAGTGACTGCAGGATAAAGGAAATAATGCAAAGGAAGGCACAAAAACCGGCTACGCCCTGCCGGACATGTCCGTGTAGCAGGACACTTGCTGCGCGCTCGCATGGCTAGACTCGCTGCCTGTGGGCACGGCTGGCAGATCCGCGCAGACAAGCACCAACCGAATCGGCACACAGTTGTCAGGCACAACCGGCGCCTCACCCGGTGACGAGGCATCGCTGTCGTACAGGTACTCCAGCGTAAGGCCAGTCTCCAGGTTGTAGTAGGGAATGGTGCGATTGCAGGCCATGAACGTGCCGCTGCCCTGCATGTTGAGGAGATACAGACCGCCGTATGGAGTACCCGTGTCGGCAAGTGTCACGGGTGTAGCGTCGCCACTGCCGGCGAAGAACGAGACACCGTGCTCGTGGGGGTACTCGGGCACGATAAAGTCGGAGGGTGATTGCACGGTGAGACCAAAGGAGACAGACGGGTTTGCGGTGCTGTTGGCTAGCGTCTCGGCAGAGAAAGAGTCGGTTAAGAGAATCGAGGACGAATTCTGGGGCAGGCGGTCATAGTAAAAGACACGGCCGGGGTTCTGGGCGTCTGGCTTCTGAAGCATTGGGACACGGTAGTTGGACCCGGCGTGGTAGGCTTGCAGGGCCATGTTCTGGACATCCTGTGCAAGTGCATTGAAGGGATCGGTGACGTCGGCAACCAGACGAACGCCAGTAGACGTGGATGTTGGCACTGGTGCCTCTGCTGCGTTGAAAGCCCTCGTGGAGGATGTGGGCGTGAAAACAATGGGCGATGCCGACACCGGATATGAGGCAGCAATGGCCAAAAGGTGACTGACGTTGGTGAGCATGATGGGCAGAAGCAGCGCGGTTGAAGAGATGGATGCTAATAACTCGCGTAGATTCTGAGTTGATATTGCCCGAAAACGGGCAGTTGACTTATATTTGTAGAATGGCGAGGTTGGTGATGTAATGGAAGCAACTTCTCGAACTGTGACGTCACCGGTCGAATGTGGTGGTGAATTCATAATAGGGACAGAGAACTAGATGGTATAAAATGCCGAGATACTCCATAAATTTAACGAAGTACGAAGATGGTATGGAAAAAAAATTGTGAAAAGAGAGAACTACCGAGGTGAGAAGACGCATGGCTTCCTTTAAAAGACCTTAGACTGCATGGTGACCGTGAGTATGGATAGTCTCCGGAGTAGAAACAACGACTTGAACAAGTCAGCAGTAGACTTGACGGGAATTTTGCCGTTTGGTGGTACAACCAAGTCGCTTGGATCCGGTGTTCGCTTCGAGGGAATCAAGATGCTGTGTAGCCTTCTACGGCCTCAACTCCTCCTAACTTGCGGCTGCTCTTGCCATATTTGGCCTTGGCTCTCGCGCCCCTACCGTCCAATGCACAAGTAAACATGTCTTATCTCTTGCTCGCCTACGAATTTCTAAGACAAAAAAAAAGGAGTGGTCGGTTGTGTCACGTATCTGCTTGGATTTAGCAAGAGCCAGGATGCAAAACTGCCGAGAGTACATTCTGGCCGTCTAACATGGCAGAAATGATTCATTGTGTCTGTAGCAAGATTGATAAATGGGACGTCGGTTCTCGTGGTGGATTCTCATTGTTCAGACAACATTTTGTCTACATGTTGAAAGCATTAAGTCTTCTGTATGCGTTCGTCTCGGTGAGAACTCTAGTAGTCTCAATGCTTACTTACGGACGGAGCCAACCGCAGCAACATTACAACTATTTGTTTTCCAAAAGCATATGTATGCTTGCCACCCTCAGAGTTAATTTCGCATAGGACTCATATTCAGCTTCAAGATGCAAATTGTCACAGACGAAGCTTCCTCGAAAGCCATTCGTCTCATCCTTCCTGCTCTCGCTTGACACCACGAGGTGGCGCTTTCCCCTTCGTATTCGCTCGGACAGAGGAAAGCCACACGAATAGGTCAATTCCGCATATTTCCATATGTTCTCCTTGTCCTTGTCCTTGTCCTTTTACTTTTCTTGTTTATTTTTCTTTGGAAACGGGAGCAGCTGCTGCTAAAAGTCCCTTTCGTCGAGCCCTTGCCTACGAATTTGCACACCCTCGTTTCTTCAAAGTCAAATACGGCATTCGTATGGCAGTGCCCAACAAAAGCTGCAGGATGTGCGCCACTGTGTCACTCAAGAAGCTCAAAACGCAAAGCTGTACATGTTTTCGTCAATGGGCTTGTCGTGCAGGATTGACAGTGGTAATGCAGGTTCCTCAGGCGCAGAGATGATGGAGAGCTACTTAAGCGAGACATCAAGGATAGATGCAGCAACAAACCATGTAGAGCAACGCGTACTCGGTTCTCCTCGCTATTTCCATATTCATACGTGGTACAGAGCCTCTCCTCTTTCCATTTGGCCAGCAGCAGTAACCACATGTCAGAGCCTGATGGAGGTGTCTTGGTCCTGCATCTAGAGAATTAAATAATAAATATAAGTATTGAAGACCTCGTCACACAGAGCAAGGAAGAGGTTATGTTGCCAGTTCTGCTCGGCATCCGGCATCTCTCTTTCCTCACCACGGTCAATCTTGAAGCCAAGTACACCCATCTCGGACAAAAATCTGATCAATTTGGTCTGATAATATTCCTATGCCACCGGAATCGAGACATTCAGAGCCCGGCCCAAAAAAACTGCACGGGGTCGGTATCCGGGAAGATCCAGTGGTTTTCGGACGAGACGTTGAAAAGTCGGGAGTACAGGACAGTGGTCGCCGTCAAATTGGACCCATAGTGATTGTTGATGATGGAATAGTTTCACGGATATTTCCCAGACGCCAAAGAAATGAGGTGCACCAGCGAATGAACATGACATGCCATTTTGTACCGCTGTAGACAAAACGCCCCCGTCCATGGTCATTTCATAGGAGTTGCCAGTATCCCACTGAACATGACCGCCTTCCGTGTTGACCAGACTACCCTTCTTCTAGGACTCGACTCGTACCAGGCCGTTGGATCCGGCATCGTAACAGCCTTTGATTTTGAGGCTTGCCTGGTCTGAAAACATGGTGGTGCGGCCCCGCGATCTTCGCCCGGCCTTCCATCGAAAAAGGACACAGACAGGGGACAATCGTCCCTCGTGACTGGTCCGAGAAACAACGGTACGAACGGTGTTGATTTGGCCGCTAAAGCTGCTGTGACAAAAAGGAGAAGCGGCCACTAGACTATGCCAGTAACAGAGTCCTCTCAACAATGCCTTCTTCCAGTTTCTAGTCATTGTATGCGAGTAGCGAGTCGTTCAGGCAATACGCACCCCTCACGGCTTGATTTTGAGACCTCAGATGCTCGATCTGGTCAATATGGTTGCCGTGCACAACGATGAAATGCATATTTTCTGATTTTTCTCTCCCATGTTTCCGCTCTTCTACTCTGCTCCCGCAGTCTTAATCTCGAGATATAATATTCCCACGCTGGCGGGATATTGTAATCTGGGTAGTAATATTTGAGCCGGGAGGAATTTAACTTATTTCCCAAATTGACACAAATAGGGTCGTCACCCTCTTTGGCTTTATTCCTTGCCTCTGATGATAAAAGCAAAGGCGCGAAGTCAACTTGAACGGGAACAATATACTCCCGCAGTTAATCAACGAGATTAGCAATTCGTGAAGTCTCTCTGACCTGTTGTTGTCTTTTCGTGTTGTTTTGTGTTGTTTTGTGTTTCATGCACAATCAACATTACCTCAAAGGTCCGGGTAAATCGATGGACTGCAAAAGCCGTACGTTGCGGCTCCTTCATTGCGTGTTTTTATGATTGGGGTCCGCGCATCACAACAACTTCTCTAAGCTACCTACCATGATGTACATAATACTGAACAGCAGCAAGCTGACATTTGTCATAATGCCGCATTGCACTGGATTGAACAACGTGGCTAAGCATTCGCCCGGCATCTATGGCCGGATTTGATGGACAGCCGAATTGCCGATGTGTAACGAAACGGCAGGGAGCGGGAGAAAACACTACAGCTTCGGTTCGACGACAGCAGAGTCGTCACCATAGATGGATGTGGAAGGACAAAGGGGGGGGAGGGGGGCGAGATGATCAAGGTTCGCTGTACTCTGTATCTTATGATCCCGTCCATTTCAACAACGGTGGGCTGTCCGTCGAATGTGGCCCTTTTTTGCATGAGAAAGCAAATGTTCGGATGCCGCAGATCCCAGTCGATCACCGTGGCTGCAGTATTTATACCAAAAATGGCGAACCCTGGTTGTTGATCAGAGAGTGACTTTTTCCTCCATGCACGGCACAGAATTGTAACCCGAAAACCCGTGTTCCGTCTTGAGTATGACATACTATAAAATCAAATAGAAGGCGATCGTAGCTTCGGGGCCTATTCTGCTCTGGACCCTTCGTGAGAAGGTTCTTGAATCAGGTCTGGCCATCTATCTGTCTGGTCAATGCCTTCGCCAATGGTTGCTAGAAATGGTAAAACTTTCGCAAGTGAAATGAAATCTCGTACGAGCTGCTCATTTAATACAACCACCTTCGTGAGCGATAAAACCTTTGTAGCCAAGCAACTGTAGTTTGCAGCGTGACTGTTCGCAGAGAGCCATATTTTTAGGCTGCGAAGGAGCAATACCGAGCGCGGGATGGCGTTGTACGGATTGCGTATACAGTCGTTAAAAAACACTCGAGCCCTGATACAGAAATTCATGTCCGTCGTCGTCTCGTCTCGACCTCATGATCGGTACCTACATTTCTAATTGGCCAAGACCATAAATCGCCGATGGCTGCCCAGGGTCACAATTACTCGTCAGATAGCACGGCTCCCGCAGATGCGGCGAGTCCCAGAACCAAAGTTCCGAATTCGCAAGGTCGTATTTGCACCCTGCGAAAGTACCTGTGCCGTTCCGTGCGTGATCTGCACAGAGAATGGCACACAAAACAGCCATTCGTAGTGTTGCCTTGTAGTTGCACAATGCCCTGAAACTGTGACGCCCATTTCCTCTCAAGTCGTGGGGGCGAGAGTGTGGGGGCCGAGCCTTGTGTTGTTGGTTGATGGGGCCAGACTGCCATGTCAACAAAGCGCTAGACATTATGCAGTTCGATATTCTGTCCGTGTGACCCAAGAATCTCCGGCGCCCGGCTCGAGCTTTGAAAGACACGAACTAGCAGCCACGTTGAATGCGCACCATGTAGAGTGAGAGAAGGGATGTAGAAGGCAAAAAGAAGGTTAGGTCCATGTTTGAGAACCTGGTCTTTCAGACCTCGCGACCAGCCCACACTGCCGCCGAAGTCGTAGCCGGCGTGGCGATTGGTATCGAGTGGCTCGATGTACATTTTGGTAGACCTAGCTACTATTGAATTACAGAATGCCTCTGCATGGGACGCTCAAAGTAGGCCCCTGACATGCTTCGACGTAAGCGGCATGAGGGGTGAGGCACGACTGAAGAGGAGACTGAAGAGGAGAGTAAACCATCGGATAGCATTGCTCGACCCAACAGTTGCACAACAGAGTACACAAAAGCCGAGTGGTCATGCCGATTTTTTGTGAGCAAAGCTGGGTTGGGGAGGGGGAGGGAGGTGGAGTTGGTGAGTGAATGAGGCATGGAATGAAAAGAGGGGGGTGGTGAGGGTCGGTGCTGAGATATCCCTGGGCGGCGACCGGCCTGTTGCTCCTTCCTTCCTCTACAGATCATGGGCATTGCTCGTGACTATTTAATTTATGGTGCGAAGTAGTAGACGCGGAAGACCATGTGTACGTCGTAGGAAGTCGCATCCCCCCAACCGCGCTTGCCGTACAGAGAATAAGCATTTCATTGCTCCTTCCGCATCAATATTGCCAATGCCTTTCATCATACGAGGGCTGGAGCCTAACAAATCCATGTTAGGGAAGGCGCACATGGCCCTCGCATCACATCGGAAGGAGCGCAGGGGAAGGGTAGTAACGCGGGCTCGTGGTATTACAACGTATGTGTACGACGTAGTTACTGTGTAGGCCCAAAAACGCGGCGCCCTCTTCCCAATTGGGCATATCTTGTCGTTGGGTCTTTCCTTTTCGCCTGGCCGTACTCCGTACGACGTGGAGACGCTGCTATTTTATCTCTGCAATGATGTTATCCCTTCATTTCTCCTTCTTTTACAATATCCAGACCTTAACAAGTTTGCACGTCTTCTCCGATAAGAACAGCGGCACCGCTTCTGCACAACTGGCGCCACAATTGTACGCAACATCCTTATCCACCAAAGCTACCGGCCGTCTGGGCGCGGGCCCGACAAGCTCCTTTGGTGTCCGCACCACCCCCCGTGCTGCGAATTTCTCTGGTTCGATCCGTCACGGCGGGTATATCCTGTTTCGACATGCTAGGGCCGAACAAGCGCCAGAACCTGACACAATCGACGAAGTTGCCTGGTAGACGAGTTTTCACCCTCTGCCAGGCTGACTCTCCGACACAGCGGGCAATGCGGTGCCCGAGAACAGACGACGGTGGAGTGATTGGCACACACAGACAGGGTCTGAACAACTATCGATGAGGAGACCCCACTCTCGAAGCAGCAATGCCTGCTCTGGCTTGCTAGCAGACTCGCCTCGTGTTTGAGGCCGCAGTAGCCAGGCCACTTGACACTAGTTCCTTCCAGTTCTGGGCATGATTGTCCTGATTTGTGAAATGTGCCTAGCGATGGCGATAGCAGGCAGCATCGTCGTGGGTACGGGTACGGTCACTAATGCAAGTCAGAAGAGCCAGAACATGGCCAAACATGGGAGCTGGACTGCTTAAGCTCTACAGAACACGACATACTCAGGATTCTCTTTCCCAACTTAGGGCCACACATCAGCCATAATGAGGTTCTAGCGATACGGAATGCCCAGCGTCAAGGCCCTGTCGCGAACACGGCATTGGCGTGGTTCCTTGCGAATTGCTTTAGCTGATTTTGTGTTCTTTATCTTTTTTTGTAATCGCTTGCTTTGTTCTCTTGTGACTTCCGTACTCCATTTTCGCTTTCCGGCTTCCCCTCTTTTACTGTTGATATTTCCCTTCACTATTTTGCCCCTTTGCGTTTTTGAATCTACATTGTTTTGTCTTGTACATTTCTTATATTCCACTCGTTACTGGTCCTGTATCCTGCTCCCATCCCATCCGTCAAGATGCTCGTCTGATCTTCCAGCGGGCCAGCTTCTGCTGGCAGCCCGGCATGGTTTAAACGGATGGCCCACCCCATCCAACCGGCCGTTTTCTCTGGTTCTTCAACTGCCAACTGCTGTCATGTCAACCACTGTCGGAGCACTCGGTGGCTTCCAGATCGAGCGCTGCTGCTCATAAGACGAAGAAGTCCTCTCAGACCGAAAAGGGCAAAGGTGACGAGTGCACCATACTCTTGTCCCGTCCTATCCCAAATGGGTCAGACAGGCCGTCTCGTTCCCGCCCCTCCATCCCCTTCGAGAATGCGAGATGGAACTGTTTTTTTCTACATATCCCAGCTCCTAAAGACCAGTCATCTTACTCCGATGGTGCTGGTGGTTCTTCTGTGCCGTTTCTTTCTCCACTCGTCCGTCTTGAAGCTCCTTGCATCTTAACTGTCCCGTTCGATTTATTCTCTGTCCCGTTGATATCCTTCCCTGTCCTTTCCGGCAACGTTTAATTTTTATTCAGGTTTTATCCTTTTTTTGACCGCGTCTGCTTATTCGGGCCGTGATTCTTCTACCTCTTTTGACTCTTATCTTGCTATTGTCAAGGTAGATTTTCTTCCTCTAACATGTCCATATACTTGTTAATTCCTTATCCGCCTTCTTGTTGTCTTCGTCCATATACCAGCATCCATCCAACCTCCGTTTCAACCGAGTTTCAACCCGAATTTGATGTTGGGCTATCTCTCCGGTAGACAACATCGTGATGCTTTCTGGGCAGACTATGTCGATCTAAACTGCCGGACTCAGTTCACGTCCTGTATCGACATTGCCGTCTTCAAAACAACGGATCAGTCTTGCCCAGAAAGTCTCCAGGCACATACGGGTCCGTCTCGCGCTCGTTCACGAGACATCGGTTACTACCGGTTTGGACTTTGCCTTTCTTTGGATTGTTTCCATGGTCATCACTTCCCGTGCCCAATTCTTTTATTCCGCTTTTGCAAGTTTGCCTGTTTCGGCGCACACCCTTCTCGGATCCTTAGCCTCTTCTCTGCTGTACATACTTCTTGTATAAAATCAAAGAGGCAGTGACTTTTCGTCGCTGTGAGACCGGATACAAATGGAATTCCATCAGAGCCCAACGCAGCCACCAACTCGCGCACTCGTCATATCTTGTTTCTCTTTCCTAAATAGTAGGACGAGACTCCTCGACAAGACAACTCTGTTCATCCAACTCTACCACACTCACTCATTAGAGTACAGAAGACGACATCAAGCAAAGACAGTCCTGGTCGGTTCATCGGATACGTTCTCATACAACGTCTCTTTTAAACACGTTTCTCACCAGGTACCACAAGCTACAAATATGCCTAGCGCTGTTGTACTCGGCCCCTGTGACGGCACCGACCTACCGGCCGGGCCCGACACTGTTGAAGACCTCTGCCTTGGCATGGAACTCAAGTTTCTACTGCTGGGCCTGCCCCGATCCGAAGCTGCTGGTATACCAATCGGTCACTCTTCGGATACGCCTGCTACCACAAGTCAGGAGGCCTACCAGAAGCAGGCATACACCGCCTTGGCTCGTGTAATCGAACGACGTGCAGGACCAGATAAGTCGGTCCCTTATCTCCGCGCACCCTCGAGCCAGCCTCGTGCCATCAGCAAGAGCGACATATCTGAAAATGGTCTCAAGGAGCGAGACTACTGGCCGTCCCATTGGATTGTCAAAAAGGCCAACTCTGTCGAGCACACGAAGGAAGATCCACGGCCAGACAGCCGCCGCACGAATGGCATTGCCATTCCGGTAGAGCTCAACTCACCGAAGCTAGCTTGGAGAGATCTCTACGCGCCTTTTCTGATCAGCAAAGTCCTCTCTCAGGTCAAAACCTTGCCCACGTGCGTTAACTATACATGTGACGTCCATGTCCATGTAGGACGTTGCGACGGGACGGCATTTACACTCCCGACTCTCAAGAAATTGGCAACCATCTTTTGGCTGGCGGAGCCGATGCTACGCAGCGTTCGAAACCCTCATTCACCAAACTACTCGCATGCCTACACTTGGGGCTTTGACCAACGCCGTTACAGCCGCCTTGCACTGGCTCTGGACAATAGATCGCCTGCAACAGACAATGTGACTATTGGTGAGGATTTGCTCGCGCGTGTGCGCTCAAGTGTTTGTGACGAAGACGACGAAGAATGGCACAAGTATATGAATGAAACTGGGAAGGCAGCTTTCCGCAACGAGGCCCTGCGTGCCATCTGGCAATCGGCCACGTCCCAAGAACTGGGACTCCTGCTGTCTGGCTCTCAGCGGGAGTACCGGCGTCTTGGATTCAACTTTAGTGCATTCGGCGGCGAAGACGAGCGCTCCAGGACCAACCCACGCACAATTGAGTTCCGCATCTTGGAGGGCACACTGAATGAGGAGCTCGTCCAAGGCTGGTACCAAATCTGTGGCAAGTTGGTTGAGCTAGGCACGAAGGGCAGACAAGCCAGATTCTGCGAGGTCGTCCAGTACCTAGTGGCTCAACAGCCAGCCTACGACGAGCTCCTCAAGAACACCGATTCCGGCCGTCTTCAGGCTCATGTGCGGGCGGAAGGCGGTCGGGTGACTCGCGACCTCCTCTTTGCCGAGTTTATGGAGGTCATTGGCGTCAACCCAGCGGCGTTCAGGCCCTTTCAAGAAAAAATACGGCGGGAGTATGGCTCCTCCTGACTGGTTGACTACATAACAAGATTTTTCACGGCCCTGGGAAATTACCTAGACGGGCGATGGTTACGAGGGCATTGAACGGGTATGGGTTATAGGTAACAAGTCTCTCGCGGGGCACGCTCTCACTTTTTACATGTCTTTTTTCATTTATTTTTCACACTTTTCTTCCCGTTACATTGTTCTTCCATTATTGTCTTTTCTTTCTATTTTGTTTTTTGTACTTGCTGCATTTTTGGAGAAGGGGGAGGTGGGTTCTGACGAGTTTTCTTTTAAACGCCAAGTGCATTATTACTTAGGCCTTACTTTGCCTGTTTTGTCTTTCACATTTTGCACGTTGGACCTCTTCATTTACTCAGCATTTCTTAGTTTTTATTTCTGACCGTTTTTGTTTTCCAACGTCCATTTACTCACATGTTGTAAGGTTTCTTATCAAATATACGCCTTACAATTTGCCAATGTATTTTTTTTGCATTATCATACAAAACACTGTTATTAATTTTATGAAAATGGTCGTCTATATCATACCGAAGGTGTACGCGAATATATAAACAAAACTAGAACAAATTGGAGACATGGTTCACGCGGAAGTAACAAACTCGACATGGATGAATGGGAGATCGGGCGAAGGGGCTATCGTTCCAGAAGGATGTGAGTATTGACATAAATAACCTGTTTGTAAAAAAGCGGTAGCCAAATCTGGAACAAATGAAATGATAAAACATAGTATTCCAGCATCAGAACAAGGACGGCGAGACTGGTGCGTCATCATGTGATTTTGACGCATATCCGCTTGACAGCTCTTCGGTTCTCAGCACCTCTCACATTTCGCCTTATTCTTTTCTGTAGCTGCGCCCACATTGCGTTATTTTCCTGGGCATATGCGCCAATTCTGGGAATTCAGGGCACACAATTTACTTTCGATTCAATGCTCGATTCTGTCGCTCTCGAGGTGCGTTATCTGACATACTTGGTATGCTGTGTTCCCCCAAAAGGATGGAGGGTAGCACTAGTGGACAGCCACGTTAGACTAGAGTGATGTTTCTACAAGGAGTAGGTAGAGCTGGAGAGCCAAACGTGGCAAAAAGACGGTGTGACGAGATATGTCCCCCACATATTCATCATTTTATTATTGTTTCCTACCCTTGTTACATATGCATCTGCATCTGCTTGTTCGTTTGGTTGTGGCGTTTTTGTTTCTTAATCATGAACTGTATTTGAGAGCAAGTCGAGACGAGTTGACAAAATACCGCTCACGATTATGAACGCCCTCCGAACGTTTTGCAAATCGAGCGGCAAGACCGCCCGAGAACTGTTTTACTGCAATTTATGTATTTCCGTGGCGACTGCCTGTTTTTTATCAAACCACGTCTTCTTCGTCCTCCTCCTGTGGGCCTGCAGTTTCGTCCAATATCCGATGGTCATGACGGTTGTCAGCTGCTGGAGCAGCGACATATGCTTTTCGGCTATTTGCTCCAGATGCATGCAGTTTATCTGCGCGTCTGTGTTATGCATTCTGCTTTGTAACCTGCCACGCACCTCGTAGGATGGATAAGTGTGGTAAGGAAGCGTGGGGTTTTGTGTAACGGAAGTGTGTAGAAATGCAAAACAAAGTAGAAAAACGGCAAGATTTACAACCGGGCGTAACGGGGACAATGCCATGAAACAAAGCCAGGAAAAGTAAAGGGAGTAACCCCCCCCCCCCCCGGGAAACATCGCGATGCACACGCACACCCGTGCTGCACACCATCCAATCACCACTCACGTCATAAACATCTACTGTCGGATGATGGATGTGCATGTGACGGAAGCGGAATCAAGAATACATTGTTAAGGCGCAGTGAAGACGAGTGTCATTTCTGATTACTTTGTGTCTATGCATTTTCAAGTCCGTACATCTAGTAGCCAACCGTTATGAAAAGGATCTCATCGGTTGACTTCCGTGCTCAGGCTGGTGGGCGTTGGGCAGAAATACTGCACGACCCTCCACTGTCCTTTCTTTGTTTTGTTGAAGGATTCCGATATCCGTGGATAACCGACTACAAGTGATGTAATTCGCGTTGCTCGATCGGAAGGCAGACAGCGAACATCAAATAGAGATGCCGGGCAGCCGATCATCTGATGTTTGCGGAAGCGGTACGATGTATGTGCTGCCATTAGGACTTGACCAAGGTTGCTTCCGCTTAGGACAGGCTACGAAATGACTAAAAGGGGGCCAAAATAATATGCGCGGTTGGCGCGTTTGACATTTTGTCTGAAGCAAAAATTACATCGACAAATTAATGAGTAAAATCGATTTATGTGAACACGAGTGATTTCCGTGTTGTGAGTATCTATGTACCTATAACGCAAAAGATACCACTGTTAAAGCAAACCAAAACATGCAGTCATTGTCTCTTGTATCGTACGTATCACAAGACGACACGTTCTTCGTAGCTCTTTCAATGTTTTTTTAGAAGTAACAAAGAGCCAAACATTGAAACCAACTTTATTCCTTCATCGTCCCCCGCCGCTTAGACTATTATGGCCTACGCATCCCGTGTGTACTTGGAAAGCTGGCGCCATTTCTCGCCGTAAATATATACGAAAACGGGTACGGGCGTCACGATGAGACAGATGCCGGCCAGGACCATGAAGCCCCAGCCGTAGCCAAAAGTAGCAATGAGCGGTGCAACGGCCAGAGGCAGAAAGGTGCTGCACAGACAGCGAGAGACAATGATACCCGTCATGGCGGAGGCGGCGTACAGGCCAAAGGCATCGACAACGTAGGCGGCCAGCGGGAGAAAGGTGAGCATCATGGACGCGCCCATAAAGCCGACAGAGAACAGAAGATAGGGCAGGGGCAGCACGAGCTCAGCGGACCAGCCGTAGGCGGCGAGGGCGAGGGGCAGCAAGATGCCACAGCAGGTAGCCAGCGGCAGCTTGAACTCAGGACGGCCGATGCGGGTGACACCATCCTCGGGGGAGAGGCGGCCGCGGGTGCTGGTGAGGCGGCGATAGATGGGGTCGAGGTAACGGTTGCAGATGACGACACTGCAAAACGCGCCGGTACTGAAGACGAGGAAGGACGAGCCCGTGGCTGCGGACGAGAAGCCGTAACGGGACTCGAGGATGTCGGGCAGCGAGACGGACATGACGTAAAAGTAGGAAAAGAGAACGGCGCCGTAGGTGGCGAGGGAGGCCAGGACAAAGGAGTCGGCGAGCAAGATGGCGGGGCGTAGGACGGCGTCGCGGATGTGGCGCAGGCCGGAGGAGGAAGGCGACGTCGAGGTCGGCACCGAGACTGTGGGAGAAGGAGAAGGAGCGGGCGACGACGACAGCGAGGAAGAGGATGGCGAGGAAGGGACGCTGGCCGCGCCTGCCAATTTGGTGGCTTGCAGTGCACCGGGTGTCTGTCGCTCTTTCCGCAGACGGTCGTGGCGGATGCGAAGGATGGCGGGCGGGTACGTTTCACGGAAGGCGGCCCACACGAGAAGGTTGCAGGCGACGGCCAGTCCCGTACTCAACCACAGCACGGACCGCCATCCCCAGGTGTCGGCCACAGCACCGCCAATAGCCGGGCCGATGGCGCCGCCGATGAGCGGGGTCAGCTGGACGAGCGACATGGCGGAGCCGCGTTGGTCGGGTGGGAACATGTCGCCCACGATGGCGGGGTTGAGCACATTGGTGGCAACGGCGAGGCCTGTAAGGCCGCGGGCCACGATAAAGAGCGCGGTGCTGGGTGCCACAGCCGCAAAGGCGGTGGCCAGCGCAAAGAGCGCGGACGTCGCAGTCAGGACCTTGGCGCGGCCCCACGAAACGGTCTCGGACAGCGGCGCAATGGCGAGCGGGCCAGCGGCCTCTCCGAGCTCCCAAATGGTGACGAGGAGCACGCTGGCGGACCCGACGCCGCTGCCGCCGTCGTCGTCCGCGGAACCATTTTTGCCACGGCCCTCGAGTTCGTCGACAATGTGGCTGGCAAAGGGGACGACGGAAATGCAGGTGAACGTCACGGTGAAGGCCATAAACGCAAGCAGGAACACAATTGTCCAGCGAAAGGCGGCTGGCCAATTGCGCGGGTTGTCCGGGTCGTCGGCGAACGCGACGAGGTCATCGCGGCGCAATCCATGGCCATCTGCTTCGAGATCAGGATGTTCGTCGACGGTAGTGGTGGTGGCAGAATGTGTTTTGTAGACCGTGTCTGCGAGCAGCGGCCGCGTTTCGTCGACAATGAGGGGGTCGGCCATGAAATCACTGGGTAGTTGCGACGTCGGCTGAGAGGCAGATTCGAGATGGAGACTGTCTTAGACACGGATGCTGTCGATTGCACGATGCTGTCGACTGTCCTTTGTCTTTCTTTTCTTTTTTTCGTTTCTCGTCTTTTCTCGTCTTTTCTCTCCTTTTTCTTTGTGGACTTTTTTTTTTTCGTTTTCTTTCGTTTTCTTTCGTTTCCTTTTCGCCTCTCGTGTTCGCTCGCTAACTTTCTGGGGAACAGCGACTAAGAATTGCAGACGCCTATGGCGAAATTCCAGGGTCGGATTTCTAATTGTTCGTCCAGCCGCGCCATATGTTTCTGGACCCCGTTCTTCGTTATGTCAACCTTTCGTCCTCATGTTATGCACCAGAAAGCCCCCTCCGTTCTTCACATCCGGCGTCGGAGCCTTCAACATGTGCTTGCTTATCTGCAAGTAGCGCCCTGGATGTCAAAAGCTAGATAAGGCCCGCGCCCTATGGCATGGCTGCCGATGCAGAGTAATACGGAGTACGAAAAGCACGAATTACTGAACAACACAAATCAAACCAGAAAAATTGACATGAAAATTGAGGGACAATCCTTGGATCGAATACAGGACCTCACCATATGCACCATACTGAGAGAATTCCAAGGTCTCTACCATGCAGTCAGCAAGACCCATTGACTGGCAATCGCTTTTACCGTTCGCTCTTGCCACGGATTGAACACCACCGTGAGAATGACAAACAGGAAGGCGCAAAGCGAGACAAATTCCCAATAAGGGAGACGCACCCAAAATTTTGCGGGAGCACCCGACATTTCCAAACCAGCAAAAATAAAACAAAAACATCAACATTACGACATCAAAAAGTCGGTGCTCATTGAGTTTCCACAACACGCCTCGAGGAGCTGCCATATGCCAACAGGTCAGGGCAGTAGACGAGAGCAATAGTGCACGCATTGTTGAACAGAAGATTTGAAAAATCCATGTTGGAAATGAAATAAACAGCCACAACACACGTATTTTGTTATCGTGCCTTGAATTGATGTCCCACGAGCTGGTTATCGACGCATCAACGGAACATCGCAACGTCCACTGCGGCGGAGGAGCGTATGGAACGTCGACGGTGGTTGATGGGGGTGTAGGCACACAAGCAACAATGCTGTTTTTATCTAACCCTCCTCTGGCTTGACAATGATATATATAGATTTCACACCTTGCATCCTGTCAATACAAATGCAACCTTTAGGCAACCACGACGCAGCAAATTGAAAGTGTAAATTTGGAACTTCCTTGACAGCATGCAAGACAGAAAATAGGGCGACCAATCAACCCCTGGGAAGTTGACCAAAGAAAACAAAGGCCTGGATATTGTCAGAACGTGCTAGACAAGCCGCCAGTATTTAATATGGATTTGCTACATCCAGATATCATGTCAGCTGGGCAACGAGAACGTCAATACCAGCAATCTAGTTCTACATTTTGGACTCACTCTCCCCCTTGACTTTAACGCCCATTAACCCATTAACCGACGAAATACGGCTGTCTTTACCGTAGCCCAGCTTTAGCTGACGCGATGGCGACGTTGGAGACTGCAGACAAGACTTTCCCATTTGACTATTCCGAGCATGCTTACCGAAGCAAACCCCCTCAGCTCTGGCGCGTGCAGTGCCCGGAGTCCATGGGAAACCAAGGCCCATGAGCAACAAGCGACATTGTGGCCGGTGATGGCGGAGGCATCGCCGGCAAGGGTGGGTTTTCCGACATGCGAGAATTCACCCAGGCCGTGGTGTGCCACTGGAATTGGAAATTGTCGACAATTCCCCGAGAAGGGTGGACCATTTCTCTCCGTTTTTAGCAATCATCTGCATGCCATGAGATGGGCCAAGAAGCGACGTGATGCCTGGGTGCGTGCTGGAATGCGCTCCAACCAGGAAGACTTACAAAACGCCAGCTGGGCAGAGTTAAACGCGTACCAGGAACCCAAAGAGGCCGACTGGCCCGGCGCCATCTATGAGATTGATCTATCCAAGATACCGCTCTCAGCCCGACCTGCTCTCTTTGAGAGCACTCAGCTTCAGGCCGAGTTGAATGTCGAGCAGAGTTCGGGAAACGGGTATCAGTTTGCCGAAAACGAGTTTCTCATCTTATACCGCATCCCTTCTGCGAGCATTGTCTCTATGTACAACTCGCCGGACAGTTTCCAAGAAGCTAGGGCCAATTATGTGCCCAGACCACGGGGACAATTTTGTCGGATTATCGATGACTACGACAGCGCTGCAGAGGGCGAAGTTGACCAGCCGCGGCCCACGATTACCTGCTTGCATTAGCAACGCAACATTGGGCGAGTAGGGAGAGGATAATGGCTGACGTGTCGAAAGCGGTTGACCATGATTGCGAGCTTATCGTTGTGTCTTCTTCTGGTGCATTGAGGTTATTGTCCATCGTCGATTCGACTCTTCGACTGTGAATAGGGCAGCGCTGCTTGCCGACAGTGTCCTCGGTATACAGGTATTCCTGTGACTACAGTTAGACGCAAAAGACCCGAATCTGTTGTTCTTTCTCTTATAGACGGTCCAATCGCCATTCGTATTCCTTGTTGTGTTCCGTCGAGATTTCCTTTGCTGCTGTGTTTTGTGCCGGTCAGTTCCCCATGTGTATCTTCCGGTTTCCTTTGGAACGATTTCGACTCATGCTTTCATTATATGTGATCATCGGCGACTGAGACTGCATTTGTCTGCCGATGGCAGCGATCCCAGTAGGGAGTTGTATCTAGACTGTTAAGGCCACACCAGGCTGAGTACAATCAATCTGTCGAGTTCCGACTTCGACATCCGTATGCGGCTGTCTGAGCACCAGCTTCGGTGGAACGAGACAGAAAACGTATCACCTCAGTCTCGATACCAGTGTTCCGGCCTAAGGCACAAAATATTGACGAGCGTTCTGTTCCGGTGCGTTGTTAAAGCATTCGACTTTCTTATTTCGTCACAGCTGTCTCCGATTGCACTGACAACCGAAACGAGGTTTGGTCGTGGGCATTGTGGTCGGTTTGACGAATACCGACAGCGATGATGATGTCCATAGCTTAAGAACTGATACGACCGGCGCGCTACACTGCGCTGGGGTTCTCCTGGACAGCATATGTGCTCCTTGTCGAGTGAGAAGGCTTTTCTCAAGTTGCGTCTACCGCGCAATGGAGATTGTGATGAAGCCCGTCGATTTGCTTAATTCATTGCCCGCAAGACGGCTGACCTTGCCGAGGGCGACATGTATTGTGTAATAGAGCATGAACTGTCCGCGAATCGATGCCGGTAGCAGGTCCACAGGGATGTGTGATATTCACCTGGTCAGTAGAAAAGAATTAGCATCGTCGTATATCTTCTATTTGCTTACAGCTTCTCAAGTCGCCCATGTTGTCCTTCCCAAATCATTGCTGTATTTTGCCCGTGTATACTGCACTTTCTTGAGGATTGCTTACTGTAAGTCATGTCTTGTTCTTCCTGAACGTCGCGTAGCCGCCTGCATCGCCAGCTGCACGGCAACGTTCACCTCGAGTTTGTAACAGCGCGTCATGTTTCCACGATTATGCGTCTTTATCATTGGCCTGGCCACGGGTGGCAGCCATCTTGATACTGGATGCGGAGAGGTTATGTTGCCAAGTTGCCTGTTACCAAAGTCTTCCCGTTGTATTCTACTTTTGTGTCGTCAAGCCGCGAGCAGCACTCACAGAGCAAAACAGCTAGATCTTGATGAGACGTGCTCACTTGACACACTTGTTATTGCACGTTGTTGCACCCTGTATCTTACAAGCCTCCCTATCGACTTTGTTGAGTTGTTCTACATATCTCCAAGCATTACGAAAGCACGCGCGTCACTCCAAGTATGTCAACTCCGTACTCAGTAGATAATTCAAAATGCGCTCCGTCTAACACGCCAACCTTCAATTCCGCTCCCGGGGTTTGGGAACCTATGCACCTTCCTCCAAGGGAAATGCTCCCGGTGGCAGGCTGTCAGCGTTATTAGACGGCAATCATTGGGTGCCATCCCACACTCCCCATGCCGATGAACAAGGGGCAAGTGTGTGGACCCGCTGTGAATAGGCCAACAGAGACGCAGCACGATCCACTGCCACGATGGAGGAAGCTTTCTTTCTTTGCTTGGCTCTCGAGTGTCTTGCTTTCGTTTCTTCGGTCGTTTCTTGCAAATGTCTTGGCTCTGCACGCTCAGGTGCAAGGCACCGTCACCTTAATTTCTTAAGCTCTGTTATCTTAGCTTTGGTGCGTTTGTGAGCATCTCCTGCCTCTTTCGTCGTTTTATTGACAAATATGCGTGACTATTAGATATCGGAATCAGGTCGACATCCCGGAACTCGATCGTCAGAAAACAATGACACCTTTCAAATACTAAAAGACAAACAAATCGGCAGGCAGCAACTTCCTGTTCCTCGGAATGATAGCTTTGACTGTCGAATTTGTAGCCCGAACAACCGCAAGACAACCGTCAATCCGTGCCGTGCATGCAGAGTGACCTCCAGACGACCACTTGCGTTGCCCATGCTTCGTTTCCCGGCGGCGCGACGCTCTATTGCTCTACTCTATTTCGTGTTGATTTGGGCCGTAAGCACCTTCTACAAACACGATAGCGGCTCAGTGTGGGGCCGTCGTATTTATTTTATTTCAATTCTGTAGTCGTCGTCTCACTCGCGGACACAACCTTGCTCCTTGGCCTTTCTGGGCTGATCCCGTCCCGTAAAATAAACTGCACAGTAATCCGGTTGGCCCCATTTTCATGACCACTTCGAGCTACGGGACCATACATCGTACGCAGGCGAGGACAAGGACAATCTCACCGTAGCAGTCAGCATTCGAGCTGCAACGCTACTGCATGTCAAGCGAGGTGTCCAGCCAAACCACGAGGGCCTGGACAGCTAAAATCCAATCCCATAGGCGAAAAAAAAGAGGTTTGCACCCACCCCTAAAATGAGGCATCAACTGTAGTTCGACGTGAAGGCAGAGCTTTCTGTTGGGGCACCCTCCTCCGCAAATCAAATTCGGTGGAAGGTCAAGAAAGGCTCTTTCGGCTAACCTAATCCTCCCAGAGCTCATCCGCTGGCAACAACAGCCGGCGGCACAACTCATCTGGCGCTGATGACTTCCATCTTGTCGACGTTCGCTTTTTTCGTGTTGCCCTCATCGCAACCCACTGTTATCGCACGCCGTGAAAAGGACCGCTTCGTACCCGCATCCGTCGGCGCCAATAGATGCCGGCCAATAGATGCCGGCCAATAAATTCCAGTCTTGTGACGCACGTTTTTCCCTCTTTTCACCGAGTACAGACACGATAAACACGAGAGGCGAGTCCGGTCGCGCGGAGGCATCTACCAAGATAACCATCCGCTTGCCGCGTCCCCTGGTTGTTCGTGTTGGATATTTACATATTCTATTGGTGTTTACCGATGCATTTCGAAGATCGTGTGGGATAGGATATCCTCGGAACATGGCATAAGGACTGAGACGTGTTCACTCTTCGGTTTCTCTTACTCACACACACACCTTTGTTTCTAATTCATTTCCTAATGTTATCATCTCATTACCTTCCAAGTGTGAAGAAAGGCGTCTGTTATCATTGATTATAGCTCGCCATGTCTATCGATAAAGCTCATCGTCTGACAGATCATATCGTATACGACGTATGAAATTCAAATGGGAGGACAAGGTAATGAAATCCTGATAGACATTCTCCGTTTTCCTGCATAGACCAATCGAAACCGAACGGGAATAGAACAGACCTGGCAGCGGACCTGACGGCGACCTCTGACGTTGTGGACTGTTGGTAGCAACACAGTGTGCGGTGTTGCTACCGACACATCACCACACTCCATGGAGAAGCTCATCTCCTGAGATCTTGGCCGTTTGCCTCCCCCTCATTATCATGAAGCTTTCCCCAGACTCACATTGCCCCTTCTCCGACAAAGTATCAAAGTAAGCCTGCATCGTGGCTTGTCTATTACGTACAGATCAACAGCATTTCCCCAGACTGCATCTACCAAAGACTCCTCCCCCGCAGAAGCGGAAGGGGGCAAAGTGGCCAAACAATGTAAGAACCATAAGGCCGAAGTGCGTTTGGCACGTGGGTCGGTCGTGTCAAAACTGCTTCTATTTTTGCTTGTTTTTGTGACAAACGAGGCAAAATGTCTCGTGTTTTGCCTTCTCGTCCACACCTCCGCGGTGGACATTCCGGGGCCGTCGTCCGGGGAAAGCTCCAGATGATTGACGCCACGCGGTCAAGATCGGCTTAAGGACAGACGGCCGTCGTTAAAAAAGAGGGGCCCGCAAACGGAGGAGAAGAATAGGGAAGGAGGTGTACGGGCGTTTAAAGAGACACATGGAAACAAACACGTAATACTCACCAGGCGTAGTAGGCGTGGCGTTCGTGGTGTGTGATTTGTTTGCCACATCTTTACTTATGAAAGGAGACTACTTTCGCTTAAAAGCCCTCAGGTAAATAACGGCACATTGGAAGATGTACAATTCTTGTGTCAGGATGGCATCGCAACGCTGACTATTTTGGGGCGCCAGGAAGCCAAATCCGTACAGTTCGAGGGCTCCTGGCTACGCTGTCTCCGAGAGACTCATGTTCAAGCCTGTTCTTGTGCCAAGCTGATGTGTGTTTCAAGGTGGTGCTATACCAACACGTTTCATAGAAGACATGTCCAGGGCTACATTCAAGGCATTCACATGTTTGTTGCCACGGTGCACAGTATATTCAACTGGGCTTTCGTGTACACATACGTCGACAGACAGCGTACAATGAGTGTCGTTCTTGACTCTGCCAAAATGTCTCCTAAAATCAAGCCATTATTCACAAATATTTCCGTTGCGCTGTGTGCCGCAATAGACCTGCCTTTTTGAGCTTGGGCGACGGACGGGGTGTAAGTCACCCAAGGAATTAAGGAAATGGAGACATAAATACAGTTGACAATGTCGGCCTCCAAAGAGATTGGAATATAATCTGTCCTAAACGGCCTGGAGTAGCAGCGTATTCCGTTCCGTATGCACTAAAACGAATCAAGTAAGCAGGGTGGCAGCTGTCCTCCATGGCGAGAAATTGTGCAGAGCCGCCGGAGAATGAAAAGCGTGACAAGGTACTTTGCAAAAGTCGCTCAAGTCACTAGGCAACGAAAGATGGGGCCCACACCGATATCGAGCACCGTCTTGACACACGTCGTCCTGTAGAAAGACCGCTGGGGCAAGGGACGGAGGCTCTGAGCTTGATCAGAAAATGGTCCGATGTCAGAGGACAACGGGGGTTGGCACCTGATAACAGTCTG